GCCTGTAAACATGCCCAAGACTCCTCCATTCCTTTTTTTTTTTAAGTAAGATTTAATTGGGCATCTAGGTGGTACAATAGATTGAGTGGTGGGCCTGGAGTCAGGAAAACCCGAGCTCAAATCCATCCTCTATTGCTAGTTATGTCACTCTGGACAAGTCATAAACTGAGTTGGCCTCAGTTTCCTCAGGGATAATAATAGCACCTGTACCTCCCAGGGTTGTTATGAGGATCAAATGAAATAACTGTAAAGTGCTTAGCCCAGTACCTAGCACATAGTAAGTGCTAGTATATAAATGTTGTTGTTCATTTGTTCAGTCACATCCAACTACTCATGATCCTGTGAACCATAGCACTCCAGTACTGTCCATGGGGTTTTCTTGGCAAAGGTACTGGGGTGGTTTAACATTTCCTTCTCCTGGATATATATTTTAGCTATTATTATTATTTTCTGTTTCTTACATCAACATACTATTCCCATATATCCCTCCCCTAAGTCCCTCCCTAAGAGCCATCCCATATGACAAATAGAATTTTTTGGAAGGGGAAAAAAAGAAAAAAGTCAGCACAACTGATTAATACATTGAAAAACCTATGCAAAGCGTAACACCTATGGGCCTCCCACCTCCACAAAGGGGTAGGTTGGGGTTGTCTTCTCATGTCTCTTCATTTTAATCCACTTTTTTATAATTTTTTACATTTACTGTTGATTTTTGGGTGTGCCATCGTTCTTTTCATTTACATTGTTGTAATCATCATGTATATTATTTTCTTGGCTCTACTTTACTCTGCATCAGTTCATATAGATCTTTCCAGGCTTCTCTGTATTCATCACACATATCATTTCTTACAGCACAGTAGTATTCCATTTCATTCATGTCCAGTACAGTAGTATAATTTGTTAAGTTATTCCCAAATTGATGGACTTATAACTTTGTTTCCAGTTTTTAGCTATCACAAAAGGTGCTGCTATAAATATTTTGGAGTATATGGAGACTTCTTTCTTATCAATGCCTTCCTTGGGGTATAAGCTCAGTAATGAGTTCAAAGGGCATAGACATTTAGTCACTTTATTTGCATAATTCCAAATTGATTTCCAATGGTCATACCATTTAACAGCTCTATCAACGTATTACTGTCTTTGCACAATGCCTCCAACAGTGACTGTTACCATATTTTGTCATTTTTGCCAATTTGTATCCAGTTAGTTACCAAATTTTTAAAGTTGTTTTTCTGTAACATCCCTTGCATTCACCTCCTTTTCTCTACTCACTCAACCACCATCCTGTTTCAGACTCTCTTTACCTCTAGTCTGTACTATTACAATAGCTGTCTAATTTGTCTCTCTACGTTTGAATTCTTCATATTTGTTATTTCTTGTTAATAATACAGTTATGTTCCATTATTTTCTTGTGCCAAAATTTATCGATTTTCCAATTGACAAGTACCTATTTGATTTCTTTGCTACCATAAAAGTGCTGCTGTAACTATTTTGATAGATGTGGGACCTTTCTTTCTGACTTAGGACCATGGACAAGTCTCAACCTCTAGTCTCAGTTTCTTCATCTGTAAAGTGGAGATAATAGTAGGTGAAGTGTCTACCTTAAAGATAGGAGATAATTATATATGTAAAATGTTGCAAATCTTAAAGCAGTATACAAATCTTAGCTGTTGCTGTCATGATTGTCATTGTCATTATCATCACCATCCACCACATGGTGGTTCAAGTGGCAGGCTTTGGGGCCAGAAATACTTGGGTTCAAGTACTATAGTCTGGTACATAATATAATGGGCCCTGGGTAAGTTACTTAATATCTCAGTGCCCCAGGCAACTCTCTACAGAGATAAATTACAACAAAGTCGCAGACCTACATTGGTGAAGATAGCCAAAAGCTACAGCTCTTAGATCACTTCTATTCTGTCTTGAAATGGGCAAGACATGACTGTCCAAGCTGTACATGCACTGGACTGGGAATCCATAGACTTTTCTGCTTCTGACTCTACCAAACAATGGATCTCTCTTTCCTGGTCATTAAAATGAATATTGTGATTTCTGCCTACTTGTCTCATGCAGTGGTTGTAAGAATAGAAGAGGGTAGGTACAATTGCATTAAAAAATGAATTACTTGGCTTTGTAGGTAGAATACATTGCTGAAAACTAGATTTGTTCCAAAATGGTAGTGGTATTTACATTTCCAACTGCCTAATCTTTTTTATACTAATTCTTAGGGGCCTTAGGCTAGAAAAGGAACCTGGCTTCAGATTGGAGTTGAGCTCCTTAATTAATGGGACCCAGCTGGGTGGTAGCTTTTGGTTTCTTTCACCTGGCTCACATGGTTCCCTTGGTGAGCATTTTTCCAGGTGTCCAGAGACTACCTTTGATCACTTATAGCAGAAGGCTCATGTTGAGGGGAATGGGCAAGTATTCCTCTTCTTTGACTTGGTTTAGGTCTGGACTTTACAGGATGGGATGGCATCCCTATAACAGACCAGGATAATTCCCAGGATGGCAGTTTCCAGGAGCTCCTAATACTACTGTTGCTCCCAATGTACCTTAAAAAGTGTAAGTCAAACCATATGAAAAGATGCTCTAATTACTTGTAAAAGAAATGGTAATCAAAACAACATTGAGATTCCATCTCATATCTATGAGATTGGTAAAGATGACACAAAAGGAAAATGCAGTTGCTGGAAGGACTGTGGAAGGACAGGCACATTAGTAGACTGTTCAGTGGAGCTGTGAATTGGTCCAAATCATTCTGGAAATCGATTTGGAACTATGCCCCAAAAGTCATTAAACTGTGTAGTCCACATAGTTTAGTAGTATACAGTGGTATCATGATTAGACAGTTACCCCAAAGAAATCAAAGACAGAGGGAAAGATCTCATATGTACAGACGTATTTATAGTAGCACTCATAGCAAGGAACTGAAAACAGAGCATGGTGCCCATTAATTGAGGAATGGCTAAACACATTATGGCATATGAATGTAATCAAATATTTTTGTGCTATAAGAAACAATGAAAGGGACAGATTCAGAGAAACCTGAAGAAGACTTATATGAATTGATTAAGAATGAAGTGAACATAACCAGAACAAACTATACAGTAGCTGCAGCAACAAAAAGGAAAATGACATTGAAAAACTTGAGTACTCTGATCAGTGAAGCAACTAGTCACAACTCCAGAAGGTGTGCTAAAGTATGCTCCCCACTTCTTGGCCAAGAGATGGTAAACTAGAGTTGTAGAATGATAAATGCATTCTAGTCAGAACCAGTGACCACAATGTAGACATTTATTTTACTTGACTATATATGTGTATATATATGTATATGTGTGTATATATATATATATATGTTACAAGGAAGGGCAAGTTTTTTGGGGGGGGTGGGCCAGTATTAATAGTGATATAAAAGAAGAAGAAAATTTTTAAAAATTGCAGGAGAAAATAGAAGTAAGTTCAAAAGTGGACACAGACAATGTTGGCACTGATGTTAAATTTAAAACATACTTTTTAAAAAATTAAGCTGTACATAATATAAATGGTTTTCACGATTTCATATATAAACTCCTTTTTCTGTTCTTTTCTGTATGAAAATGTTTTATTTGTCAAGTTCATGTATGTTTTTTTTCTTAAACATGTGTTAAACCACTGACCACTGGGCAATTCCTAGAGTTCCTTTGGGGTTATCGTGTGTCAGATCTGGCCACTGAAGAGAGCCCACATAGTCTTAAAAGAGCAGAGACTAATCCTATCCTATGTAGATCTCTTGCTTTTGTTATGTTTTTACATCTTTACTGTCTTGTCTGGTTTACATCTTGTGTTCTCTCTCTCCCTCTCTCTTTTCCCCTCTTGTCCTACATTGATGCCTCCTGGGCTGTACATTTTCTTCCTTGATCTCTTAGACCAGCCAGTAAAAAGCAGTCTCAATTATCAAGGTAAGAGGGATTCTGGGAAGGTTGTGAATAAGCAGCCTTTTAAGTGGCAGTAGCAATGGGGGACTAAGTAACTCATACTCTCTTTTCTTTATAGTTCAGGAGTTCTAAGGGCCAGTTACAGTGGGGATCTGTGTCAGTCCTGGGCCCCCTCTGACTACAGTCACAATATTTAGGATCTGGCTTATTGGCCTAGGAGTGCATGGATTTTATGATTTCTAGTTCCTTCAGTCAAGGGACCCTCAGGCAATCTGAAAGAGTTGGGCTTGTGCACCTGATTGCTCTTTCCCCCTCCTTCAGAAAAAAAAAATACAGAGAGGTCAACTTATCCCACAGGCAGCCAGCAAATGTCTGCTTGCCTTCAGGGAGTTTCCCCTTTTAGACAGGTAGAGTTTGCAGGGATAAAAGAAGATAAAGTGGGAAGGTTGTCTCTCCAGTTGATGCTATCCCCTGCCTTCTGCATGTTCTCCTCTTTTTGATCCAACGTCATACTTGCCTACATTTTGGTTTTCCTTTCCCTTTGCAAACCATTTCATAAAACTAATGAGCTGTTTGTTTTTTCCCTGTCTTTTTTCCATGTTCATTCTCTCTGCTGCTTCGTTCTGTTCCATCAGCCCTATTACAGCCTGGTAAGACTCAACACAGTGTGTGAGCACCCATCTCTTTCTCTTTGTTGTCTTTTTACTTCCTCCTAATGCTGGGAGGAGCTGTGACTGTTTTTAACCTCTGCTGGGTTTTAGAGATATTGTGCAGGTCCCACTACGCTAGGACTCTGGAGAGGCCATGTTGTCACTGATATTAATGTATCTGCTCTATTCCCCCTGGGTTAAGCAGGGTTTTGGGTGGGATGACCAGTCTCTCTTACCCTCTCTGGATGGGCATCCCCTTAGGCATTGTCAACTTATCTCTCCTTTCTCCTATTCTTTTTCTCTCCTCTCCCCCTTCTTCCCCCCTTCTCCTCCTCTTTCTTCTGCTCTCTGTCTTTCTCTGCTCTCCTCTCCCCTCCTCCTTTGCCCTTCCTTCACCTCCCCTCCTCTTTCTTTCCTCTCTCTCTTCTTTCTCCAGGTTAAGTAACCTGTCTTCCCTGAGTGATTCAGTCCCTGAGCAAAAGACCCCTGACCACCATCGCCAATCTTCTGACTCCTCTGAGACCACAGGTAACCACCCTGGATCACAAATACAAACATATCCAGCTTACTTACATGTATATATACACATGCGTACTCACCCCCAAATATAGACCCACACGTATCAGAAGCTCATATAACCAGTATTCACACCCTTATACAGTAGTGTGTCAATGAGTCATATTCTCGGTTACCTTTTGGTACAAGGGATATATATGTGTTTAAGAAAAACAACAACACTATTTTCACTTATCTGGAGTTCAGTGACCTCATCTGAAAATGACAGACTAGATGATTAATAAAGTCCCTTTAAGCTGTAAGGAATCTGTAAAATTCCTCCTTCCCTTCTTTGCTGGGTCTGGCTTTATCCTGATGGTGGTGGTAGGGGAGGGCACAGAATAAAAGGCCAATGTCATTTTGAGTGACTTGAGTCAATTTGGACAGACAGGGATGGAGAACATCATTCATTTGGCACAACGGAGCTCTTATCAAATCTTGCGGTCTATAAAACTTCATTACTGGGGGTACTGAGCTCTAATGCTAGACCCTGAGAGGGTTGCCTCGTGTGCTCCCTCCAGCAGCCTAACACCTTCCATTTATAATTTGGTTACAACAACAACAACAACTCTCATACACACAGGCAGAGGACACGTAGCTTGAGTGCTTCTATAGATAAGAATAACTTTTTATGTTGCATATAAAGAAATGATATAGTTAGTTGCATGTTTGGTCAGGATGGGCCTAGGAGAAGCCGCCTTTTTTGAACTAATTAGTTCAAAAAAACTTTCTGGAGGAAAGTCCATTGGAGCTTTCTCTTGGGCTGAACTTGGCTCCTTTGCCCTAACCGTCCAATTCCTGGCCTGCTGCTTCTCCGCTGGCTAATAGGTGATTGGAGCCCCCGATCCCATCCCTGCCCTTCTCTTTTTCCCCTCCCCAGGTCTCGTCCAACGGTGTGTCATCATCCAGAAGGACCAGCATGGCTTTGGCTTCACAGTCAGTGGTGATCGCGTTGTCCTGGTGCAGTCTGTCCGGCCTGGTGATTGTCCCATCCTCTCTGCCTGGAGGATAATAATAATAATAATAATAATGATGATGATAATGATAATAATAGCCTGTGTATGCATGTATCTTATTCCTTTCTTTTGGTGAGGCAATTGGGATTAAGTGACTTGCCTAAGGTCACACAGCTAGTGTCAAATGTATGAGGCTGGATTTGAACTCAGGTCCTCCTGACTCCAGTGCCAGTGCTCTATCCACTGCACCACCTAGCTGCCCCTGTATCTTACTCATTTTAAAGTGATTCTTCATAGCATACTAGGGGAAGGGAGGGAGGGAGAGGCAGGCTGCCTGAATGATTTTGACTTGTTTCCCAGTGTGGGACCAACTACATAGAGGAGACTGGAGAACACCCCCTCTCCCCCAGTAATCACCGACAATTAGGCAGAATGTCCTAGGGGTCAGCGTACCACTGATTTGTTTCTACTGGAAAACTGCAGAAAGGGAAGAATGGCCCCTGGGCAGATGCACAGTTGGACCAAAAGAATACCACTGAGGGAAGAGGAGGAGAAATCAAAGGCAGAAGTCTTGTTTTGAACCCATCGGTACATGTTGTTGTGCTAAGTATTGCAGAAAAAAGTCAGTCACATTTACTATCTTAGTGGTAGTGGGACTTCTAATCTGAATTAGAAAGACTAATACAGAGGAATATGCAGAGAGTGTAATTAGAGACACACAGGAAAAAGTCCTCAAATAAGATCAATTCGGAGCTCCTTATTTATAATAATACTTGCCCAATGATTACCTCACAGGGCTCTTGTGAGGAAAGTGCTACAAAAATGAGGTTTACAAGCAAAGGGCAAATAGGAGGAGAGCATCTTTGGAAGCTCTTATTTGGATAGATTTCAGTAGACAAATATATCATCTTCCCTGAAAGGGCTTCCTGGAAGGGATGAGATTTCAGAAGCAGTCTAAGCAGAAGGGAAAGAGCTTGATGTACTAGGTAGCATGTGGGAAAGGGTAGACCCACGTAGGAGGTTGCAGCCAGCAAAGGAATTAAGTAAAAATGTCTATAAAAGTGCTTTGAAAAGCTGAAAGTGCTGTTGAAAAGGAGGGATTTTGTTATTCAGTGGGACAAGTCTAGGGGCGACTGAGATGAGAAACCTCGTGGTGGTGGTAGGAAGGGCTCTGAGAAGAGTGGAGCTGACTGAGGAGTACTGAAATGGGAAGGGGAAGTCATGGGCTGGGACAGGGATTGGGGCAATTTTGAACTTTTGAGGCTAAGTCTTTAGTACTGTGAATCACCCAGTCTTTAACTTAGCCTTTCTGCTCTTTTTTCACCCACACCACAAGATGAGAGGGGGAAAATAATTTTCCCCAGTCAATTTCAGAGAAAGTTTTGGGGTGGAGTGTTGGGGAAAGACAGTGAAGAAATTTCTTATTTGTGAGGTGTGTAAATTAGTCGAGGATGTCAGTTATCTGGATCTATACTAAAAGTGGCAGATTTATTTTCAGAAACAAAGGTATTGGAACTACAAAGGTTGCAGTTTTCCCCAAGGCTTTGGTAGCAGTAACTTCAAGATCAGTGGTGCTGACTATCAGTCATTGTTGCTGGGATGTTTAATGTAGAGAATAGGGAAATACTTCAATAGATGTCATCTCAGCAGCCTTCAGTCTTTCTCTGCACCAGTCCACAGAGACTTAAAAATTGTGGCAGACCCAGAAAGCGCAGGGCAAGAATCTGATGTCAGTTTATAGTAGTGTCAGTTTCTAGAAGATATTTCCCCCTGCTTTGGGAGTGAACTTTGTATGAGGGGACTGGAGTTTTAATATGATCCAGGATTTGAAGTGGCCAAAAAACAAGGAACTCAGCTTAAGGCTTTCTTCTTTGTCTATGTATATTTAGTAGATTTCTCTGCCACCTTCCTATTATCAATTAAACAAAACACCAAAATAGTATGAAGTTATTGTATTCCTTCTCCAAGCAGGATAACATTCCTATTCCTGTGTTGGAAGTGATGTCATATGGTAGAGGAATTTGATTTGTTCTTTTTGGCAACAGAGGGCAAAAATAGGAGCGATGGGTGAAGGCAGAAAGGCAGATGGACGGTGAAACTCTCTTAAAATGAAAATGATATCAGCATAGAATGGCTGGCCTTGGAGGGAATGGGCCCCTTCTCACTACAAGTCTTCAAGTAGAGAGATGACCACTTATCAGGGATGCTAGAAAGGATTCTTGTTGAGATAGGGGTTGAATCAGATGACCACGTAGTTAGTCACCTGAGAGGACCTCTCTGAGATTCTGTGATTATAGTCCAGGCTACGTCAAGAAGGATCTCTGCTTTTTTTTTTTTATACCTTTATAGAAAAACATTCTTGCTTATCTCACATTCAGAGAGTCCTTCTTGCTGTCCAACTTCATTCTTTCCTATTGCAATTTCAAACTTAGTCACTTTGGTTCTTTATTCAGTAGAGATCAATCAGTCAATCAGTAGGCATTAATTAAATGCCTGTTAGGTGCTGGGCACTGTATGAGGCCCTGGACATACAAAGATAAAAGTGGTTTCTGCCCTCCTGAGGGTCACAATCTAGGAAAGAGACAACATGAGGCAGCATGGTATAGAGGCTTGCCTACAGGACTGGGAGTCAGTAAGACTACCCTTCTGAGCCTCAGTTTCCTGATCTGTAATATGGAGGAGTTGAGCTAGAAGGCCTCTGAGGTTCCTTCCAACTATAAAAAATGGAGGCATTAAAAGCTGGGGGAATCAGGAAGGCTTCCAGTAGAAGCTTAAGCCGAGCCATGAAGGAGGCTGGGAATTCTAAGAGGCAGGGTGAGGAGGGAATGTGTTCAGGTGTGAGTGATGAGTTGTATATAGGGGCCATTGAGAAGACCAGTAGACTAAACCGTAATGTACATAAAGGGAGTAATGTGTAGGAAGGCTTGAAAGATAGGATGGGACCCCCATTGTGAAGCACTTTAAATGCCAAACATCAGATTTTATATTTCCTCCCACAGGCAATAGGGAGCTCTTCACAGCCTAGCCCTAAATTGCTTTTCGAGCCAAGCCAGTTGCCCCAGCTGTGTGAGTGGAGAGGAGGGGGATAGATGGGTAAGATGTCATGGAGGTAGAAACAACAAGTTTTGGCAATAGAATGGACTTGTGGGATGAAGGAGGTGAGCGGTCCAGCATGACACTGAGAGTTGCAAGCTTGGGTGATTGTAAGGAGAGTTGGTGCAGGACAAAAATGAAAAAAATTTTGGAAGAGGAGTGGTTTGGGGAGAAAAGATAATGAGTGTTTTGGACATGCTAAGTTGAGGTGCTTTTGGGACATCCAGTTTGAAATGTCCAGTAGGTAAAAAGCAAGTCACACCCCTTAGTATTTTATTACTTTAGAGTTAGATGCAGCATGGTAAAATGGTGGAGCACTGTTTTTTAGAATTGAAAGGACATTAAAAATCATGGGACTTTTCCATCTGACTTGTAGCTGAAACCTTCTGTGTATGTTGTTTTCCATATTAGAATGTGGAGCACAAACAATGTTTTTTATTTGTATCACTAGTACTTTGCACCTAATAAATTCTTTATTAATTCATTTGTTCAGAAAGACCTAGGTATCAGTCTGGCTTTGACATTTATTAGCTGTGTATCTCTGGACAAGTCAAGTAATCTTTCTGAGCCTCAGTTTCTTTATCTAGAAAATAGGAATACTAACACTTGGACTGCCTACCTCAGAAGGGGATTGCTTAGGAAAGTACTTTTTAAACCTTAAGCATTATGTGAACGAGAGTTTTTAATCATCTTTAATATAATCAACTCTTAAGCCTTTGCTCTGGGGGAAAGGGTCAAGAAGAATTCTTTATTAACAAATAATTTTTGTTTAAACAGAAGACTATCAGATACACTCCTTATTCAAATCCATTCCTACTTGTATTCACTCTTCCCCAATGCCTGGCCCCCGCACATACTTGTGTGCTGCCTCCCATTCTGCACCTTAACCCTATTGTCCAGGCTGAGCAGTAGAAATGAGAAGGGAGGACGTTTCAGATAATTCAGTGGCTATAATGAAAATTGTCCTTCTTAACTAGTGATGCAGTAGTAACCCTGGACCCTGAGACACCAGGCTAAGGCAAGTCAAATGAGATAAAACTTAGGCAAAGAGAAGACACAGATGGGCAAGTCTGTGGAATCTGGTAGACTCTATGAGGCTGATTTAGAAGTTTGTGGGAGAAACTGGTTATACTTTGTCTTTTCATTACAGGAGGTGCAGCCATGAAAGCTGGTGTAAAAGAGGGTGACCGGATCATCAAAGTGAGTCAGCTCCCAGACAGGTGGAAAGAGGGACAAGGTGGCTTTTCTTTACGCTTTCCATTTGTCTCAGAACAGAAGGTCATCCACTTCTGAGTGAAGAATAGGGAATTTTGGGGTAGGAAAGAAGTCGAAAAGGTGATATGTATATCAAGAGGGAGGGGACTGTAATGGATACCTGTTTTTCATTCCTAGTTCCCCTTTGAATCCATAAAACTGCTTCAGGGGGTCTGGTAGATGAAAGTCAGTCTTTCTTCTCCTTCCTCTTTCACTCATCCCTTTTGGGAGTCAGGAGACATGGGTTCTAGCCCTGGCTCTGCTGTCAACTAATGCTGTTGAACCTAATTAAAGTGTAATTGGGAGATGTTTAACAAAATAAATACAATCTAACACAGATAATGTTAATTGGTGGTTTTCTAAGTCATTATGCAGCTAGTAGGGATCCATTTCTATATGAGGTTGTACTGATTTAGATGATCTAGAAAGGCCATTCTTGCTCTGGCATTCTATGATTCATCAAGCTCCTCTTATGCTAGTTTTTCCATGAGAGAATTTTGGAATCATTGAGGAGAGTTGGAAGGGTCTACATTTTGCAAGTGCTGTTGAGACTAGGTCAATCAGCAACATGTATTAAGGACGTCTCTCTCTCCCTTCACTGTACAACACTCAGAGCTAGTGTTTGTAAAAGTTTGTTTAAAATATAAGAGCTTACAACCTTATTGGAGAGACGAAACACAGGCAACTGTAAACTACATAAAGCAAATGTCAGTAATAAAAGGAGAGAGACAGGGATAGGTGGGGACAAATCGACAATCCAAGCTGGAGTAAAGGAATGATTGGCCTTGGGTGGGTTTATTTGGAGATACTAGGGAGCTTTAAACCTGTAACAAGATCACCTGGGCTTGTCTCTATAACCCTGATACGCTTTTCTAACTTCAACAGGTAAATGGCACGATGGTGACCAACAGCTCACACTTGGAAGTAGTGAAGCTCATCAAATGTGAGTTGGAGGGACCTGGGCAGCCGAAAAGAACAGGGGAGTGAATGGACTAGGATGGGCTGAATTAGGGGAGAGGAGAGAGAGAGGGGGAGAGAGCTGGCAGCCAAAAAGCTCTTGAATCTTGGCAGGGAGTAAACAACTTAGGCTGCTGCAGTTTCCAATTATCATTTCAATATTTTGTACTGTCAGTTTCCTCAGATAACTTTATTATCATTCATATACTTTTGAGATCCAATAAAGGCACAAAAATAAAGTCCCTACCCCCAGGACTATTTATAGTTTAGTCTTCTCTTCCTGTCTGTTTTGGAGAGAGAGTCTTAGGAAGCAACTTGTGAGGCATAACATCTGAGTCTGTGCCAGTGGCCTTCTGGCATTGATCAACCCAGGAAAGACTGAACACAAGCAGCAAATGTTAAGGAAGGGGTTAAAGGAGGGAAGAAGGGGATTGACTAGCTGAGATTAGAGACATCTTGGTAGGGTACAAAGAAAGGGAGGAAAGATACATGTTTGATTGAAGGGGAAGGGAGTGAGTTAGAAGAGACAGGGATGGAAAGGGAAAGAACAGGATTGGAACGGTAAGGAGAAGGTATGGAAACACCCCTGAATTAAGAGCAGTTCATCTGCTGAAGCCCAGGTTAAAAGGAAAGGGCTAACGATCCACCGGTCTGCCTCTTGATGACTTTCTTCCTTTTTCTTCTCTAGCTGGTGCTTATGTAGCATTGACTCTTTTGGGCTCTTCTTCTTCATCTGCTGGGGTGTCTGGGCTCCAACAGGACCCAAATTCACTAGGACCCTCCTGGGTAATCCCAGTTGTTCCTCCACCTCCACCACCTCCCCCTCTGCCACCTCCACAGCGCATCACAGGACCCAAGCCCCTGCAGGTAACTGCTTGATTTGCTCTCCTCAGTCTCAGTTCTTACGTTGTTTCTTTTAAAGCCTTCTTCATGATGTTGCGGAGCAGGTAGAATTGATTTTGCTTAAGTTATAGATATGTAGAGGGAAGCTGAGGATATAGACCTGCAAAGATACAAACCAAAGGGGGCAGTTTCTACATACCTTAGTTTCTTCCTTGTTGTTTACTATCCAGCACTGTTCTTGTTTAATCCTTCAACAACATTTATTGAATTTTTATGTTCAGAGCCATATACTTGGGAATTCTCATTCTAAGATGGAGACTAGGAAAATGTAGATGAGACAGGATTCAAAACACACAGAAAACAGAGAAGTAGAACCACAGAGATGTAGAAGTGATTGCAGACGGACAGCAAACTCCACACCTAAGGTTTAAAGGGATGTGAAATAGAGCTATGGACTGAGAGAAGAGGTCTTAATCAAAGGAAGTGTGTTGGAGGAGTAAAGTAAGGTTTGTACAAAGCAGGGATGAGTAGGGACAAGAAGGGAAGGAATTCCGTGCTGGAGAAAAAAGCTTTGGTGAAGAGGTTCACAAAAATGAGGGGGGGGGGGGGATGTGACTGAAGCAGAATTGGAATCGGGGTTCAGGAAGACAGGACAGGAGAGGGGAGAATAGAAGGCAGTTTAGCCAGCATAGATGGAATGGAGGCACTAGACTTTCGAGAGTTGTAGGAACTGAAAATTAAATAACATTTTATATCTGCTAAATCCCATCAGACTGGTCAGGGTTGTAGAACACTTATGATGCAGAATCTGCCTATCATAAAACCATATCCTTCCTGTTACTCTTGGGATTAATGGGTAGGAGGGACCCAGATTTCCAAGGTGAATCTCTTAAGCCTTACCGCTAGTATTTCTTCTCTGTTCCTAGGATCCTGAAGTGCAGAAGCATGCCACCCAGATCCTACGAAATATGCTGAGGCAGGAGGAGAAGTTGTTACAGGTACTGTCTACCTAGACTACAGTCTCCACCTCTCATGCTCTCCCTTTCCTTCCTCCCCTCTGATAGTGGTCTGGTTACCAATTAAGATGACCAAACGTATCCCTCTTCAAAAGAGTGTAAGCAATATTTGTGAGAGGAAACAATTTGAGTTGAGCAATCCCTGTTTTGAGGGACTCATACATAGAATTGCAGTCACAATGGAATCATAGAGGCATCCTGGTATAGTACAAGTGTTCAGATTTCAGGGGGTCCATGCACTTCATAAGGGAAAGAAATTATGTCTTTATTTTCACTAACTTCTAATTGAAATTTAATATTTGCTTCAACTATGAATTTTTAAAAAACCGTTATTATGAAAAAGGGTTCATAGACTTCACTAGATTTCCAAACAGATCTGTGACACAAAAAAAGTAAAGAATGCCTATATATTAAAAAGAACCCTGGCGTTAGGGTTAGGTGAAATCTAAGTTTAAATACAATACCTAATAATTTTGTAACCGTAAGCAAATCCCTAACCTCTCAGCCTCAGTTTCCTCATCTGTTAAATGAGAACAAAATAGTATCTACTATCTTTTTTATCTTTTTTTTTTGGTGAGGCAGTTGGGGTTAAGGGACTTGTCCAGGGTCACACAGCTAGTAAGTGTCAAGTAAGTGTCAAGTGTCTGAGGCTGGATTTGAACTTAGGTTCCCCTGACTCCAAGGCCAGAGCTCCAAATGGATACATACCTAGATATAAAAAAATCACACCTTAAATGAGAGAAATAATGTACTTTTTGGATTTATGAATAGGAATAGATTTCATGACTAAACAAATAATAGAGAGATCACACAAAATAAAAATAAATTTAATTATACAAAATTTAAAGATTTTTTTTCTTCACTTTTTGGTGAGGCAATCAGGGTTAAGTGACTTGCCCAGGGTCACACAGCTAATAAGTGTCTAAGGCCAGATTTGAACTTAGGTCCTCCTGACCCTAAGGCTGGAGCGCTATCCACTGCACCACCTAGCTGCCCAGAATTTGAAGATTTTAGAAGAAAAATAGGCAACTAGGAAAAAAAATCTTTACAGCGGTTTTCTCTGATGAGAGTCTTCTATCTAAGAAACTAATTCAAATTTATAAGAAAAAGAATCACTCCCCAGTACAAAAATGGTAAAGAATATGAACAGGCAATTTTCAAAGGAAGAAATCTAAACTGTTAACAGCCATATAAAAAGAATGTTCCACATAATAATTAGAGAAGTATAAATTAAAGCAGTTTGGGGAGGGAGGGGCAATCGGGCTTAAGTAACTTGTCCAGAGTCACATAGCTACTAAGTGTCTGAGACTGGATTTGAGCTCAGGTCCTCCTGACTCCAAGACCAGTGCTCTATCCTTTGTACCACCTAGCTGCCCCAAAATTAAAGCAATTTTAATTCCCATCTTATGCCCAGCAGACTGTCGAAAATGACAAATATTAGAAAGACTGTGGGAAAACAGATACATTAGTACACTGTTGGTGGAGCTGTGAATTGGTTCAGCCATTTTGGAAAACAATTTGGAACTACGCTCATTAATCTGTACATATCCATTGACCTAGCTATTAGGCCTACAATGTAAAAAGATAAAGAAAGAGCAAAAGAATCTAGTACCAAAATGTTTAGAGCACTTCTTTTAAATAGTATCCAAAAATTGGAAACTAAGAGGCTGCCATATTGGGAAATAGTTAAAACAAATTATATCAATTACCCTCAACCTGATTTTAGCCTTTGTTCCAAGATGGTTTTATTGAGGTTTGGTCACTGTGCATACTATAGCTTCTTGGAGCAACAGGTGAGAGGTGTACACCAAGAGTAGGTGAGTAGCCCTGAAAAGGGCTCAGTAGACCCTCATACCAGAGATGCTCGTCCTCCACGAATACCCTATATACCAGCAGGTCTCAAACCCATCAGTGAATTTGGGAGATGTCTACCCCAAGCCTCTGAAGACTTCTCCCAGTGGAATGGGCCAATGAGAACAGTTTGTTCCAAGAGCCATGAAGCAGGCTAAAGCAGGCACTGTAGGGTGCTTAGAGCTTGGTCATATATCTAAGATGCCAAAGCATCAACTGCATCCTGTGCCATTACCAGTCATGCTGACTTTTGTCTTGCCGCTAGACTTTGATGACTGGAAGACAAAGTGAGGTCGACATTTTTGTGCAACTCTGGCCCTGGAGTCAAGAAGAATTGAGCTCAAATCCGGTCTCAGACCAGACACTTGACACTTACTAGCTGCGTGACCTTGGGCAAGTCACTTAACCTTCATTGCCTCACCAAAAAAAGCAAAACAAAAACAACTTTGTGCAACTCTACCTCACTTAAATCCAATTCACATGCAAGTCAAGACATCACCCCTTGTCATCGGTCCTCTTCAAAAATGAAGGACAAACAACAAACAAATTTTGGTATATGAATGTAATGGGCTATTACAAAGAATGATAAAATGTCATTTTAGAAGAAATTGGAGAGACTTCTTTGAATTGATGCAGAATGAAGTGAGCAGTTAGAAGAACAATTTATACAATGACAGCAACATTGTAGAGAAAAACAACTCTGAAAGACTTTCAAACTCTGATCAATAAAATGATAAGCAATGTGTCTAAAAGACTAGAAATGAAGCATACTGCTCATCTCTTGGTAGAGAGGTGATAAACTTAAAATGCCGAAAGAGACCTCTACTTCAGACATGGACAAAGTGGGATTTGTTTTCGTGGACTCTACATGTTTGTAATGAGGTCTTTCTTTTTTGTCCATTTATGCTCTTTCCTTACATCATATAGTTAATGTGTGCTCTATTCTGAAACACAAGTTTCAATAAAATCAGGGGTTGGAGTAGCTGATGTTTAAAATCTTATTTAGTGTTAATACTGTTTAAATCTGTAAACAGCATATTAACAGGCATAAATTTACTCATCCTATTGGAATGAAGAATTGTTTGACAGCAGACTTCCGAGGTTCAACTGATGGCCCCCTCGCATTTAACAATATTCTAAGATTCCAAAAGAAAATACAAAAACTCTTTAAGAGTTTGTTTTAACAGGATTTTCGTGATGGTGACTAGAAGAGTGAGCTCTAATGGGTCATCCTATCCGGGAGTGCCAAAGACTGTGAAACACAGACTGAGGACAAAAGTACTACCACATAGGATGTAAGGGAATAGGCAGAAGTAGGTGGCACAGCCTTGTACTGCTTCCTGAGAGGGATGGGTGTCTTGAAGCTGTCAGCTCCTTTAGAACAGGCACTTTACCTTTGGAATAATGGATGTAAAGCAGAAATTCTGTTAACTTTGAAGTGTTTATATAGATAATGGGATAAGGGTGGGAACTGGTTGCATTAATTTGGCATAGTCCCAAATGAGGGATCTCCCTCCACCAGTGTAGGTTGGTAATTTTCTCTGTGGCTTCTAGCCTTAGAACATTGCCTGAGAACCCTAAGAAGTTCAGTGACTCACCTAGGATCACACAGCCTATATGTGCCTGAGGTAGGCTTTGAACGCAGCCTTCCAACATGAAGGCATCTGTCTTTCTTACACCTTGAGACTTTTCATGTACATAGGAGCTATTATGTGAGTCTCTTTCCTCTGTGCCTTGAACTTTACAGGCACTTAATGTTGGTTGAACCTCATAGGAGATGTCAGATTCACCTACTCCCCACCTCTTCTGGTAAGAGAAAATGTGAAGTCAATCAATCAGTTGATTGAAGTCAATCAACAATTGATCAGTTTACTAGCTGTTAACTTTGCAGTAGAACTATGAAATATAGTTCCTGCCCTCAAAGAACATAGCCTCTGCTGGAGAGACAACACATAGGAGAACCATTTCAATTATAGCAAGAGGCAGTATGTGGTAAAATGCCAAGGTGAATGGTGCTAACAGTGAATGCCCAGGAGCTCAGAAAAGCATGGTACTCCTGAGGGCTGTCTGGAGGAGACTAGCTAAGCTAAGCAGTTGAGAAGGAAGCAGTTGAAAATACCCCAGCTAAGTCTGCAGATCTCTCCCTTTCCGCTCCTGTTGACCCAAATCCTTTTTTTTTTTTTTTTTTTTTTTTGCATTTTAACGATTTGCCTTTTATTGATGATATGAGAAGTGTGAGCTTACAGATCATAAAAGATAATGATTAGAATTACAGGATGTTAACTCTAAGAGAAATGAATACAAATAATCCTATAGGACAGTATGTGTACAAACAAAACACTCGTTCAACAAGTGGAAAATGACAAAGGGTCCAAGTATGTAGAGCTTACCCAAACCAACCACCAAAAGCTAAGACAACACTTCTTACAACAAGCAGCCTTTTGTATGAGTCCCAGTGCTTCCTTGGAGTTGGGAAGCTAATAAAGACAATTTTGGAAACTTCTACTTTAGTACCATTTAGTCCCTGGCATCTCAAAGTACTGTAATTACTGAGAGATTGTCTCATTCTAATTCATGGTGTGCTATATCACTTCAACAAGGACAAATGAGTAAAAAGTAAATAAATATAACAGTGCCAACTAAATCACAGTGAGTGATGTTACTTATCAAATCACCAATGAATAATCTAGCAAAACTATATCTCATCCAAAATATCTAAAACCCCAAATGCTTTTTTAAAAGGCCATTTTCTAGTTATTGATTTTCTCTCCTAATAGTGAGAAGATTGTCATCTGTTAGTAGGGAGATCTCTCTTCATGGCCTTAGTGTGACTGATGGTACTTCCTAATGGTAGTTTCTACATTCTTCATCATGTTCCCCTATTTTCTTTTCTCCTCTCCCCATTGCACAGCATTTCCAAGAGGTGTATAGCCGTAACCCTGCCAGCCTGCTGGAGGAACAGATTGAGGGAGCCCGGAGGCGAGTCACCCAGCTCCAGCGCAAAATCCAGCAGGAGACTGGTGGCTCAGGGGTAAGAAATTCCTTCTTTCTGTCATTTAGCAACCGTTTGTCAATACCTATAGAACAACACTGGGAAAATGGGAGGGTAACTGAGACACAGGCCTCGTGGAGTTTATGAGCTGGCAGGAAGCAGTATGCCACATACACCAATATTCAGGATGACCCAGTAGTGATGCAGCAATCCAAAACAGATTATAATAAAACACATACTTCAGTATGTCAATGAATTTGTGACCTCATCAGCATGAGTACTTTCTTTGTTGTTAAATATTGAAGCCCATTCACATCTTTTCTTCCTCTGCAAGTCTTATCCATGTCTTTCCATGATGACCTTCACCCTAATCTCGTAACATTTCTTGGATACCAGTATATTACTCAGGTTTGTTCTTTGTACTCAGGTTTGATCTGCTCACTTAATAAATTCTGGTTGACTGATTAATTGACAGTTTGTATGATTGATGATTTTTTGGCCACTTTTTACAATACGTCCTCATTGGTAATGTGCTGCAGCCTGATTATACTCACCGTGAGTTTTGCCATGGCCCTCTAGGTCGTCTACAGTTGTGATTTTCGTAGCCAATGCCATTCCTTTTCAGTCTTTTTCCTGAATCTTCATTTATGTCATGCTCACTAATTGGGTTTTGCCCAAAACTCTGTTCTGGGCACTCTTGTCTTTTCTTTCTGTACTTTCTCACTTGGTGGTCTCATCAGCTCCCATGGGTTTAGTTGTATCTATGCAGATGATAATCAGATCCAGACCTCATCTCTCTCCTGAGCTCCAGTCCTGCACCTCCAGTTTTTATCTGTAGGCTCAAACTTAACATTCTTTGCTTGGCATACCTTTGTAATCTTCTTACATTCTACTCACTTGCTCATATTCTGCAGTACAGCCATGCTGCCCTACTTGCTTGCTACACTCCCATCCACCATGCTTGGAATGCTCTCCCTCATAACTTCAAATCATTAGAATCCCTAGCTTCCTGAAGACTCAGCTCAAATGCTACCTCCTCCTGGAAGCCTTTCCTGGTCATTCTTTCCTGTTCCCTCCCTCCCTCATCCCCCTTCTATTAGTGTTGTTCCCTCTAAGATTACCTCCATGTAGTCTCTATGTTGTATATATGTTTAGGTTTATATGTTTTCCTCTCCCATTAAAAATCTAAGCTAAGGTCAGAGACTATTTTCCTTTTCTTTGTATTCTCAGCACTTAGCACATTTTAAGTGTTTAATAAATCTTTACTGATTTATTAATTGGTCACTGGGAGAATATTGGTGTTAAAAAAAGATGAACCATTACGAAGAGAAGTTTGAGATAATTGAAAGCCTCTTTTCCCAGTGTAATCCAACCTAGTGTCTTCCTTCTATTCAATACCAGGCTTACTCATTGTTCATTTGCAGTGTTCATCAACTCAAATAGCTCACCTTTAGAGTGCTCACCATTAAATGAATGTTTGTAGATCTAAGAATCATACAGTTTTTAGACTCTCCACTCCTTTTTCTGCCTCTTTACCACAATCACCCTTGGGCTTTCTGGGGACCATACAAGGTTGAGGGCCATTTTGTATATTTATCTGTTTCGTGCGTTGCCATACTGAAAGAAGTCATCTAGTCATCAAGTTTCAGGTCATGAGTTTCTCTGTACCTGCCTAGCTAGGCTAGTCCTGGTACAACACACATAATCTTTTGCTAGGATAGTACTTGAAGCCTTTCCAGGTTGTCACATCCTTCTGAAGCTTGTTCTCTGTTGCTCTTCAAGAATCCAGGGTCACAATCACACCATAATGCAACATAGCAATATGTGTTTTATAGAGTTTCAGAACATGGTAGAGGACAATGAGTCATCAAGCGTTTATTAAGCATCTGCAATGTGCAAGATATTGTGCTAAGCTCTGAGGAAACAAAGAAAGGCAAAAAACACTCTTTCCTCTCAAAGAGTTCATAGTCTAATGGAGAAGACAACATGCAAACCACTATGCACAAACAAGATGTGTGTGTGTGTGTGTGTGTGTGTGATAAATTAGAGATAATGAACAGAGGAAAGGTACTCGAGAAGGTGGGATTTTATCTGGGAGTGAAAGGAGGATAGTCAGGAAAAGGAAATAAAGAGGGAGACAATTCCAGGCACTGGGGACAGCCTGTGGCAGTGCATAAATGATGGAGTGTTTTGTGTGAAGAACAGGAAAGAAGACTGTCACTAAATCACAGAGTTTGTGGAGAGAAGTAGCATGTAAGAGTACTGGAAAGCTTGGAAGAGCTAATCTTGGAGATGATAAGGAGCTACTGGAGTTCACTGAATTAGGAGGAAGGGAAGGGTTGGCATGTCAGACCTGCTCTTTAAGATCAGCATGACAACTGAGTGGAGAATGGCTTTCATCATCCTACAATTTCTAATCAGCCTGGGTACTCATGCCTCATCAGTACCTTCCCCTCTGATTGGAGCAAGCTGTGAACTCCAAAACCTTCATTTAAGTTGAGAGGCTAAGCTAGCCATCTCTTCATTTCCCACCAGGCTGCATATTCTTTTGAGCTTCTTTGAACCTTTCTGTCATACCCTTGCTGGTACCTTCTCCTCCCTCTCCCTTCCTCACTGCTTTTCAACTCCCACCCCCCTTTAGATTGTAAGCTCCTTGAGGGCAGGATTTTTTCATATTTATATCCTCAACACTTAGTACAGTGCCTGGCACGTAGTAGTTGCTTAAAAACTGTTTTTTTGACCAACTGAGTAGAGTGGGGAGAAAGGCATGTAAACCAGCCAGAAGGCTATTGTAATAGTAGTGCAAGAGTGAGGTGATGAGAGTCTGCAGCAGGGTAGTGTCAGAGGATAGAAGGGCGTGAATTCAAGAGATATTGCATAGGTAGAATTGACAGAACTTGACAACTTACTGGATATGGGGTTTAAGAGAAAGTGAGGAGTTGAGGAGGATACCCAGGTTGCAAGCCTTGATGCCTGGGAAGATGGTAGTATCCTGTACATTAATAGAGAATTTCAGAAGAAGGGATGGTTTGGGGGAAAAAAATGAGTTCAGTTTTGGACATGCTGAGTTTGAGATCCCTATGAGACATCTAGAACTAGGCAATTAGAGAATAGGAAAGAGGTTAGGGTTGAGTAATTAAAAGCATCACGATAAAGATGATAATTAATTTCATGGGACCTCATGAGATCACCAAGTAAAATAGTAGAGAGGGAGAAAGGAGGAAAGTCCGTGACAGAGCCTTGGAGGACACCTACAGTTATCAGGCATGAATTGGACAAAGTCCAGTAAAGGAGACTGAGAGGGATCCTTCTACAACTTGCTCTTTATTGACTTTCAAGAGTAGGATTGCATCCACACCATAATGAAGCATAAGAATGCGTGTTTTGTAAAGGTTCAGAACATTATAGAAGTATGAAGTGCTATATGAAGTTGGAGAAAGAAAAGAATATTTGTACCTGGGGGAATCACAGAAGGTTTCATATGGAGAAGGTAGTGTTTGAGATCAGTTCACTAACCACTTACTGCATGTACTGGCTTTAGGCACTGTGAATAAAATAGCCAGAAAGAAGCAACTAGTTAAGAAGCAACATGTATCTAAACAAGTAAATAGAAAGTATATACACTGCAGATAGAAGAACAGACAGAATTTTAACAGGCTGAGGTGGATGCAGAGATACCGTAGTGTGGTAGAATGAGCAGTGACTCTGAACCCAATTCTCGAAACCCATCTCTTATATTTACTATCTTGGGCAGGTTTCTTTACCTCTCTGAGCCTCCTTCCTGAAAGAAGGCAGTTAGACTACCTAGTACCTAAGACCTTTTCCAGTCCCATACCTAATGATGTTCTTATGGAAAAATTAGGATCCCCTGTGGTGATACATTCCAACACCGAGTAGAAATTACTTTTGGATTATGTACTTTCAAAAAAAGATAATCTGTACTATAGTACCCTACCATTAATGTAGAGTAATAATTGCAATTACTGCTAAATAACTATAATTATCAGAGTGTGCTGAGGGAAAAGGATGAGTCAGGAATTGTACTGGCAGGCTTAATTATCCATAGAGTCACTCCAGGAAGGCTTTTCCTGCAGATGGTCTGGAAAGGGTAAATGTTCAACTACTACTTGTTAACGGGACCAGTGGAATCATTGAGGCAATGATTCTAGTATTCTTATACCCTCCCCCTCCCCCAGCTGATGTACAGTACCAGCCTTCGTTCTTTCCTTCGGGACCTGGGCGCTAAGTTTCACATATCATTATCTTTCCCAGTCTTCTGAACTTCCCTGTTTTTATCAGGAGCATCAACAAACCTCCAGTCTGTTCCTGGCTCCAGAACATTTGGAGACTTCCTTTACTCCTCACTCTCCCTCACCACACACATCTGGTTACCTGTCTGGTCTTGTCAGTCCTGCCTCTGCAACCTCAGTCACGTCTGTCCCTTCTCTTCACTCACACAGTCACTGTCATTGATGAGGTCCTCATTATCTTCACTGCGACTGCTGCTATACCCTTCTAATCGGCCTCCTTGTCTCAAGTCTCTCCCCTTTCCAATCCCATCTTCCGAAGGGCTGCCAGAATGATAGTCCTAAATCATGGGATTGATCAAATCACATAAAAGCTCAGTCAATCTCAGGGCTTCCCTGTTACCTGTAGAATCAATAACTCCTTTGCTGAACACTTAAAGCCCTTCACAGCCTGACCCCACGAGCCTGATATACATTATTCCCCTTCACATACTCTTCAGTCCAGCTAAACTGAGCTTTCTGCTTTTTCTTACGCATGATATTCCATGTCTCGTCTCTGTGCCTATAGATAGGCTGTCCCAATGTCTGAAATGTACTCCTTCCTTATTTCCACTTCTAAGAAGTCCTTAATTTCCTTCAAAGCTCAGGTCAAACAGTATCTTTTATATAAGACCTTTCCTGAACCACCCAGATGTTAGTGATTCCTAACAAAAATTACCTTGTGTTTATTTTATCTATATATGTGTGTGTATTTATTTCTTCTGTAATTGGAATTCTAAACTTGGTGTCCATAGACTCCCGAGGGATCTGTACGTAGATTTCAGAGACTTCGTGAACTATGAAAGAAAAAAAAATTGCACCTCTACTTCAATATAATTGCAAAGTGGAGAAAAATAATCCCATTTCTATATAAAAGCTTTTTAAAAATTTTAAAGGCATTATCCTCCTGTATTGCCCTCCTCCCCTTAACTACAGTGTCTTCTTTACTTTAGGCTGAATGATTTTAGTTCTTCCAACTGATCTTCATGTGGCATGGTTTCTAGAATCCTTATCTCTGAAGATACTCTAGATTGTCATTATCCTCCTTAAAATACAGAGCCCAAAATTGAATATAATGAATAACTGAATCAATAAGTCACCTGTATGATCATCAGGATGGTCAGAGTATAGTGACACTGTCCCCATCCTTCTTCTGAATGTTGTAATTCTATTCATGTAGCCTAAAGACCATCTTCTTCAGATTTTTAGACTGCTGTGTAATGCTGTTAAGTCATATGGAGCTTATAGTCTGCCAAGATCACCAGATTCTGGAATCTTTTGTTTTCTTCTAATGTCACCTCAAGGTCCCCTCTGATAGGTCTTTTCTGATTCTAGCTTTACATTTAAGGATAACTCAATGGATCTGAAAGCTTATTTGTAAGCCATAGTGGGAAAATTGTTATACTTAGCTTCAGGGCTCCCTTCTCTAATTCTGACTAGTTGTGTTATAAGGGCAAGTCATTTACCTTGTGTCTCTTTATCTGTAAAATGAAGATAACTTATAGAAACAGGATTGTTGTAGGAAAGCACTTTATACACCTTAAAGTACAACACACATCTGAGTTATTATTACCTATATATGGACTTGTCTGGTGCAGTTTACAAGCCATCCATGTGGAGGATCTGCCTCATCCTCAGAAACTGGATGGCAAAGCAATATATCTCTTGACCATTTTGGCCTATGAAATAGGATTTGAAATTAAGAATTATAACTGTAATGTTATTAGATTTGGTCTAGCTTTTTAGCCTAATAAAATGCTTTTGAATCCTGGTGTGTCAGCAGAAGTATTAACTATCCTTCCCAGATCTGTCACCAGCAGATTTGAGAAACATGCCAGCTATGCCTTTATTCAGGTAACTGATTTAAGTGTTGAAAAGAATAGGATGGAGGACAAGTACTTGAGGTATACTATTAAAAATCTCTTTCCAGAGTGGTATCTGTCCACTAATCATTTTGGTCATTCATCTACATACTTTTTTTTTTTTGATATTTTCTTTTAAAAAAAATTTTTTTAAGGCAATTGGGATTAAGTGACTTGCCCAGGGTCACACAGCTAGTAAGTGTCAAGTGTTTGGTCTGAGGCCGGATTTGACTTCAGGGCCAGTGCTCTATCCACTGTGAGACATAGCTGCCCCCTGAAATTTTGTTTCTTATTAATTTATTTATTTTTAGTTTTCAACATTCACTTCCACAAGATTTTGAATTCCATATTTTCTCCCCATCTCATTCGTCCTCCCACCCCAAGATGGCATGCATTCTGAATACCCCTTCCCCTAATCTGCCCTCCCTTCTATCTCTCCCCTCCTTCTCTTATCCCCTTCCCCTTCAATTTTCCTGTAGGGCGGGATGGATTTCTGTACCCCATTTCCTGTGTATCTTATTCCCCAGTTGCTTGTGAAAACAATTGTTTTTTTAACATTTGTTTTTAAAACTTTGGGTTCCAAATTTTCTCCCTTCCTCCCTCCCCACCCATCGTCATTGAGATGCCAAGCAACTTGATACAGGTTATACATATGTAGTCGTGAAAAACACTTCCATAGTAGTTATGTTGTGAAAACTAAGTATATTTCCCGTAATCCTATCCCACCCCCCATTTATTCTATTCTCTCTCTTGACCCTGTCCCTCCTTAGAACTGTTTGCTTCTGATTACCCCCTTCCCCAATCTGCCCTCTCCTCTATCACCCCCCTGCTCTCTTGTCCCCTTCCCTCCCTATTTTCCTGTAGGGTAAGATAGATTTCCGTACTCAATTGAGTGTGTATGTTATTCCCTCCTTAGCCCAATCCATATTCATCTACATTCTAAAAGTCTGAAAGTTCTTTTTCCCATGTCTGATCCAACTTGGAGGTTTTTTTTAAGATTCAGGTGAATGAGTAGAGTATGGCATTTTACTCATGCTAATGGAGTCCTCACTGATACTCTTAGTGTACATAGAGTCATCTTCATCTTCTTTCTCCTTTTCATCCTTCTTATCATCAAACATTATTGACAGAAAATGAAGCATTTTACTGTCACTTAAACAGACATCATCCCTGTCCTATATAAACATATTCTAACAGGACAGCTTTAGTTGCAGTATCGAGAAGACAAGGGATTCTGATTGACTGTCTTCTGTGCAGCCTTAACTGATTGTCCTTTCATCTGGGAATTTAATTTTAGGATGTAGTGCAACTGTATGACACCAACCCAGCTAATACGAAATCATCAGAGGGTGAGTTCCATCTGGATTTTCATTTCTTTCTGGAGTTGCCTCTTTCAGGTTTCTTGCCTATTCTCACTCAGATCCAGAAAAAAGATCATAGCCCTGTAATAAGAAAATGCATTCTAATAGATGAAACAAGACAGACATGTGTGGAAAATACATGCCACAATAAATGAGTATACTCATGCCACAATAAATGAGTATACTTATATAGAATAATAATATAGTAGAATCTATATGGTCAAAAGCTAGGGTTGTGTGGGAGAGATTGTGAGTCTGGTTGGGTATTGGAGATGAATCTAGAAATGGGGAGTAAAGAGGAGGCTTGGGAAGGATTTGAGAAATGAGATTATTTTAGGAGGCATTCCAGACAATAGGGAATGGTCTCTGAGTAGTTTTAGAAATGGGAGAGAACTAGATATGGTCAGGGAGCATCATTAACTTTGCTCAGAGGAGAATCTGAATTGGAATCAAAAGATGAAAGAGTAAACTGTTAAAGGAAAGATCAGACAAAAATGGCATCCTTGGGCCTAGGCAGCAATTGCCTTTCATTCCTATAATGTTCTCTTACTTTCCCAGGCCGTCATTCTTTGGATTCCCAAGATGGAGACAGTGGCTTAGATTCTGGGACAGAACGCTTCCCTTCCCTCAGTGAGGTGAGATTGTGGAGGGATTGGGCCCATTTGAAGATGTAAATCCTGTGCTTGAGGCTCTTAACCTATTTAAAGGTCAAACTGAAAATTAGATGTGCCAAGACCTCCAATCTCCTGTCTATGGGAATTATGCTCTGAGTTTCTGGTTTGTAAGTATTTGCTATGTTCTGGGCTCCAAAAAATAGTATTAGAAGTACAACCTGTAGGCAAATAAATGCATTTTTATTCCTACTTGCTTTACAACCAGATAGTAATTATCCAAATTCACAAGAATGTGGTTTCATTGAAATCCACAGTTATATTCAGCTTTTGATTCTTTTTAAAAATTGTTTAGCTTTAGGACTCTATTTTTATACCAGCATTTGAACATTAGTGTTTTAGTTATTCCCAGCTCCTCTGCTCAAGTTGGACATAGATATCACAGAGAAAAGTTTTTAGGTTTTGGTTTCAAAGACTTTTGAAAGACTCCAGGGCTGCTAGCATACAAATTGCATATGAGTAAATGAAGTATTAAGAAAAGATTTAGTTAAACAAAACTAAGGGATAATATCAATGCATTTCAAGAAGGAGTTGAGAGCAACTTTTTTTTTTTTTTTTTTTTTTTTTTTTAGTGAGGCAGTTGGAGTTAAGTGACTTGCCCAGAGTTTTCATGTGTCTGAGACCAGATTTGAATTCAGGTCCTCCTGACTCCAGAGTTGGTGCTCTATCCACTGTGCCACCTAGCTGCCCCGAGAGCAACTTTTAAGAACCTCATTTTAGCCAATAGTTTCACTTTCTTTCTCTAGCTGAACTGTCAGAGCTAATAAATACAAACATGGACTGATTTCATTCTTCCTCTGCTCTTGTCCACTCGTCGAGAAAAGCACTGAGGAGCTATGAAAAGAACAAAGTGAGGCAAAGAGTAGTGTAGGGACAGAAAGGAGGGAGAGCAAAGATCCTTAATGATTTGCAATGGGTCATCAGCCCCTGAATAATGGAGATTGCTGCCTGACAATAATAGCCAAACTGGATGAACAACCTAAGCATTTGGCTATTCTGTCACTAACATATCCCATCTCTACGCCACCCCCTCTCTCTCACACCCCTCCCCTTCCTCCAGTCACTGCTGAAAAGGAACTCGATGTTATCAGATCCCGGGCTAGACAGCCCGCGTACGTCACCTGTGATCATGGCTAAGGTGACCCAGCACCATCGGCGACAGGGCTCAGATACAGCCGTTCTACCCACCGCTGAACAGGTGAGTCAGTTCAGTGCTTCTCCTTTCCTTTTCTCAGAGCTCTGACAGCCTGGATCTCATCACTAAACAACTTGTGCAGTCTTATTACAGAGATAAAATCTTTATGTTCTCCAGAGTTATACCTTAAAGTGATCTTTACTTCTTCCATATTTCCCAGGGCTCTCTTATGCCCCCATATCATTCTGTTTTGAATCAGTTACTTGTGTACATGTCATATTTCCCCTATTAGGTTGTAAGTTCTTTGAGGGTCATTTTTCACACTTACATTCCAGGACCTAGGACACTGCATAGAGCATGTCCCTAATAAATGCTTATTTTTATAGTCTTGTGGTCTGAGATAAAAAGGTATAAAAGAGTGTTTATATATATATATATATATATATGTTGAGGGTAAGTGTGTATTTGGGGTAGAGAAAAAAAGGGGAATACCTGGGAAAGGTATGACTCAGCCAGGGTAAACTGGCTCCTTTTTTTCTTTTTAATCCATTTAGGAAATGTAGTAAGTATAACATAGTGGATAATAGGGATCTTGTGATCTCATTGGTATGAAATTTGCTCCCAGATAAGCAAATTCTCTCTACCAGTTCAGGTCAGCACTTCCATTGCACCTTACCGTCTTAGAGACCTGTCCAGAGCACTGAATAGATTAAGGGACTGGCCATTGTATGTCAGGTGGGATTTAGATACCAGTCCTCCTAGCTTCAGGGTCAGCACTCCATAGTCCTATGGGGCCTTTCACAGTATTTGATGTTTAAGTCCATTTAGCAGACATGTATTAAGTGCCTACTATGTGTGATAAAGTGAGGGGAATGCAAGCATGAGCCTTTGCCCACTATACTACGTAGCTGTGAGAAGATTAGATTGGAGAGGGAGAAGCTGGAGGGAGGGAATAATTAGTGATTATTCACCTCATCCAGGGGAGGAGTAATGAACATCTGAACTGCAAGAGTGGAAAGAAAGAAAGAGTTTATAAATGTAATAGAGTGACACAGAAATAATGTCAACAAGACCTGGCACTTGGTTAGATGTGGAGGATGAGAGAAAATGAAAAGTCAGAAATTTTTCTTAAGTTTCTAAGTGATGGAAAAAATTACAGTGCTATCAACAGAAATTTTGGGTATCTCTAAGGTTTCTAAGCAATGATGATGATCTTCGGTTTTAGATGTATTGAAAAGACACTGAACTAGAATTGTCTTAATAGACAGTTGAAAATCTAAGGTTGGGGTTCAAGGTAACTAGAGAGAGTATATCTAGATTTGAGACACATTTCTACAAATAGGATAATTGAAATGGTGGAAGGAGATGAAATGTTCAAGAAATGAAATGTAGAGAGAAAAGATTAGAGAAAAAAGGAAAAAAAAGATGACAGTAAACATTTAAAGTTATCTCAGTAGGCCTGAAATATTGAGCTGAAACCAGTAAGATTTTGAAATGTGACTAACAGATAAAAAGTCTTACATTTAAGTAAAATGAAATGACTTCCACAAATATGAGATAGAAGAGACTTTAATCAATGGGGAAAAGTTTGAGGTGATGGAGGAAGAAGTATTTTAATTGACCACAAGCTTAGTGTGTGAACCAATAATGTGATGTGGCTTCTGAAAAAGCTCATGGAACTTTAGGCCAAATGAATACAGTCATCATATAAAGATTGTGGAATTTTCCCACAGAGCTCTGTAATGGTCAGTTTCCTCATCTATGAGATGGATATCACGATATTGTACTGTCTGCTTCCCTCATTTGTGAGGATTGAATGAGATAATGTATATAAAGCATGTTATAGACTTTAAAGTGCTATATTAGTGTTAATGATGATCATCTTTATAATTATAATATGACGAGAGTAGAAGAATATCCAAAAAATACCTCTGGACTTGGGGTAGTGGTGAGAAGCATGCCTGCCTAGAATGTGAAGCCCAGTCTGTCTTGAGTAGAGGTGCTCTATGGATTGATTAATTTTAACTTACCTTGTACCTCCGTTAACCAAGGGAAGGACATTGTAAATGGGTTTGATAGAAGGTATTGTCACCTTACTGTCTTCCGTGATGTTCTTCACTTCAACCATAATCTACAGCTGAACCCCATCCCTCTCCCCTTATATTGTAAAATGATAGCGGTCAGGTAGCTGAGGGTTAAAGGGGTTCTTAGGGGTTGCTTGCTTTTTTGAAGTGGTCTGCAGGGTACTTACACACTCTGAATTGGTCCAGTAACCAAAACAATATATTCCTTTCCCACTGTGAGTAAAGCTCAGTCTCGGGCACCAAGCTGAGATAGATTCCAGAAGGTGGAGCAAAGATAGACCCCTTGGGAAACACACATGAAGTGAATGAAAGACAAATTAACACGTATAAAGGAATCCTTGAAGAGTCATGAAAACGATGAATACCTTGGGCCCAAAGAGACTGGACAGGGTCACAGGTGCCTGAGCTTCAAGTAGGAAGACAACAGTGTGATAAACAGTGTAATAAAGTGGTGAAGTTTAGGTTGAATTAGTCAGGAAAGGTTCTTGTAACAGGTGATATTTGAGCAGAATTTTGAAGGGAAGTAGAGAGCCGTGAATTAGTGGAGAGGATGAGAAAGAGATTTATAAAGAATGTCATGTAAAGAGAGAGAGGTAGTAATCATTGGCATTCACCTTTGCTGAATCAAGTATCATATTGGGATAAAGTGAGAATTCAAGATGAGAAGTGGCAGTTGGAAGAAGGACCTTCAAAGCCAGCCTGAGGAATTTAGATTAGGGGCACTTGGCAGTGGGGAACTTTACTGAAGGTTCTTGAATGAAAGAAGAATGTAAAGAAAGTGAAATTTGAGAGGGATAATAACAATCATTTTATATATTACTTTAAGATTTACAAAGATTTACACCCTATCATCTGGTGTTCAGTGTAATGAAGGGGAAAAAATAAAAATAAAAAATTAGGTTCTTTCCTCCCAGCAGAATTAGTCAGCAAATAATAGTACCTCCTGTTTGCCTAGCCCTGTTGTAGGCACTATGGGAGTTGCAAGGTAAGAGGCAGCTAGGTATTGTAATGGATAGAGTGCTGGACCTGGAGTCAGGAGGTTTTAGTTGTTTTTCAGTTGTGTCTGGCTTTTCATGGCCTTTTTGGAGTTTTCTTGGCAAAGATACTAGAATAATTAGCCAAGTTTTTCTCCAGCTCATTTTACAGATGAGGAAACTGAGGCAAACAGAGGTTAAATGACTTGCCTAGGGTCATGAAGACTTGAGATCAAATCCTGCCTTAGACACTTACCAGTGGTATGACCCTGGGCAAGTCTTTTAATCTGTCAGTTTCCTTATCTATAAATAATGAGGGATAATAATAGCATCTGCCTTCCAGGGTTGTTATGAGAATAAAATGAGATGTTTGTACTTTGTAAACCTTAAAGCATTACACGGATGTTAGCTATTAGTGTTGGTGTAATTGATTACAGTGTCAGGAGTTCAGAAGTCTTATCAGAAGCTGCAGGTTTGAGATTGTTCCCTGTTGCCCTACTCCTGCCAGATTTCTTTCCCAGACAGGAAGAGGAACATTCTCTTTCCCTTCCCATCTTCACATGTATGAATGACCAGGTTGCTCTGAGGCTTCCCCATCCAGAGATAGCTGATTCCTTTCAAGATGAAGAGGATTTCCATTTTTTTTTTTTTAATTTTGGAGGCAATGGGGGTTAAGTGATTTGCCCAGGGTCACACAGCTAGCTAGTAAGTGTTTGAGGCTAGATTTGAACTCAAGTCCTCTTAACTCCAGGGCTTGTGCTTTATCCACTGCTCCACCTACCAGCCCTGGTCCAGTCTTGTGTACACCCTTTCCATTTAACTGCCCGTTCCTATAATTCTCCTTTTTCCTTCAGGGTTTGGATCATAGTTCAAAGCCTTTGATTATTGGCCCAGAGGAAGATTATGATCCAGGTTATTTCAACAACGAGGTAAGAGTTCTCATGTTCTATCCCTTGATCACACCTTTCGTTTTCAAACTGCCTCTGAAAACAGGCTGTTTTGGTTCTAGCCATGCAGAGGACTATGGTGCAGGGTGGGAACTGAGAAGTCTGAAAAATGATAGGGGATAGGGGAGTCATACTGGGCCGGGCCAAACTATTCTGTACATGTGCTTATCGCAGCCATTCTTTCTACAGTGTGACATCCTATTCCAGGACCTAGAGAAACTCAAATATCGACCTGCTCATCTTGGGGTTTTCCTGCGCTATATCTTCTCTCAGGCAGATCCAAACCCTTTGGTAAGTCACATTTATCTTGATCAAATGCCCGAGGGTGTTTGACATGGTATTGGGCACTATAGAGAAGAGAATCATATTGGTTTCCCTGCTTTCTGGGAGATGTAGTTTATAATGAAGATAGACTGGTGTGAGTATACATGTAAAGAGACAACAAAATAAACAATACAGAACTTAACAGTAAAGGATTTCTGATATATACCTTGCAGAACTAACTGTATTAGAGTGTGAGGAAAAGTCCATTGCCCAGGCAGGTTGGAGCCAAGGAAGCTGTCCACTCTTGTCTAATAAGTATTAGAAGGCTTCCTGAAGGAGATGGAATTTTTAGACTTTTTTGAGTGAATAGGTGAAGACAACTTAGTGAGCAGAGATTGAGGGGGGATATTTTAGGTGTACTGTGGCATTTAGAGACTTGGCAAGGAACACACTGTCTAGCTTTGAGAAGGTATGTCTGAAAGTAGAGGTGACAAGTATATAAGGGGGAAGGAAGCCATAAGAGAGAAAATTGAAATAGAAACTTGCTGATTCTACTGTACTCTGCCTACCAGTTGGAGAAAGCAGGTAGAATTAGGTTTAGAATATGCTTTCTGCATTATGGGATAATTGTTTTCTACCCACTAACCCCAGGTCTATCACCAAACAAATTCCACTTTCTCTGGGGATTTGTTAAAGGTAGATTAAACATTTATTCAACAAATAATACTGAGCATCTACTATGTGTAAGGTGTATAAGATTCATGGATTGCTTAAAAAGATGTATGATTCCTTGGTATGTGTATTTCCTTATTTCTTCCAAAACAGCTTATAACCCTAGTAGATTGTCTTCATGAATTCTGACCGAAAAGAAAATCATCATCTGCTGGCTAGCTGTGTAGTGATAAACCTTTCCATCTCTCTATTTATTTGTTCTAAAACATCAGACATTATGCTGTTGTGGGCTTATTCTCAAAGTCTTTCCAGCTTGGAGGACCCTTCTTGGGAACTTGCACTTGGAGGATTAAACTATTATTAAACTGTAAAAAAGCAGTCCTGTCAAACTTTTGACTAGACAATTTAAAGCCACATTTGACTGGAAAGATTACTGAGTAGACAATATACAAATGAGTACAAAGAAAGTAGTATTAGGTGAAGAATGCCCAAATGCTAAGGAGTATGCAGAGTAAAGGATCAGTCAAGAGTTGGGGGAAGGAAGTTAATCAGGGAAGGCTTCTGGGAAGGTAGAGGAGTTTGAGCAGTTTTGAAAGAAATTTTCTTCCCACTCAGCTAACTCCTTTCTCATCTCTTCTTAGCTTTTCTACTTATGTGCAGAAGTTTACCTGCAGACGTACCCTAAGGATTCACGGGGATTAGGAAAAGCTATCTGGGCTATTTTTCTGGAAAAGAACTCGGTAAGATGGGAATGGGCAGTTTTGCCACACCCTTTTGGAACTTTCCTCCCTCAAGAGCAATCTCATGTAATTCCTTTTAAGTAGTAAGAAAAACTTGAGATCATTGATTCTGCAGATATCTATTTTATGCCTGTGCATTTCCTTTTGCTAGGCAGCATCATAATAGCAGAAAAAACACTTTGAATTTTGAATAATTAGACCTGATTTTGAGTCGTAATTCCAGCATTTAGTAACTGTGACTGGGAAAATCATCTAAGTTCTCTGAGCTTCACTATACTCCTATAAAATGGGAACAGCATATTTCACTGGATCAGAGTTGGAAGGGACCTCAGAGGTCATCTCTCATTTCTGTACAAATATCCCTTCTGTACAACAAGTGGTTATCAAGTCTTTGTATGAAGACCTGTAGTGAAGGGCAAATCATTTCTTCCTGTAACAGCCTATTCTGCTATTGAATAGCTTTCAGTTTTGTTAGGAGTTTTTCCTTACATCAAGCCTAAATTTGCCTTTTTGCAGCTCATATCCATTCATTGGCCATACCTCTGCTCTCCGAAGCCAACCAGAACTACTTTAAATCATGTCTTCCATGTGATAGTCTCAGAAGACACCCAGAAAATCCTGCCTTGGTCTTATATTCTCTAAGCTAAACACCCCCATTTCCTTCAGAGGTTGTAACTTCAAGGCTCTTATTATTCTGGTTAGACCTTTCTAGACCTATCCTATTTACCAATATATTTCCTAAATTGTTGTTCCAAAATTTAACATAATATTTCAGATGTAGTTTGACTACATCTGTTTGGGTACAGTATGGATCGTGATCACCTCCTTAGTTGTAAACAATGTGCCAGTGATTGCATTTGCTTTTTTGACTACCATATCACAATCCTGAGAGCTCCCTCTTCTCCCTTCTTCCTCTTTTTACATCACTCAAATACCTTCTGCCACTATATTCTCTTTCACTTCTGTCTCGTATATAAAACTGGCCCTTCTTCCTGCCAAGGCAAACCCCTCTACATGCATAAGTGATCCCATTCCATCCCATATTCTCCAGCAGATTTCTTCCTCTATTATCTCCACTCTCCCGTTTGTCTTATCCTCAGTCTTCTGCTTTCCTACACTCTATAGACATGTCCAGGGCTTCCCTCCCTTGATCTGTCCAATCCTTGTTAGCTGTCATCCCATATCTCTCCTCTCTTTTGTGGCTAAACTCTCTGAGAAGGCAGTCTACAGTCTTCAGTCTCTCCACTTATTTTTCTCTCACTCTTCTTAACTCTCTGTAGTCTGACTTCTGACCTCATCAGTCAACCAAAACTGCTCTCTCCAAAGTTACCAGTGATCTCTTAGTTGCCAAATGCAAGTGCCTTTTCTCAATCCTCATCCTTTTTGACCTCTCTGCAGCCTCTGACACTGTCAAACACATTCTTCTCCCCTGATACTCTCTTCTCTCTAGGTTTTTGTGACACTCTTCTGTCCTGGTTCTCCTCTTTCCTGTCTGACTGTTCCTCCTCAGCCTCCTTTGCTGGATCTTCATCCAGGTCTAGCCTGATAACTAACTGTAGGTGTCCCCTGAGGCTCTGTCTTTGGGCCTTTTCTCTTCTCTGTCTGTACTTTTTCTCTTAAGAGAGACCTTATCAGCTCCCATGAATTCAATTATCATCTCAATCTAGATGATTCTCAGGCCTTTTATATATGGAAAAAAAAGAAGAGTCATTGAGTCATCTTTAAAAAAAAATACCCAGGGACAGCTAGGTGGCACAGTGGATAGAGCACCGGCCCTGGAGTCAGGAGGGCCCAAGTTCAAATTTGGCCTCAGATACATAACACTCACTAACTGTAACTCTGGGCAAGTCATTTAACCCCAATTGCCTCACCAAAAAAAAAAAAAATACCCAGAAGAGAACAGAAAGAAAGCCCCAAAAAAATCACAAACAGGATAGCTTTTGAAAGCTACATGTTAAACTTGTGATATAATGAAAGGGAAAAACAAGCTATACATAATAGAGATTTGCATAAGTGCCTTTTTTGTATTTGTTGAGTTTACAGTAAAAATACATAAATTTTTAAAAATTATTACAAGAAATTATTATCTACTAGGCTTTGGGCTGAGAGGGCCAACAGATATCCAACTCATTGAAGCCCTTTATTAGTAATGGAATGGAAATCGAGAAGCATTTATTAAGTCCTTACTTTGTGTAAAGCATTTTGCAAAATACTAGTAGAAATTGAGATAATCTTGGCTCTGGCGTTTTAATTGGTAGAGGTACCACATCAAGGAATGTTCCAGTTCATGGGAGATTGACCAAATAATGACAAAGCTTTGAGGACCTTTGGAAGTTAATGGCAGGGCAGATGGTCTCTTACTAAGTGGATAGTGGGTCCAAAGATCAGAGTGGAGCAGAGCCCTGAAATCCCTTCAGTAAGATGGGGACCTGGGCATCAGCATCCTGTTGAGAGAGGCCATTCTGTGTCCAGTGAGAATTAAACAATAGAGCAATGAATGTTGAATGAAGAGAGGAAGAGTTGCTCCCCTCAGTGGCAGTAGGTGGTACTCCTCTGTTTTCCAGCTGCCTGTTGACTGGCTGAGGCAGGAGGAGAGGGTTCTTGGGCCACCCATTGGCAGACTGTGACAGAGGAGGAGGAGAGACAGTATGTGATACTTCCATGCCAGAGTAGTGGTTTGTGTCTCAAATTCCTTATCTGTTTCCTCTTTTCTGTCCAAGCATTCTTTAGTATATCTTGATGACAATATAATTTCTGTGATTGCTTCAGTTGATCTTTACCCAAATACTATTCACTGTCCTTAATCCTTTATGGTTCCTTAATTCCCTCATTTAAGTTTTAACTTTTTAATATAAAATATATATATTATTTATATATATATAATATATAATAATTATTAGATATTTAGGGAAATACATGAATGTGGTGTGGTTCACTGTCTTTATTCTGGGGTTAGGGAGCATACCATTTAATAGAATGTGCCTGCAGAATGATGAAATAAAATCGTATAGAATCCTTGATTAGACGATAAAGATTGTTAGAATCTCAAGCTTTGGTATCAGGTAATCTAGATCAGAAGCGTCAGCCTGCCTGAAATGTAATTGAGAAATGTTTAAAAACAATAAATAAAAGTACAGTATGACATGGGTAGTGTTATTCTGTGGTTTCCTAAGTCAATATATAACCCCAAAGGATCTGTTTCCATTTTATTTTGACATCTACGATCTAAACCAACTTGTACTTGAGAAAGAATCCATTCCACAGCATTTAGCCTATATTTGAGGACTTCCATCCAGTGATGGAGAATTTACTGCCTGCTGAAGTGACTTATTCTGCTTTTGGATATCTCTGATTATCATAAAGTTCTTTGTTACATCAAGCTGAAATTTTCATCTCTGCAACTTCTACACATTGCTTCTGTTTGGAGCCAAACAGAATAAATCTAATCATTCTTTCACATGACAGTCTTTATATATACTTAAAGACAACTGTCGTGTTCCCATGTTCTCTCCTCTAAATACATTTGCTCTATCTCTCTGTATGTGTATGTATATGTATGTATGTATATACTCCTTATTCATATAGTTTCAGGTCTCCTCATGGTTTTAAAATGTTCTTCTCCAGATTCCTCCAGTTTATCAGTGTCCTATATATAACATGGCCCCCAGAATTGAACACAGTTCTCCTGATGTGGTTCAACTAGTGCAAAGTATAGCAAAGCTAACACCTTTTTAGTTCTGATTACTGGGCTTCTATTCACACAGCCCAAGTTTGCGTTAGTTTCATTGACTTCATGTCACTCTTGATTCATTTTTAAATAGTTGCATTTTATTATTTTCAGTCAGCAAAAATCTGCTTTCTCTCCCTGTTCTGTCCCAAACCCAAAATCCCCATCCCTATTGAGAGTCAAAGAAGCAAAACTCCTATCACAGAAGTGTCTAATCAAACAAACAAATTTCTGCATTGGCCGTATCCAAAAGGGAACTAAATAAATAAATGTATGTATGTACATATTTATATTTATGTAAATATTTCATTTTATATTCTGTGTATTTCACCTCTCCATCGTGATATGGATAGTTTCTTCATTAGTCCTATCAAGTTGTGATTGATCATTATACTGATCAGAATTCCTAAGTCTTTCAGAATTATCTTTACAGTATTCTTGTCATTGTATAAATTGTTCTTCTGGTTTTGTTCGCTTTACTGTCCATTAGTTCACACAAGTTTTCCCAGGTTTCTCTGAAACCATCTTCTTCATCATTTCTTACAGCACGAGTATTCCATAACATACATATACCATTCCCCAGTTGATGAGCACACACTCAGATTCTCATTCTTTGCCACCTCAGAAAGAACTGGAAATATTTTTGTGCCTCCTTAGTCAAGAGTTTGTTTGCTTAGAACTAATCCCTCACTTCACCTATTCTCTCTCTGATTTCCCTTTTGCCCTTTTCCCTCCTCTTTCCCTCTTGAGTGAAATGTATTTTTGTACCTAATTGTGTGTGCATTCTTACCTCCTTTGACTAGTTCATATTAGAGGTTCATGTGTTAGCTGCTCTCCCCCTTGTTTGTATAGATGTTAACTTGTGCATTCTGATTATGTGAGATAATTTCCCCAACCTTCTTTTCCATTCCTTTTCTCGCCCCATCTTTCCCAATATATTCTTTTTCCCTTCTTTTTCCATTTGTAAGCATTAAGACATAATAGAACTCCCAAGCCTTGCCTAATTAGATTGTCTCTATGATCCCTCATGACAGTAGGGTTCAGAGACGTGTCATCTTGCCATATTAGAGTACAAGCAGTTTTTCCTCATTTTTGTCCCTTATTCTTACTTATCCATATTTACATTTTTATGTTTCTCTTAACTCTGTGTTTGAATTTTAGTCTCTACACAGCTCTGATCTTTTGGAATGCTTCGAAGACCTCTTACTGCATTAAAAATCCACTTTTCCTCCATAGAATTATACCCAGTTTTGCTGGGTGAGTTAATTTTGTTTGTAAGCTTGTGTCCCTTGCCTCCTGGAATATTGTATTTCAGGCTTTCCATTCCTTTATAGTAGTGACTTCTAAATCATGTATGATCCTGACTGTGAATTCTTTCTTTCTGGATACCTCCAGTATTTTTTTCTTTGACTTGGAAACTCTGGATTTGGGCTATTATGTTTTTGAATATTTTCAGCTTAGGGATAATTCCAAGAAGTGACCAGTGGGGGTTCTTCCTGTTTCCATTTTGCCCTCAGGTTTTAAGAGATCTGAGCAGTTAAGGTTTTTGAAATATAATGTCTAGGTACCCTTTTTGGTCATGGTGTTTAGATAGTGCAGTCAATGATTCTTAAATTTTTTCTCTTTGAATTGTTTTCCAGGTCAGTTTTTGCTATGACATAACTTAAATTTTATTTTATTTTATTTTTTCAGTGTTTTGACTTTATCTCATATAGTCATTGGTTCTGTATGGTCTATTCTAAATTTTAGGGAGTTTGTTTCTTGGACAAGGTTTTATATCTCTTGTGCCAAGCTGTTACTTCCCTTTCTGATTCTTTCTTCTATAGCTCTCATTTCTTTTCCATTTTTTCCTTGAGTATTCTCAAGGAGTAATCTATTTCATTGATTAAAAACAATAACTGTTTAAAAAGCTTGCTTCATTTCTTCCAGAAATTCTAATTGAGTTTGTATGCAAACTATATTTTTCTCTCTGGCAATGCTTATAGATGTTTTGGAGTCATTCTTTCCTCCTGGGTCTATGTCTTGATCTTCTCTGCCACAATAATAGCTCTTTACAGTGGGATTTTTGTTGTTGTTGTGCACACATTCTTCCACCCTATTCTTCTCTCTCTCTCTCTCTCTCTCTCTCTCTCTAAGGCAATTGGCGTTAAGTGACTTGCCCAGGGTCACACAGGGTCAAGTGTTTGGTCTGAGGCTGGATTTGAACATAGGTCCTCCTGAGTTCAGGGCCAGTTCTCTGTCCATTGTACCACCTAGCTGCCCCACTTCCACCCTATTTTTGACTTTGGATTTGATATTAGGGCCAATCTCTGCACACTTCTGGAGATAAGGGCTGGGCTGGTCCTTTTGTTACTTTCTTGGGTTATTGAATGTTGTCTTATTACAGGCTCTCAGGGACAGCACAGGCTGAGGACCTGAATGTTTTCTGTGCTTCCAAAGTGGCCTGAACCAGAGTAAAGGCTTGAGCCCCTGGTCTGATTTCTGCATGTTCCTGGTGTGGGTTTGGGTCTGAACAATAGTAGAGTGCTTCTGGACTCATTCTCTATAAACAAACCAGGAAAGTAAACTCTGCTGGTTTAGAGAAACAGAACTGCAAGCTTCCCTCTGGAATAGGAATCCTGCCCTGGCTGTTTCTTTGCAAGCATCGTACTGGGCTAGAAATTGGAACTGAAAACCCTCTTTGCTCCTGGGATCAGAGTCATACTGTCTTGGGCCTGCCATTGCTCAGTACCCATGAATACCATCCCTGGGTAGAGGTCCCCTCCTCCATCTTGGATCTGTGACACTGTACTGGGTAGACCATGACATAAGTGCCTATTGGCACCTATTCTTATAACCTTGCATAAGTTCTTGGTGCCTCTATGGATCAGGAGTAGTGTTCTCTTACATAGCCTTTCCCTTGGTGTTAGATAGCTCTGCCCAGGGCACTCCTAGCCAGACCTTCTTCCTTGGCAGACCTCTCTGATTCCCTTTGCTGACCTGGACTGGAGCAGTTACTCATTGTGACTTTTTTTTAAAGCCATGATTCTATCTGGTACATTCTCTAGATCTATTTGGAGGGTTTGGGGATGTGGGAGAGTTTCTGTACTTTCTTGCTACTCCTGCATCTTGGTTCTGCCTCTCTATTGACTCATATCAAGTTTGTAATTCACCAAAACTCCCCAGATCATTTTTCATAGAAACTAGATAAGTCCTTTTAAATAGCTCACTTTTTTCTTCCTCATCAAAACTGTTTGGTTTTGTCATCAGAATTTAATGAAAGCATCCCATTCCTGTTGAATAAATTCCCTGTGTAGGATCTTTGTCTCCTTTTAATTCTTTGAAGTTCATTGTCTCAATTCTGGAGTGAATGTCAAACAATGTCTGACTTTCCCTTCCTTATCCATCACAAAATGTAAGATCAGGGGATCACTTCTTCTCAAGTTCCCCTTCCTTTCTATCACAGCAAATAGTTTTCCTTTATGTTCCCTGATACTACTCTTATCACCTACTTTGATTTTAGCAGGGAGAGAGACATCTGGGTTTGAGCCTTAGCTCCATTACTCACTAATTGACCTTGGGAAGCTCACCTAATATTTCTGAGCTTCAGTTGGCAGCCAGAGTGCCCCTGTGCCCTTGGACAGGCTGTCCTCATGCTTTGAATACTGTCCCTCTTTAGTTCCACTTCTTCCCAAGATTGTCAAACAGGAATCATAATACTTTTCCCTACCTGATAGGATTGTTGCAAGGATCAAATAAGATTATATATATGAAACATTTTGGAAAGTTTTAAAAATGCAAGATATTATTGTTATTAGTTATTAGTAATTGTTATTAGCAGTAGTTGAAGCTGAGATAAAATTTAGGTAAGTTTAAAAGGAAATATTAACAGTTCTTTTAGGTCTCTCAGGGTATGTGGCCTGATCATATTTCCTCTTTTTTTTTCAGCCCTTAAGAGTGAAGATCCCTGAAGCATTACAGGCTGAGATTGGTAAGTCATCCAATCTTAAATTTCCCTCCTTCCCTCCGTCCTATATGAGACAAGCCTTGACCTGGTCTCTATAGAGAAGCACAGCATTTAGATGAGATACAGTCCCTGGCCTCTGGAAGTTTAAGGTTTAATAGAGGTATTAGAACGTATATGAAAGTAACTTAAGAACACATACAAAGCAGTATTTTAGTAATGGTAAATGGTTTCATTGTTAGTGTCTGTTCGCTTCAATTTAACAAGCATTTGTTATGGACCTGGTATGTGCTCGGCACTGTGCTCAGTGCTGGAGCTTACATTCTGTTGTGGGAAAATAACATGTAAACAGTAAGTACAGAATTAGGGGTAGGAACTTGACCTATGATTTCATTGAAGAAGTTCCCTCTACCAGAACTGTAGTCTTAGAGAGTTGCCTGGAGCATTGGGAAGGGTCACACAGCCGGAGTGTATCAGAGGTAAGGCTGGCATCCAGCTGGCTTTGAGGCCAGTTCTATCTACTAGGCCCTACTGCCTTTTGTATAATACAGAATTTTATAAAATGAATACAAAGTAGCTCAGGGAGACAAGACAAACACTAACAACTAGAAGACATCTGGAAGGAGGTGGTGCTTGATCTGAGCCTTGAAGTAAGCCATGAAGAGGTGGTACTAAGGAGTGGGGGGACAACCTATACCAAGAAACGGAATGTCATGTACAGGGAATAGTAAGTATGCCATTTTGGCTGGAATGTAGGAGTGTATAAGGGGAAATAATATAAAATCAGTCAGGAAAAATAAATTGGAGCCAGATTGTGAAAGTTTTAATACCAATCAATCAGTAAACATTTACTGATTACCTCCCACATGCTAGACACTGTATCAGACATGGGGTATATAAAAACAAAAGTGAGAATACCCCTTGGCTTCAAGGAGCTTAAGGTCTATCAGGAAGAGATAACATGTACAAATCTAGGTAAATACAAAATGGTTATAAGGTATGTTTGGGGCAAACCATTCCTCTTTTTTGAGGGGGATCAAGAAAGACTTGTTAGAAATGAGGATTCTGAGACAGGAGCGAGTACATTTAGTATGAGGTGGGAAGGGCGGGGGCTGTTCAAGGATGTGAGATGTAGATCTGTGTATGAGGAATGGTGAGAAGGCCAGTTTGACTGGAATCACGCTGTGCATGAAGGGGAGTAATGTTCAGTAAGTCTGGAAAGGAATATTGGGGCCTTGTTTTGAATGGCTTTAAATGTCAAACAGTTTATATAGTATCCTAGAAATAATGGGGAACCATGAATGCTTTTTGGGTAGGAGAGTGGTGTAGTCAGAACTGTGCTTTAGGAATGTCAACCTATATGGAGGATGAACTTGATAAGGGGAGAGACTGCAGTAGAGGGGACCAGGTAGGAAGCTATTATCCAAACCAAGAGGTGATGAGAGCCAGAACTGGGATTGTGGTCCTATGAGTCGAAAGAAGAATACAGTTGTGAGACATATTGTAGAGGTTGAATCGACAAAATGTAGGTGAGGTAGAATGAAGGGTAGCTCTTAATTTAAGATTGCAAACCTGGAGGAGATGTGGAGGATCAGTGAAGACGATAGAGGAAGGAGGTAGTATGGTAGAGCAGACGGACCTGGGAGAGGGGGGAGGAAGCTTTTGCCACTAATTTACTGTATAACTTTGGGCAAGTCATTTGTCTCTGGGTTTAGTTTCCTTATCTGTGGGGAGACGGCACAACACAAGAACACTGCACATGGAGTTAAAGGGTCTGTGTTTGAGCTTGGCTTCAGTACTTCATATGTATGTAATAGTGAGACAGTCATTTTTCCTCTGTGAGTTGGTTTTCTCATCTGCAAGATGAGAATAATCTTACAAGACTGGAAAGGTAAGAAAGGGTCAGGTTACACAGGGTTTTAAAAGCCAAACAGACAGTTTTCTATTTGATCTTGGAAGTGAGAGGGAGATACTAGAATTTTTTGAATGGAAAGGTGACATACTCTGACCTGGGCTTTGGGAAGATCGTTTTGATGGCTGAATGGTGAATGGATTGGAGTAGAGAAAGACTTGAGGCAGAGAATCCAACCAGAAGGTTAATTGTAGTAGTCCAGATGTGAGATAATAAGAGTCTGCACCAGAGTGGTGGCAGTGTAGGGAGAAAAGGGACATATGCAAGAGATATTATGAAGGTAAAATCAACAAGCCATGGAAACAGATTGGATATGGGAGAATGAGAGAGGGAGGAGTGTGGAAACAGATTGGATTTGGAAGAATGAGAAAGGGAGGAGTTGAGGACAACATCTAAGTTGTATGCCTGGGAAGCTGGTTTCCTCAGTAATAGGGAAGTTTGGGGGTAAAAGGAGAAGAATGAATTCAGTTTTGTGCATACTGAACTTAAGGTATCCACAGGACTTCCATTTCGAGATGTCTACTTGACAGTTGGAGATGAGAATGGACAGTTGGAGATGAGAATGGAGGTCAGCACAGAGGTTAAGGCTGGATAAACAGACCTGTGAATCATCTAGATTGAGATGATAATTGAATTCATGGTTGCTGATAAGGTCTCCAAGTGAAAAAGTACAGAGGGAGAAGAGAAATGGCCCAGAGACAGAGCCTCAGGGGATACCTACAGTTAGTTATCAGGCTAAACCTGGATGAAGATCCAGCAAAGGAGGCTGAGGAGGAACAGTCAGACAGGAAAGAGGAGAACCAGGACAGAAGAGTGTCACAAAAACCTAGAGAGAAGAGAGTATCAGGGGAGAAGAATGTGTTTGACAGTGTCAGAGGCTGCAGAGAGGTCAAAAAGGATGAGGATTGAGAAAAGGCACTTGCATTTGGCAACTAAGAGATCACTGGTAACTTTGGAGAGAGCAGTTTTGGTTGACTGATGAGGTCAGAAGTCAGACTACAGAGAGTTAAGAAGAGTGAGAGAAAAATAAGTGGAGAGACTGAAGACTGTAGACTGCCTTCTCAGAGAGTTTAGCCACAAAAGAGTGGAGAGATATGGGATGACAGCTAACAAGGATTGGACAGGTCAAGGGAGGGAAGCCCTGGACGTGTCTATAGGGTGTAGGGAAGCAGGAGACTGAAGATAAGACAAATAGGAGAGTGGAGGTAATAGAGGAAGAAATCTGCTGGAGAATATGGGATGGAATGGGATCACTTATGCATGTAGAGGGGTTTGCCTTGGCAGGAAGAAGGGCCAGTTTTATATACGAGACAGAAGTGAAAGAGAATATAGTGGCAGAAGGCATTTGAGTGATGTAAAAAGAAGAAGAAGGGAGAAGAGGAAATTCTCAGCAAATAGCCTCAGATTTTTGTCTACCTTTCTTATCCTTTCTAGAGCTTTGCCTAGGAGATAGATGAGTCTCTTAAGGGCTTGGACTAGTTGTCTCTGGGAACTTGGCCATGCAAGTAGGGGAATAGCACTTGGCTTCTGGTAAGAGGATTTAGGCTGCCCTCTCAGTGGAAAGTAGATTTTCCAGAAATCCTCCCCATTCTTATATTTGGGACCTGGATGCACAGGCTCTGTTTTTTGATCTAGGAATGACCCAGCATGTCCAAGCCTCAGTTTACCCTAGGTAAGGTGAGGTGGGAAATAGGTTAGGAAGATCCATACATAGTTTGAGGTCTCTAAGAGTCATTAATGTCTTTGTCATCTTCTGTATCCTCTCACTGGCAGATTTGCGCCTGCGCAACAATGAGGATATACGTAGTGCATTGTCTGAGGCCCAAGAAGCAGCTATGCCCGAGATCCAGGAACAGATCCAGGACTACAGGTGTGACAGCCTTTCCTTCAGGGCCAGGAAGAGGTTGGGTGTTGTTTAACAGGGTCAAGTATTGGCCAGCACAGATCCAATAGAGGAGAGTGAGCCAGAGGGTCGGTAGAGGCTACTGAGTTTTTCAGTCTCCCTTTGACCTTCCCTTCAGATTTGCTTAAATGAATTTTTTTGGCCTTCCTCATTTTTCTTGTTTCTCTGATGATCTGTCTGTTACTGTTTCTGATTTTCTGTTTCTGAGTGGCTCTGTTGTTATGTGTACATGTCTTTGTCTCTCTTCCTCTCCCTCTCCTTCTGCTGTTGTATCTTCCTTTGGTAGGACAAAGCGAACCATGGGTCTGGGCAGTCTCTATGGTGAAAATGACCTTCTGGACTTGGATGGGGACCCCCAGCGGGAGCGACAAATTGCTGAGAGACAGTTGGCTGCTCTTGGAGACATCCTGTGAGTGCCTGGACCCTCATATCAGAAAGTTTAGCTGAATGTCTAGAATACCTGGGCCTTTTCCTAACCCCTTCTGTACTAACTTTTTTAGCCTTCTCACTAGATTCAGTTCTTCCCTCTTAAAGAGGGGGAAATAAGTCCCCTTTCTCTGTTCTTTTAGAAAGGCAGGATTTTTTGAATGGGCTGCAAGAATTTTTAAAGGAATCACAAAGTATGGAGCTTACAAAGTTAACCAACAGCTTTTTAGCAGTAGTGACAAATTGTAGGCTTCAGAAATAGAGGAAATAAGCTTTCCCCTGTTTCCTTCCTACCTAGCCTCTTCCACTATTCTTTGCCTTTTGGGAAGGGTCTCAGAATGATGCCATAAACCCCAAGTCATAATGTGTGATACACTTAATGGTGATAAGCCAGAGCTAAGCTACGAAATGATATTCCTTCCTAGGAGTAATGCCTTCCTCTTTTCCCTCCATTCTCCTCCCCTCCACCCCCACCCCTCTCCCCTGGTGTTTGCTTCAGAAAGCAGATGGACCTGTCTTAAGAGAAATTGAACCATTTTTAATAATCTTGGCCGGAAAACTAAACTAAGTTTATTAAGTAGTTTCCGGAGCAGCTGCTGCTTACTATATCTGTCCAGCTCCATTTCCCAAAGCAATATAGACTCCTGTGATGTAAGTCCCAACATCAGAGTCCTCTGTGGGTGGTGATAAGTTATCCTGGACCAAACTTTGCCATTAGCTAACTCTAACCTTGAGCAAGTCATTTAATTTTTCTCTGAACCTTAGTTTCCTCATTTGTAAAATGAATGGGTTGGAGTAAATGTTTTCTAAGGTCCTTTCTAGCCCTAAAATCCTGTGGACATTCACTGTGAACTTTAGCAAGGAATTTTACCTTGTTTTTACTTTTTGTCAAATGGATAAATTACCTTAGCCTTTTCCACCTATGAAGAAAGAATCTAATAGATCATATTTTAGGAAATACTTTGAGATCACGGCTATCATAGAACTAAATGGAACAAATTAAGCTACTCATTTATGGTAGTGGCACTTTGGCCTTTGCCAATTTAAATAGCCCTCTTTCAATCAAGTCTGAAAATTTTTTTCTAACCCATCTCTTTTAACTGCAATTTTAGCTCAGTTCTTTTTCTGGTCCTTAGTGAAGATGGAAAAGAGCATTTTCTTCCCTAATAACTCATTAGTAGCTTAGACATACAAAATTGCCCTGCAAAAGACTTCCACTGTATTCTCTCCTCCTTTAGCTAGGGTGGTAGAAGCATCATGATCGTCTTCCAGTATTTATTGAGTGCCTCCAAGGCATGAGAATTCTCACCCCCTGAGCCCCAAGCTGTCTCCATCACCATGATTCTGATCTTCCTATCAAAATGATTCCCTCCCCGTCCTCTCTATCCTCCGCCTTTCTCTCAAGAAGAAACTTGCCCTCCTTTCAGTTGCTGAACATAGACCAGCATTGCCTTGCTGCCTGAGTTATCTTTCTTTCATTTCTCTCCTTGCAGGTCCAAGTACGAGGAAGATCGGAGGTAAGTAAGTATGTAGCATTCTCTGTTTGCATTCTCCAGATGTTGCCCTTCAGTTATGTCTTGGGGTTAAAGGGCAGTTGGTTTTGAACATCTTTTTTGCCTCTTTCCAGGTTGCTTGTCTGTGGGTAAAAGTTACCAAAAATCCAAGGCTGTTCAGTATCTCAGTTTAAATCCTAAATGACCTTCATGGTCATAAAGGTTGGAGGGGTCACCTATGTCTTTTTTTGCCTAGGGATTAAATCTGTCCAGCTCTAAAACTCAGTGTTCTTTTATCTAATCTTCCTTTCGTGGTTCCAGAGAGCTCTGTACTTTCTACCCTGCCCCACTTCTATTTCGTTGAAAGGCAAATATGTTAATGATAATAAAAGTCAACTCTTAGTTGTCTGAATTAATGGAGGGAGAAGTCAGTATTAATTAAAAGACAACAATCATATCTACTTTGGAAATAGGCTTTTTTTTGTTTTGTTTTGTTTTGCACTAAAGCTGATTTTGTTTTTTCTTAGGATAGTGAGAATGTGAATTTTCCTTCCTTGTGCCATATTTATTAAGGAGGGAATGAATGTGTGTAGTCAAGGAATACAAATTCATTTTGCTCCCATGGAAGCAGCAATGTGCTGGAGGAAAAGAGGAAGCCAGTCTGAGATAAAATATTTGCTGCTGATAGTATACATAGTGTTGGAAGTTCACCTGCAGATTATTGAGACTTGACTTTAACCTCAGAACTATGAAAAGTTTCATCTGCCAACAGCTTTTCTAACAGCTCTTTATGTTTCAGTGCCAGGGTTAGGGGAGAACTGGGATCTCCTAGTAACTGGTCTGGCCTCTGACCATAACTGAAACAAGCACCCTGATCAAGCGTCAGACCTCATGCTTTCCCTCAAATTCCGTTGTTCCTTTGTTCTAAAACTGACATTTGTAGCATGGGGTTGAGGGGTGGGAGGAGACTATTAATAACTCCTTCTATTGAAGTCTCTGGTGAAGGTCGTTAAAGGAAAGACTGGATGACCACTTGTTGGACATCATAGTTTTAGAAGGTGCTTCTCATTCAGGGACAGTTTGGAATAGGTGACCTCTGAGGTCCCTTCTAACTCTCAAATTCTGTGAAAGCTATAGGAATTCGTATTGATTTAGCTTCCCTCCATTCATCTGGAGAAGTTGTATGCTATTCTGCCTTAAGAAAGATAAGATTATGACTCCATTTGCAGGTTTTTTTCATATTCACCATTCCCAAGGGAGCCTTCTGAGGTTCTGTGTCCCAAGGCAGAACAAAGACCCTGACCTTACCATGTGCTGTTGACAAACCAGATGAGCCAGAAGTCAGTTTTGAGACCAAAAGTCCTTGACCATCCTCTCTTTTGCAGTGTTTCAATGGACTTTGCTCTCAACACCTATATGAGCCATGCTGGGATCCGACTTCGAGAAGCACGGCCCTCCACAGCAGAGAAGTCCCAGGCCATCCCTGACAAGGACAAGTGGCTGCCCTTTTTCCCTAAGACTAAGAAGGTGACTTCACTGCTCCTGGGCAGTGGTCTTTTAGGCAGTGTGTAAACAGGCATTTATTCTTTTTATTAAATAGTATTCTGTTTTCTCCAATTACATGTTAAGACAATTTTTAATATGTCATTTTTTATATAGAATTTTGAGTTCCAAATTTTCTCCCTCCTTCCTTCACCTTCCCCCCCCCCGGCACCCCAAGACAGTAAGCAATTTGATATAGGTTATATATGTAGAATCATGTAAAACATATTTCTATGGTAGTCATGTTTTGAAAGAAGAAACAGGCCAAAAGAAAAAAAAACCATGAAAAAAAAAGTGAAAATAGTATGTTTACATCTGTATTCAGACTCCATTAGTCCTTTCTCTGGATGTGGATAGGATTTTCCAACATGATTCCTTTGGAATTGTCTTGGATCATTGTATTGCTGAGAAGAGCTAAGTCAGTCATGGTTGATCATCACACAGTGTTGCTGATACTGTGTACAGTGTTTTCCTGATTCTGGTCACTTTGCATCAGTGCATGTCTTCCCAGGTTTCTCGGAAATCATCCTCGTCGTTGTTTCTTGTAGCATAGTAGTATTCCATTACATTTATATACCACAACTTGTTCAGCCATTTTCCAGTTGATGGGCATCCTCTCAATGCTTTGCCACCACAAAAAGAGCTGCTGTATTTTTGTGGGTCCCTTTTCCTTTTTTATGATCTCTTTGGGTTGCAGACCTAATAGTGGTGTTGCTGGATCAAACAGCACACACAGTTTGGTTGCCCTTTGGCCATAATTTCAAATTGCTCGGCAGAACGTTTGGATCAGTTCACAACTCCACCAGCAGGGCCTCAGTGTCCCAATTTTCCTGCATTTCCTCCAACATTTTCATTTTCATTTTCTGTCATACTAGCCTATCTGATAGGTGTGGGGTGGTACCTCAGAGTTGTTTTAATTTGTGTTTCTCAAATCAAAAGTGATTTGGAGCATTTTTTCATATAACTGTAGATAGCTTTGATTTCTTCATCTGAAAACTGAATAGGCATTTATTCTGTACCTACTCTGCACTAGACGTTAGGAATACAAAGGCAGCAATGGAATTGTTTCTTTATCATTGCCCTCAGAGCTTACATTCTATTGAGTTAGATACCATGGCCCTGCAGAAGCATATACAGTGCCACAGGGATTTTTGGTTTGCTTCACGTATGTGTTGGTTTTTTGTGTTTTTTTTTTTAAAACCAGACCTATGATTTCATTGGTGTAGGGAGTTCTTGGTAAGGATTTTCCTCTTCCATTGTAGATGGTCACTATCTGTGCTAGTTAGGGTCTTACAGAGTTCTTGAAGCAGTGAGAGATAAAGTGCAGGTTAGGGAAGGCTTCACACAGAAGATGGTCCTTCTCAGCTGAGCTTCTAAGGAAACTAGGGGTTCTAGCAGGCAGAGGTGATGAGGGAGCGCATGGAGTGCATTTCAGGCATGGAGATCAGCCTGGGCAAAGACACAGAGACAGGAAACGAGAAACAACTAGGAGGCCAGCTTGGCTGGATTAGCCTGCATAAAAGGCAATGATAATATAATCAGGTTAGAAATAAAAAGGTAGACTGGAGCCAGTTTGTGAAGTCAGTCAACAACCATTTTTTAAGCACATATTATCTTGTGTGCACTGTGCTAAGTGCTAGGGATATGGAGTAACTTAAAAACCTCTTTAAAGGAGTTCACAGTTTAATAGAGACAATGTGCAAACAACTATGTACAAACAAATAAGATATGTAGAAGACAAAATGGAGATATCTTTAAGGGGAGACACTAAGATTAAGGATTTGGAAAAAGGCTTCTTTTAGAAGGTAGGACTTTAGTCAAAACATGAAGGAAGCCGAGATGAGGGAAGAGAGTTTCAGGCATGAGGCATCAAAAGTGTACTGAGTTAGGAGAGCAAGTGTTTTGTTTAAGGAACAGGAAAGATGCCAGTATGACTAGGTCAGAGTATGTAGAAAGAAGCAAATAAAGTGATAGAATACTGGAAAGGTAGGAATGGTTGATTTATGAAGGACTGTGAACAACAAACAGGATATATTTGGTATCAAAATTGACAGCTACTGGAATTTTTGAATAGGGGAGAGGTAGTATAGTCAAACCTGTGCTTCAGGAATATCATTTTGACAACGGAAGGGAGGATGGACTGGGGTGGAGAGAAACTTGAGGCAGACAGTTCAATCAGAAGTCTGTTTGCAATAGTCCAGGTGTGAGGTAACAAGGGTCTGCATCAGAGTAGTGGCATACCAGTGGAGAGAGAGAATTTCAGTGAGTTGTGTCGCAAAGGTGAAATCAGTAGGCCTTCATAACTGATTGCATGTGGAGAATGAGAAAGAGTGAAGAGTTCAGGATGATACCTAGGTTGTAAGCCAGGGAACTTCAGAAAGGAAAGGGTTTAGGCAAAGGGGTGGGGAACCTGCGGCCTCAAGGCCACATGTGGCACTATAGGTCCTCAAGTGCGGCCCTTTGACTGAATCCAAACTTCATAGAACAAATCCCCTCTGTTGGTGAAGTTTGGATTCAGTCATAGGGCCACACTTGAGGACCTAGACACATGTGTCCCTGAAGCTGCAGATTTCCCCATTCCTGGTTTAGGAGAAAAGAGAATAAGTTCAGTTTTAGACATGTCTATGGAATTTCCATTTTGAGGTGTCTGAAAAGGCATTTGGAGATGAAAGGCTAGAGCTCAGAGAAAAGTTAGGGCAGGATGAGTAGATCTGAGAATTATTTGCATAATGATGAGAAATTGAATCTGTGGGTGCTGATGAGTTCATCAAGTGCAATAATATAGAGGGAGAAGGGAAGGGGACCCAGGACAGAGCCTTGGGGGTATCCACGATTAGGGGGCAGGACCTGGATGAAGATCTAACAAAGGAGACTGAGAAAAATTTTAAATCCCAAACAAAGTTTGCATTTCATTGTAGAGGTAATACTGAACTTTATTGAGTCTGAAAATGGAATGCTTTATAGAGTATCACCATGGCAAATGTGTTGGGGATGGATTAGAAGTGGGGAGGGATTTAAGGCAAGGAGACCAATCAGAAGGCTTATTGCAGTTGTCTGGGAGAAAAGTGATAAAACCAGGAATGGCATAGTGGCCATGTATACAAAAACAAGGAGAGGTTGTGGAGATAGAAACCAGATTTTCAACCAATTAGATTTTAGGGTGGAGAGTGAAGAATTAATTTCAGTGTTGTAAACCTAAGGAACTGAAAAGACAGTAGTGCTTTCAGCAGAATTAAGGACATTTCAGAAGAGGGAGTGAATTTGTGAGAAAAAGATTGAGGTATGTTTTTGACATGTTAAATTTTAGAAGCCTTTGGGACATCTAGTTGAGAGTGTCCAATACTTCCCTTCACAAGTTCTACATTTTAGTGAAACTGTGCTTCTTAGCATTTCCATACACAAGAAATGCCATTTTCCATCTCTATGCCTTTGCACATATTGTCCCCCATGCCTAGAATGTACTTCTTTCTCACTTCTACTTCTTAGAATTCCTAACCTCCTTCAAAACTTAATTCAGGTACCACTATGAACATGAGATCTTTCCTTATCCCCCTTGCTGCTTTCCTCCTAACATTACTTTATAAATTTGTATAGAGTTAGGGTTGTACATGTTGTCTGTCCTGGCAGAGGATGTAAGTGCCTTAAAGTCAGAATTTTTGTCTTTATATCCTCAATACTTAGTATGATGTCTGACGTATAAGGCACTTAGTAAATGCTTGTTGATTGCTACAGGACTGGAGTTCAGGACAGAGAGGAGGACTGAGTAAATAGATCTAAGAGTCACAGGCATAGAGAAGGGAATTAAACCTGTGATTGCTAATCAGGTCACAGTGTAGAGAAAAGAGAGTCTAGGATAGAGCCTAGGGGTACATCCACAGTTTGGATGGGACTGAGAAGAGGTCAGAAAAGTCAGAGGTTAGCTTTTTTTTTTTTAACAAATTCCAGAAAGGAGAGAGTATCCATGAAGAGAGGTGGTTGAGTGTCAAATGCTGCAGAGAGGTCCAGGATACAGACTGAAAACAAAACATCAGATATGTCAATTAAAAGATTATTGGTAACTTTGGAAAAAGATGTTTCAGTTGAATGATGAGATCAGAAACTAGACTGCAAAGGATTGAGGAATGAGTTAGACAAAAGGAAATGGAACAAATGAGAGTAAAGAACTTTTTCTAGCAGTTTGGTTGTGAAAGGAAAGAGTTATGGGACTGTAGCTTATGTGGGATAGTAGAGCCAAGCAAGTTTTTTAAGGATGGGGGAGACCTGGGTCTGTTTGTAGGCAGCATGCAAGGAACCAGTAGGGAGAGATTGAGGACTAGATGAAGAAGTATGGGCAACCTGCTGGAGAGATGAAAGAGGAGAGAATCAAGGGTACGTGGAAGGGGGTTGGCCCTGGCAAGAACGGTCACCTTTCAGAGGATAGGGAATGATGTCAAGTTTTTCTATATGTAGAGAAGGGGAAAAGAGAACATGTGGTGAATGGCCTTTATTTTCTCATTAAAATATTCTTTGAGGAGTTTAAGAAACTCTTATGACTATTTTCTTTAAGTTATCACTACTTTTTTTTTTTTTTAGGGCAGTTGGGGTTAAGTGATTTGCCCAGGGTCACACAGCTAGTTAGTGTCAAGTGTTTGGTCTGAGGCCGGATTTGAACTAAGGTCCTCCTGACTTCAGGGCTGGTGCTCTATTCACTGTGCCACCTAGCTGCCCCTAAATTATCACTACTTTTGGGCTAAAAGCGGGCTGCTGTTTAACAGCCACCCAGCTATATCTTTCATTTTGGACTTGGAATACATTTGAATACAGGCATCTGGCAAAATGGTGGGAGATGAGAATATGCCAGCGCTTACTTCCTCTCATTTTTTAAAATACAGATATAACTGTCATTCCCAAACTATCAGTGCACATGGACATCTACCATACCATTTTCTAGTCAATATCAGACTTGAGGGGGAGAATTGATTGGCACGGCTTAGTCTTGGGGCTTTCCCACCACAGTCCCACAATAATTCCTTCCTATTTCAACAGAGCAGCAATGCCAAGAAGGAAAAGGATGCTTTGGAGGACAAGAAGCGGAACCCCATCCTCAAATATATTGGAAAGCCGAAAAGTTCCTCTCAGAGCAGTAAGTATCCAGGCAGCTCCCGTTTTCCTGAAAGCTGGAAGCTGGCAATCCCCTGTTTCTGTGGATTTAGCAGGTTCCTATCAGCACTGCTCAGTCTCACCTTAGGTTACATCTGTTTGAGATTTTTAGAACTAAGAAAGAATCATTTAGAGCCAGGTACTTGATTCAAGAATTCCAATCCAATTAGAGCTAATTGAATAGCTTTTTGAATCAGTACATTCCTAGGCTTAACCTATGGTTTTCCTTGGGTCAAGGATATTCTTGGGGTGGTGGGTATAAGGGGAAAAAAAGTGTTATCTGCTGGTGTTAACTTCCCCCTCCTTCTCCTCCCCCACCCCCATTTACTACTCTCCTCAACCCTGAGGTGTATCCCTGCTCCAAAGGATCCTCAGAAGTTTAGGTCAGTTTTGGACCTTTGATGGAGTTGATACAGTCTCTGAGATATTGCCAATCTTGACAATGACCTAACCACCTATACTTAACTGACCTTAAGTAGGTGTGGTTTGTTAGGAAGGAACTGCTCTTCTACCTTCTCTCCTGCCTCTCCTGCTTGTTTGCTCTACTCTTATGCCCTCAAGGAATGAGTGGAATGAGAGGATTGAGGAGGGTGGCTATGGAAGAAGAACAAGGGATGAGCTTTCTGGCTAAAATTACCTTCTCAGAATGGGAAGACAGGCAAGGTGGGAATCATTTCTGGGTCATCTTTCATATTGCCCCTCTGTTTTCATTTTCTGGTTAGATGTGATTTTTTTGTTTGTTTTGACTCTTAAAGAGTTAATTTGACTTTTCGTGGTTTGTTTTTGTGTGTTTCTTTTTTGCTTTAGCATTTCATGTCCCCTTGTCCCCTGTGGAAGGTAAAACGATCACTTTCTTTTGGGATTTTCTTTGTGTTCAGTCTTTTTATCCTTGAATCCTCTATCCTGTTACCTTCCCCCCACCAAGCACTCCCTTTTGCCCAGAAGGAATTCCCAGGTACTCAGAGCCCCTACCAGACCCAGGGGTCTAGGATTAAGGGCAGCCCCTTTCTATTCTATAGAGATATCCTGGAAGTTCTGCCTTTTACCTGTCAATCAGGTCTCTTCACCTCTCTCATCTCCTGTGGATCTTCCTGTGCAAGATCAGCTTCTCAAACAGCATCAGATGTAAAGGAGATTCCTGTCCAGAGGTCCCATTCTTCCTGGTTTTTTGCAAAACCATCTCTTTCATTGAGATTCTAGAACTAGAATGGGCCTTTAGAGATCCTTTAGTGAGTGAGTCTACCCTCCTTCTACCCCAGTCCCTCATGTTACTGGTGAAGAAGCAAAGAGGTCCAGAGAAGGAAAGTCCTACAGATGGGTAGTGGCAAAGCCCCAAGGAGGGCACCTCCTCAGTCCAGTGTTCACACATGGGACTGGGGTGCAAAGTGGAATGAAATCCCACAATTAGGATTCCAGACGTCCTCCAGTCAGCTGGAAATGAGAAAAATTCCTGATATTCAGCAGTACCATGAAATTACTGTCTTTGAAGATGATGTTATTACTCTTAGTTAATTCAAATGCAGAAGTGTTGTGCTAGGAGTGCAAAAGTCAAAAGTAGTTTTTGCCCTCAAAGAGCTTATCTTTTATTGGGAGGTTGTAAGCTAAGTAATAAGAAGTGTACCCATGAGAGCAGGAGGAAAAGGGAAAGGGTACCAACACAGAGGGAGATGAGTGAGGGTTTCTTACAAGATCTGGTCCATGAGCATTACTTTGGCAGGAGTTTATGGTATGTGAAAGTAGGTAGTATTATTGTGTCTGAAGCATTTGTCATTTTTCCTAGAGAGTTTAGGGAGCTGCTGGAGATTTTTAAGCTGGCAAGTAACATGTTCACGCTTAGACTTGAGGAAGATGATTTTGGTAACTGCATGGAATATCAATTGAGGAGGCTTGGGAGCTGGTGACCAATTAGGAGACTCTTTGAATAGTCCAAAGGAAGTAAGGGCCTTGACTAGATTGGCTAGGTGTGGGCATAGGGAAAGAGACGCATTCAGGAGATTCAGAGGTAGAATCAGACAACTAATAGATAAGGGAGATAATGGAAAGGGAAAATTCAAGGATGGCTCTGAGATTGACACCTGGGTTACTGGAAGGATAGTGATTCTGTTAACAGAAACAGGGAAGTATGAATGAGTTGTGAGTTTCAAGAGAAAGATAATAATTTCATTTTGGACTTGCTGAGTTTGAAATGTCTATGGAATATCTGGTTAGGAGTGTCTAACAAGCAGTTGACTACTTAGAATTGGTTTTCAGAAAAAAAGATTAGGGCTGACCATATAGATTCAGGAGTCATGTGCATAATGATGATGATAGATAGAACCCATAGGGGTTGATAACATCATCAAGAGGTTGTAAAGAGAGAAGAGGACCCCGGACAGAGCCTTTGGCAGGGATTACTCACATTTGGGGGAAGAAGACTAATGATACCTCAGCAAGGAGACTAAGAAGCATGGGATAGGTGGCGTCAGCAGTTTGAAAAATTTCTAAGAGATCAAGAAGGATGAAGACTTAAGAAAAGCCATTTTCACTTTATCAATTAAGATTTATCAATTAAGAGATTTTTCGTAATCTTTGAGAGAATAGTTTTTTGAATGTGGGAGATGGAAGCTATATTACAAGGGTAACATTACCTGTTCTACTTATTTAAAATGGTGGTGTTGGGGGGGGGGTGGTGTTTTAAAATATTACGGATAGCTCTGATGACTTTAACTCCCACTTATTTCTGATTGATCGGCAGCCGTTGATCATAAAAGCCCCTGAAACCCAGATACTTAATTCTCAGCACATATTTCCCCTGTAAACATGACATTAGACTTAGACAATAAGCCATTTAAACCATTGTTTTATATTATTCTGAGAGATGGCACTGTGCCTTTCTTATAGGGAGTGTTAGGGTGAAATGGCCTGCCAAATGCTTCAGACTCTAGTTTTTGTCATAGCTTCATTTAATTCCAAATCCTCTGAATTCCCAGAAAGCCACCAGGCTTCTCAGTTTTCATGTATAAGAATACAACATAACAAAAGCTAGAGGACAATAATTTTTAGATGATTATTTCTCATTTTTACTGCTACTATTTTTCTCTTTGGCCAAAGGAGTCAATATTTGACGACATATGGTCAGCTTTCATGTAGTGTGTTTCTTCTTGCCTTCCCCTTCCCATTTCTTTCTACCTACTTTTGCTGTAATTACTCTTTGGCTCTGTGGTGCTCATCTGACTCAGAGATCTCTTAGGGTCATACTTCCTTGATTATTCCTTATTTTTTGTCACAGCCAGGGTGGGATATCCCCCAGAAGACAGTTGTACTTTGTACTCTATACCATATAGGGTATAACTTACACTTTCCTGGGGGTAGGATTAAGTCCCTGCACTCCAGTGAGTTTATCTTTTGAGATGTGCCTAGATTACTTTAAAGAGGTCATCTAACTCAGCTACTACCTTCTTTTCGGGGAAGACTGAGGAATGCTAGCCCTGGCCAACCCACAAAGGCCCATGTACACATTCAAATGATGAATAGACAGAAAATATATATCTTGAATCTCCTCTCCTGGTTAGGTGCTGCTTTGGGAATGACTGTTAACTCTTCCACATATATACAAGTTATTTTGTATGTGGATGCAGAGGGGCATTATCCCAATCCTGCCCCAAAAGATGTGAAGCACAGAAGCTTATCAAATTCTTTCCTCTAGTGTTCTCTGAATCAGAAACTTTCTTTTAAAATCTTGATATGAGAAGCAATGGAGTTTGGTGAATTTGTATTAGGTAGTGGGATCTTTGGGAACATGGCTATATAGAACATGGATTAGTATGGTCATTGTTGGGGCCTCAGCGCTTCGGATATTTTTTCTTTCTTGTTTTACCCATACTTACCACAAAGTCCCCAGTAGAAGAGTCATCTCCCTATGATGGTATAAATAGCTCAGCCCCAATCTCAGAATCATTAGGACCCCTAAGCTGGCTAATCAGCCTTCTAGAATGATTTCCTTATCCCCTTTCCTAATTATTGGGAACTAATAACAGTCCAATTTATGGTCAGTATGGGTCTTGGTTCTCTATAGTCCTAATGTCTGTGATTGGCTGTATGCATACCTTCTCTCACCTGTCTCTTTCTGCTTTTCTGGAATAGAACAGCTATCTGTAAGCTTTGCCTGGCTCAGGGCCAGAAGGTAAATGGCCAGGAGAAGGGTCTCTAGTCCTGGCATAATCCTTTCTTCTTTCTCTGGATCAAGGTGTTTACTTTTTTATCCTTCTCTGCTTTACCTGTGGTAAAGGAAGAGTTGAATTTAAAGAAGTTGGGAGTTGGAAGGGGTAGAAGGACCACAGAGAAACATCAAGACACTTTGACCTAAAGTTAATGGCAAATTTCGAAAAATGTCTGCGAGTAGGCAAGAATGGCCTCATTTAGGAGTACATTTAGATGATATACAAATATGTTTGTAGCATTGCTGCCTACTCTTACTTGGATATGTCCTTTAGGAAAGTCATAGTGGAGACTTCATTTAGCATCCACTGCTCTTGCTTTTGTCCTTGTCTCATTGACTGAGAAGGAGAAGTGAGGAGTCTGGAGGAGTCCCTGTGCAGAAAGGAGGGCATCATTTACTGAATTTTTACTTTACTTCTCCCCTATCCCTAGTCAAACCTGGCAATGTGAGAAACATCATCCAGCACTTTGAGAACAACCAACAGTATGACACCCCGGAGCCTGGAATGCAGCGACTCTCAACAGGAAGCTTCCCTGAGGATCTGCTGGAGAGTGAAAGGTAGTAAGTGGCTGGAGGGGCAGGCTCATACACTTACTGGACCAAGGATGGGGAGGACTAGGGACTAGGATGCCTTGGTTCCAGTTAAAGCCCTATCACTTGTGACTTTATTCCTTTACCTCAATTCCCCCCTTAGAGAAGGAAATGAATCAGAATCATGGTTGGGTTTATGTGTAAAGCGAAAGAGAAGGATAAATTTTAATAGTCTTCCAACACCTAAACATCTGAAAATCCCCATGAAGTCGTCATCCAACCTGTGTGTGAATACTCAGTGATGGAGAACTCACTGCTTTATAAGCAAAGCCATTCTGTTCCTGAATAGTCCCTTTTATCATGAAGTTCTTTCTTTATATGGAACTGAAATCTGCCTTTTGGTAACTGTCATCCATTGTTTCTAGTTCTGCTTCCTGAAGTCACATAGAGTCATTCTGAATCCCCTTTCACATGACAGCCCTTCCGATAATAAAGTTGTAATCGTAGAATTTTAGAACTTCAAGAAACCTTGGAAATCAACCAGTCCAGCTCTTTCATTGTATATGTGAAGAAACTGAGACCCAGAAAGCAAAGTAACTTGCCTAAGGTCACAGTGGGCAAGTGGTAACCCCAGATTTCCTGGCCCCCAGTGCCATAGGCTCTATTTCACTACACTGCCTCTTCTCCAGGCTCAGCAATTCCTCATAGAAGGCCTCAGTGGTCTCAGGGTCTGGTTGGAAAAACAACACTGACACATGAATAGATGACTAATAGTCTAAGTAAAGAAGACACAGGGAGTAGTGTTGTAGAAAGAAGAGTTGAGATGACTGGACCAGACTGGGCTCATAGAGGAAAGGAAGTCTAGTCTAGAGCTTGAAGAATGGTCATGGTATCCTGCAAGAGAACACTGAGGGAGAAGGCTGCAGAGGTAGGTTCAGGTCAGACCAGAGGACCTTGAATGCCAGGTTTGGAGTTTTATCTTCTAGGCAGTGGGGTGCCATTGAGTAGGAGGGTAACACAATGAAAACAGTATTTTAAGAGAATTAATGTGGGGCTGTGTGGAAGGTGGACTGGAGGGTATTCTGGAGGTAGGGAGATCAGTTGGAATATCATTGCAGTAATCCTAGTGGAAAGAGATTTGATCTTGAACATTGTAGTAATAGGAATAAGTAAAGGCTAGATATGAGGCATGACAAAGGAATCATCATAGTGTTAGAGCTAGAATAATCTTTAAGATCATTTTATTCAGTTTCCACATTTAAAAAATAAAGGTTGAAAGAGGTTGACCTGTCCAAGTCACATAGCAAGTCCATGGCAGAGTTGAGACTAGAACTCAGGTTTCCCAACCCATGGTCCAGTGCTTTTTCCACTATATTTTGCACTGGACTAAATGTTGAGGGTATAGAAGTGTCTTGGACACAGTCTCTGTCTTCAAGAACTTAGAACTTAGTAGCTACTTTGATACTACAATGGATCTGTAACCTTATTGGTGTGGCTACTCCCTCTCCTGTGCAAATCACCACCCATGACATTTTCTCATCCTTTTTTTATCTTGTCTAGATTCTCCTACAAATTGTCTGTGTGGAAAGAACCTAATGTGCTGGGAGCTAGTCTCTGTCTTTTACACTTAGTGGCTACTAGTGTAGTACCTTGGTTATATGTCTGTTGTTATCCTTTGTTCTTTCAACAAGACCAGCCCACTTTTTTCTGATCTTCCATCTCCTGGGTGTTGCTTTTTATATCTCTTCTCATAGTCATTGACTGCTGCTTACTGATACCCAGTTTAGGTCTCTCCATCATCTTTTGAGTCACCTATAATTTTGATTCTCTCAAGACTGAAGTGTTCCATGACTCATGGCCATAGAACATCACTAGAAGAACAGTGTGTTAAAAGATGGGTTTTGGTTTCAGGAGCAGCTTAGGATCATTGAAATTACAGTGAAGTTTTCCAGATGCAATTGAGCCTGCATTTGTTCTCCTGTTTGATTCTAGGCTCAGCCCGTTGCCCATCTAAGTGTCTGCCCAAGATATATGTCTAGATGGACTAGAACATGGGCACCCAATAAGTCATAGTTTAGATGATTTATCTGCTTACTTTTTCCTGTATGGATTATCAGATTGAATTCCTTTGAGTAGTTGTGGTTTACCTTAAGAAGTTTTAAAATATTCTGGGGCTTGATACAAAAGACACATCTGCGTAATCATAGCATAAGGTAATATATGACAAGTACCATGTCTGTGGTCTTTGAAGACAAAGAACAGTTTGCTTAGTTTCTTCACCTGTTTTCCTTTTAGCTTCTCATGCTGAGGAAGGAGCAGATGAGGAATCTCTGGCTCAGCCTCCTAGAAGAGATTTGTACTCTGAGGGTCCACCTGTGTCTCTGATCAGTTTGAGGGAACTTGGGAGCATGGTGGGGTCTCTGAGCACAGAGGAAGAAGCTCCAGCACCTTGTGATTGATTGAATATTGGGAGCTTAGAGGTTGGTTACTTGGATGACCTGGAAAATGATAGTACTTTTGACAGAAACGGAAGTCAGTAAAGGAGCTGATTTTTAAAGCAAAGATGATTTATCTTTTGGACATGTTAATTTTAAAATGTCATCTTACCCGAGTGGAAATGTCCAACAGGCAACAAAAAAAGCAGGACTACTGGAATTTATTTGAGAAGGGCTGATATCTCCAAGAAGAGAGTTTAAAGATAGAGGAGAAGGCTGAAACTTATTATACACATAAATTTAAGGGATAAAAAGTGGTAAAAGAGCCAGAGGAGTAGTCAAGGAGATAGAAACTAGGATAGTGCAGAATGGATATTTAGGAAGGAAATAATTTTAAAGAAGGGTAGTCAGCAATGTCAAAACATACAGAAAAGATTTAAAGAGAAAAGACCACTGGATTTGTGATTTGGAAGTTATTTGGTTGAACTTCTAGAAAGTACTTTCAGTACAGTGGTGGAGGTGGAGACATTAGGTTTCTCATAGAGAGAAACATGTAGCACACATTTCAAATTGAAAGGTGGTTAAGGATCTGAGCTTTTCTAAAAGGCATAATCTTGAAAGTGCTTAGCAGTTACTTGTGTGAATGGCCGTATTGATCCTAAATAGTTCCAATAACTGATTTCTGAAAGCCACTCTCACATCTTTGACCGTGTAGCCTCAGTAACACCAACAGTTTGTTCATAGTGCTGAAGCACTTTATATGCGAGTATTTATGAGAAATGTCTTGAAACCAGGTTGGGTCTGGGTCAGATTTCTCAGAACTGGTTGGAATGGATAGGCAGTTCATCCCCTATCTCGGGTGGGGAACCTTTGGCCTCGAGACCACATGTAGCCTTCCATGGCCTCGGGTATGTATGGCCTTTTGACTGAGTCCAAGTTTTACAGAACAAATCCTTTTATTAAGAGGATTTGCTCTGTGAAGTTTGGATTCAGTGAGAGGGCTGCACTTGAGGACCTAGAGGGCCACATGTGGCCTTGAGGCTGCAAGTTCCCCACAAATGCCCTACCCCTATGACAGTTCACACTGGTTGATGTAGGTAGTAGTCTGGGGGCTATCAGCATCTGGTTCATGGCAGTAGTGTACTCTAATGGCCCAGGTGCCCCTAGCTCAAATTTTGAGAGGCCCCTGAATGTTCTTTTGGCCTAGGGTACAACATGGAGTACAAATTATCAGTATTAACAGCAGCAGAAATGTATGACTGCACAGGAGTTGCTGGGGACCTGGGTCAGATAGGGATCAGAAATACCATCTCTTGTGGAGTCCAGATCACAACAGAACACCAAGAAGAGCCACATCAAATCCTCAGCTTCTTATCAACAATGCCTTTCCCAGAAAACAAAGGACCCCTTGCCACTTTGAGATGCTTGATTGCTAAACTTAGGAGATGGAGAAGAAGAGCAGGTGCCTAGAAGGGAATTGGCCAGAAGAGAGGCAGTGTGGTATTGTGATACTTGATCATAGGCAAGCCACTGACCCTCTCTAAACCTCAGTTTCCTTGTCTGTAAAATTGGGATAATCATACCTGTAGGACAGGTATAAGACCCCACAGTGCCATTGTGAAGTCCAAAGGAAATAATGTACATAAAGAAATTTACAAACTTTGAAATGCTATATAAATGTCAGTCATAGTGGAAAGAGTACTGGGCATAATGGGAAACCAAGGTGTGGGCAGGGAGGGGGCAACAGTTCTGTTAAGATATAAGAAAGGAGGAAAGTTAGAAAGCAGTGAGAACTTCCTGACAGGCAATGGCAGAAAGCCCTGGAATAGGCAAATGAAGAAGATGGTTGCATTTTCTTCTCGGGAGATCTTGGAAAAAGGAGGGTCCCTCCCCAGCTTGCACCAGAAGAGGGGACTATCCTGTACAGAGGCAGAGGGATGACTAGAATGACCACAGATAACCCTAGGTGAGGAGAATGGTGGTACTGGGTCTTGTTGTCCTCAATTAGGGACTCTGCTATCTACACCTTCCTAGGTTGGGGAGTTTGGGGGTCTCAGCCTACCCCTTTAATCCTTCTATATGAAGGGCTCAAAGCACATTGAAAGTCTGAGCTTGTCTTTCATCGCTATGATTTGCTTTCCCCTTTAGACTCTTCCTTGATAGGTCTTAGAAGAGTAGATCCTTAATTAGGCTACAGTGGGGAAGGGAAGGGAGAGTTGCCTTTGTTCAGAGAAAGGGAAGGACATGACCTTTGGCATTCCAGAGTGCCTGCTCCTTTGGGGCTTAGGTGGACCATGCAGAGAAGGTGGAGGGATTGTCTGGCTTCTGAGGGATGGGGGTGGGGAAGGAGAGGGCTGGATCTTGGTAAGGGCAGAGCAGAGAAGTCTGCTCTGAGTCCTCCCCATCTCCTCACTCAGTTCACGTTCAGAAATACGTCTGGGCCGCTCAGAGAGCCTGAAAGGAAGAGAGGAGATGAAAAAGTCCCGGAAAGCAGAGAATGTGCCCCGTTCTCGAAGTGACGTGGATATGGATGCTGCTGCGGAGGCTACTAGGCTCCACCAGTCAGCCTCATCCTCAGCCTCCAGCCTTTCTACCAGGTGGGTAGGATTGAAAGGGGATGAAAAAACAAATTAAAGCAGCCATCCTGATAATTGCCTGGTGCTTTGAGCGGAATGCTGATAACTTTCATTTCCATTCCCAGGTCCCTGGAGAACCCAACCCCACCTTTCACCCCCAAAATGGGCCGTAGGTGAGTGATTCAGCATCTTCTGTTCCCCAGCCCTAGCTTCTTACCCCCTAATAATGCTTATTTGTACAGAAGTAGCTAGAAAGGGCCCTGTTTGGTCCCTTCCTCCACAGAAATAAACAGAATCCTTCACCACTAACCCTTCATCATTTACAGGAGCATTGAATCTCCTAGCCTTGGGTACTGTACAGATGCCCTTCTCCCTCACCTCCTGGAGGATGACCTGGGTCAATTATCTGACCTGGAACCTGAGCCTGATGCCCAGAACTGGCAGCACACAGTGGGAAAAGATGTGGTAGCTGGGCTGTCACAAAGGGAGATTGACCGACAGGAAGTTATCAATGGTGAGGACTTGTGCTCTGCCCCTCACCTTCCATCCTAGGGCCATCCTTATTCCCCATTCAGGGCAACAACTCTACCTGGGCACTAAGAGTCCTTGAAGAAAAGCCTCTTGGTAACCTCTGGAGGTTGGGGGTCCATGCCAGCACCAGTAGGAGGCAGTGAAGTGTAATGGGAAATGCCCTGAATGAGGAGGCAGAAGAACTGAACCCCATTCTTAGTTAGGTGACTGTGGACAAATCACTTCCTCTGTCTGGGGCTAAGTGTCCTTATTTGTTAAAGGAGGTTGGACTATATGATCCTGAGTTCTCTTTGGGCATAAAAATGTGAATCAAAGATGTGGAAAATCAGGCCTTCTGAGGAGCTGGAATTTGGAACTAGTACTTTCCCCCCAAGAGTAGGGGGAATTGGAGGATCAAGGAGTTAGGACTCCAAAGCCTAAGGTGACTTCAGCTCTCTTCTGGCACAGAGCTGTTTGTGACAGAGGCGTCCCATCTTCGGACTCTACGAGTCCTGGACTTGATTTTCTACCAGCGCATGAAGAAGGAGAACTTGATGCCTCGGGAGGAGCTGGCCCGCCTCTTCCCTAACCTGCCTGAACTTATTGAAATTCATAGTAAGTAGCCCCATTCTTAAGTTCCCTACCCTTTAGTAACCTCCTGGCACTGTTCCTTAGCTCCATAGTATTACTACCTCCTGATCTTGTTCCCAAACCAGGCTCTTCTGCTTTGATTCCCCATATTCCAAGTCTCTTACTTTTGAATACTTCTCTTTTCTCCCCTTCTCCTTGGCATGCAGAGTTTGGCAATGAGAGCTTGTGTGTATCTGTGTTTTCTCTCCTCTTCCTCCTCAGATTCTTGGTGTGAGGCCATGAAGAAGCTCCGGGAGGAGGGCCCTGTCATCAAAGAGATCAGTGACTTCATGCTGGCCAGGGTATGGCCCCAATATCCCTTTTAGATCATGATTGGGGATGGAAAGCACTGTTGGGAGGCCAAGAGAGAAGCGAGGTCCTGATGTGTGGGAGGAAGAAGGGCTCTTGAGAGGACCAGGAGTGTCAGGACTAGTTGGATGCCCATTTTTTTTGTCTCCTTAGTTTGATGGTGCAGCCAGAGAGGAGCTCCAGCAGGTAGCAGCACAGTTCTGTTCCTATCAGTCAGTTGCACTGGAACTGATCAAGACCAAACAACGTAAGGAGAGCCGCTTCCAACTCTTCATGCAGGTACGGCACCCTTCTTCTGCCTGTCATCTCCTTACCTGTCTCTTGTCCTCAAGCCCTTCTGCATACCTCATAACCATGTATACCAGGCTTTCCTTCTGCTTAATAGAACCTCTAAGACTCATTGTTTTCCTTCACTCCAGGAAGCTCTCCAGCACTCCCTTAGATCACTGCTACAGCTCTCACTTAGTGGCTCATGTGGAATTGGAAACCAGGTTCCATCGCTCACACTGCTGCCTGCCATTATCTCTTAAACACTTGCCCCAGTCTGTCTCTGCCTTGATGGTATTCCAAATCTCCCTTCTTCCCTACCATGACTTGAAATTCCTCCTTACTCATTCTTCCTACCCAGGAGGCTGAGAGCAATCCCCAGTGCCGGCGCCTGCAGCTCAAGGATCTGATCATCTCAGAGATGCAGCGTCTCACCAAGTATCCACTGCTGCTGGAGAATATCATCAAGTACACAGATGGTAGGAATGTGACATCATCGAGGTGGGGGAGTGCATTGGTATAGAAAGAAGACACCTAAGGTGTCAGACATGGGTGTGAGTCTCAGCTCCACTTTTTTAAAAAATGTATTTATTTTTAGTTTTCAACATTCACTTTCACAAGATTTTGAGTTCCCAAATTTTTTCCCCATCTCGTCCCTTCCCCCACCCCAAGATGGCATGCATTCTGAATACCCCTTCCCCTAGTCTGGGGAATTTCTGTCCCCCTTCTCTTATCCCCTTCCCCTTCAATTTTCCTGTAGGGCAGAATAGATTTCTATACTCCATCGCCTGTATATCTTATTTCCCAGTTGCATATGAAAACAATTGTTTTTTAACATTTGTTTTTAAAACTTTGGGTTCCAAATTTTCTGCCTTGCTCCCTCCCCACCCACCCTCATTGGCAATTTTTATTAATATCTTTTGATTCTAGATCAACTAAATTTCCCCCTCTATCCCTTCCTCTCCCAAAGACCCATTCCATATAACAAAGAATAAAGAAAAAGAGAAGAAAAAAAATCAACTTAATACATAGAAAAGATCTGGAAACATATGCAGTGTTTCATACCCGTGGACCTTTTACCTCAGTAAAGAGTGGATAGAACTATCTTCTCACATCTCTTCTTTGGGGTCATACTTGTTCTTTGTAATTTTGCAATTTTGATTTTGCAATTTTTGATTACTTTGTAGTACATTGTTAAAGTCCTTGTATAAATTGTTTTCTTGGCTCTGATTACTTCACTCTGCATCATTTCATGTGTCTCCATACTTCTCTGTATCCATGGTATTTACTATTTCTTCCAGCACGGCAACATGCCATTACATTCATGTACCATAATTTGCATAGTATTCCCTAATCAGTGTGCATCTACTTTGTTTTCAATTCATTGCTACCACAAAGAGTACTCTGTAAATATTTTGATGTATATGGAGACTTTTCTCTTTATCAGTGACCCTGGAGCATATGCCTAGGCATAAAATCTTTGGGTCAAAGGATATGGACATTTTAGTCACTTACTTTCATAATTCCAAATTGCTTTCCAAAATAGTTATAGTAACTAATGTGTCATTCTACCAACAATGTCCAGCACAAGGGTTCCCTTCTTCACATAATCCCACCAGGATTAACTTCTCTCATCTTTTGTCAGCTTTGCCAATTTACCTTTTATAGGACATGGGCATGTTTTGTTTTGTTTTGTTTTGTTTTGTTTTTTGTAATCTGTAAAACCAGCATGACAGTACCTTCCCTGCCTATAATAGAAGGTTATTTTGAGGACAAAATGAGATTAAGAAAGTGAAAGTACTTAGAAACATGTAAAGTACTATATAGCTTTGCATTAGTATTATCATCATTTGAGAAAATGGCTTCAAACTTGGAGGAGGCAGGTTGGGCACATGCTTAGTCTCACTGCTATCCCTAGAACCTTATTCTCCTTTGAACATCATATACACACTTTGCATCTGGGGCATTAGACTTAGGAACACAGATACTGTCTTACTTGGCCATATTTTTCTAGATGTGACAGAGTCTAAGGTACTAGAAGGAAGCTAGAGAAGCAGTCCCTGCCCTACCCTGGTCACTACCCCATCCATCTACCTTTAATGTCCTGCTTCGTTACCTAGGTTCTTTTTCCTTTTCCTCACCAATGTCCCCTCAGCTCCTCTTATCTCTTCCTCCTCCGTTCCAAGCAATGGATTTGTACTTTTTTATCTGGCTCCTAGGCAAGGACTTTCAGGGTCCCCAAACAGTGACTTGAACACTGAGAATAAACTCAGCCCTTTTGTTTTAGGTATTTGGGACCAGAAATGATACAGATCTGATACACAGTACCAACCCCAAGGAAAGGAAAAGGTAGACCTATGATCAGGAAATGAGTAGCCAAATAATCTTTGGCTCTGTTCCACCACTGGAAGGGAAAAGGAAGGGAATAAATATTGCTATTGCACATATGATATTCCACACACTGTGCTGTGCTAATCACTTTTTGTAAACATTATCTCATTTGATCCTCACAACAACCCAGGGGAAGATAAGTGCTTTTATTATCCCCATTTACAATTGAGGAAACTAAGGAAGACAAAGATTAAGTGACTTGCCCAGAGTCACACAAACTAGTAAGTGTCTGAAGGCAAAATTGAATTCAGATCTTCCTGGCTCCAAGCCCTGACTCTTTATCTATCACATCACCAGCTGCCTCTGGAGACTGATCTGTAACATTTTACCTTCATCCTATCTTAATAGGCAGTACTTGTGAGTATCAGAAGCTGTGTCGGGCCCGAGATCAGTGCCGAGAGATTCTTAAGTATGTGAATGAGGCAGTGAAACAGACAGAGAACCGACACCGGCTAGAGAGCTACCAGAAGCGCTTGGATACCACCTCCCTGGAAAGGGCCAGCAATCCTCTGGCAGCAGAATTCAAGGTACTAGGTGGAAGGTAGAAGCAGTTCTCTGTCCTATACTGGTGACCAGCGTCACCACCCCTAAAAAGAGCCCTGTCTGAGGCATTAAGGGGAGACCTCTAGCATAGTGTATAAAGGAATATGGGACATAGATGTGTTCACCAGACAGAGTTCTAGGTATTAATTGGCAGGGTGAGACCGATCAAGGCTAAGGAAACGGTCTAGAAAAGTTTTTTGGCAGGGAGAAGGGAGTTGAGGAATAGCATGGGCTTCAGGAAAGAGGAGAAAGGAGGATGTCCTCGGTGGGGGATGGGGGACCTGGCAGCAGGCAGTGGTGTAAACAGCCTGTATGAAGGTAATGGGTAGGGAAAGTATGAATTTAGAATAAGGTGGGATGACCCCACCCAGAGTTATCATTGGTCTCTTCTCTGCCCCTTTCCCTTCCGACAGAGCCTGGACCTCACAACAAGGAGAATGATTCATGAAGGACCTCTAACATGGAGGATAAGCAAAGACAAGACTGTGGGTATGAATTGAGTGGCATAGGGTCAAGTGGAAATATGTGGGAAGTATGGGATGGAGTAGCCAATTCATTTGATTCTTCTAGTGCCCCGGGTCATGGGGTGGTTTGACCAAAGCTAGGAAGGGGGTTGGGAGGAAAGGGTCTCAACAAGTCTAAAAGGTGGCATTCTGAACTCCTGGGGCCAAACTAAAATTGGATCACCAGGCAGCACCTGGACCTTCATAAGAGGGATAAAGACTGAGGCTGAGTTGAATGGAAATATTTGCCCATAGGACCCCAGGGACATAAATCTAATGAATAATGTATGTATAGAGCTTTGCAAACCTTAAGACACTATATGAATGTGTGTGTGTGTGTGTGTGTGTGTGTGTGTGTGTGTGTGTGTGTATACACACACATAAATATATACACACATACAGATAGATTGGTAGATAGATAGATGCACAGAAGGAGATAGATACATACATGGTTGATAGATAAATAGACAGAAAATAGATGATAGACAGATGCATAGGTAGGTAGGTCGATTGATCCATTTCAAGAACTTCATGTTTGAGTTAGTGCGGATTTGTTATCCCGGGGTGGGAAAATTGAGAAAATTAAGGTTTACTTTGTGTTTTCTGTGCCCCCCTCCTTTCTCACCCAAGATCTTCATGTGCTGCTTCTGGAGGACCTGCTGGTACTGCTACAGAAGCAGGATGAGAAGCTGCTCCTCAAATGTCACAGCAAGACCTCCCTGGGCTCCTCTGACAACAAGCAGACATTCAGCCCTGTGCTGAAGCTCAATGCTGTGCTCATCCGCTCGGTGGCCACAGGTAGCCTCTGCTCCATCTCCCTCAGTGCAGGCTGCTCAGCCTTGCTGAAAAGGAACATGGCCTTGGCCTGGGGGGTCAAACTCAAAACAGAAACGGGAACCATTCATTAACTCTATGTAAGGATCCCTATGGTCCACGTATGGCTGTAGTTTTAAAATGTAATGTTAGCTATGTCTTATTGGATTTTTATTTATTTTTTGAAAACATTTCTCAGTTCATTTTAATCTTGTTCAGGCCCCACTGGAGGGTGTTGGAGGTTGTGTTTGATACCTTTGGGCTTGGGCCAGGTAGTTTTTTTAGAAAATGTCATCACCACTAGCACCTACTGTCAATATCACATGAGATTTGTTGGTTCCCTTTAAAAGTCAGTTGTGGTTCGTTTAGTCTTGCTGTGCCCTTTTTCCCTATCTTGGGAGGCCTCTTTGAACAGAGACCTGGTGCTGTCTTAGGGGAAACTACAGAGAGAAGACAGGCAGATGAACGCATGCATGCACACGCGCACGCACACACACACACGAGTCCCTGTAAGGGCTAGAACAAGCGAATGTGCTCCATGCGCTGCTAGGGAGGAGCTGATCTGGGGTGGCTGTGTCAGATTCTAGGAAGACTTCCTAGAGTAGGGGAATTTGGAACAGGCTTAGGAAGGTCTGGCAGAGAAGAATAGGAAAGACATCCAAATTGGAAAAATGGATGGACTGGGCACACGTGTAGAAAAAAGAGCCAGTAAGAATGGGAATGAAGGCCCAGTAAACATCCTTAGATAAGGAAAGACAATGAGAGAAAGGTCTTTCAAGGGTGAGGCTGATTTGATTCCTTGTCTTGTACCTTGTTAAAGTTGACTGCAAGAAGGGAGGTCTGGTGACTCTGAACATTCGTAGGTCAGTTTGGGGCTCTTTTTTAGGCCATTTTCTGGGGTCTAAGTCAGTTTAGGGCATCACTAACTTCACTTTCTCACTAGCCAGATTGATAGCAATGATGCTGCCATTCCTTGACTCTCCCCTCTCTCCTTACACAGACAAAAGGGCCTTCTTCATTATCTGCACCTCTGAGCTGGGCCCCCCCCAGATCTATGAGCTGGTTGCATTGACGTCATTGGATAAAAACATGTGAGAAAGATGGGTTTAACGTTATCCCCCTCTCCTTGAGCTTGGGTAAGGCAGGAGTTAGGCCAAGAACCTGGAGGGGGCAGGGCTGAAGCTCTGCCCTGGACTAGCTTAACCGGCTCTCCAGGGGAGCCTGGGCAGCAGAAGAGGAGTTCATTGAGACCCAGGAGAAAACAAGCAGCAGCTCCTGAAGCCGATCATGGAGGTGGAAAGTGGGGGAGCCCAAGGAGGAGCCAGATGGCAAGTCCTGAAGCTGACCCTCCTAGGCTTGACTCAAGAATAATCTGGTGGGGAAAAAAAAAAATCAAGAACTACAACCTTAGAATCTCTTTTCTGCTTTACTGTCTTTATTCTCCAGGCTACCCTCTCCCCCCCAACTTTTCCCTGCAATCATCTTAAAGGCGTTACTGTTGCCAAACTATTTAGCTTTAATGCTGGCTCCTGGAGTGCCCCAGGGTCTTGGAATAGACCCCCTTAGGGAATAGCAGTAACCAGAGCAGATTGGTTACTCTTTTACAACTAAACCTAGCAGTTGGTTAAGGTGCTTTTAAAGAGGGAGGCCAGGGATGCAAGGTTACAGAGGTAAGCAGTGGGGCTTTCCTTTTCTCTTTCCCTAGTCTCACGGTTGACATCTCTTCTTTTACTGAGTAATAGGTGGATGGAGCTTCTGGAGAGTGCTGTACAGAATGCCACTAGGAACCCTGGCATTGTACCAAGTCCTGCCCACCTTTCTCAGCCAGCCCCCCAGCAGCCATCTCAACACAGCTCCACACCCACAAGGTAATCAGCCCTCCCTGAGGACCCCCAGCAGCCAAATCCCTAAGGCACATGGCTTTTGACTTGTAGTTGCTTTAAACCTTGCCTCTGGGAGATTTAGTGGCATTTGAGCACACAGGAGATGGATAACCCCAAGAGGGAAAGTATTAGAAGAAAAGGGTTATGGGGCAGCTAGGTGGCGCAGTGGATAGAGCACCGGCCCTGAAGTCAGGAGGACCTGAGTTCAAATCCACCCTTAGACCAAACACTTGACACGTACTAGCTGTGTGACCTTGGGCAAGTCACTTAACCCCAATTGCCTTACTAAAAAAAAGAAGAAGAAGAAGAAAAGGGTTAACCCTAGGCTCAGGCAAATGGGAACATACCCCCTGTTCTCCATATTCTGCTGTCTTGGATGAAGAGTGGCAGTAAGCTGGTTGAGAGTAGAGGCCTAGCAAAAGCTTAGATGTTCCCTGCCTCCAAGTCTCCATCTAGATCAGCCTGATCCAAATGAATATACACACTTGGCCCTCCTATATCTCATCCCCTCATTCTTGCCCCCATGCTGAAGGTACAGAAGGTAGGATCCAGGGTTCCCAAGATGAAATGTTCATGACGTTCTCTCTGCTTAATGGTGAGATGGAATTTCATGGTGGCTAGCAGCACTCTCAGCATTTGTCTCACCATAGGCTTTTTCTTTCCTCAGCATGGGGCTAACTGACTCAGAAGCATCCCAAGGAAATGGCTGTCAGCCAGAAGTTGAACTACTGCCTAGAGGTAAATACCCCTCTCTATCTGTGTAAAGAAGGTGGTCCAGTCTGTCTCCTCGGAGATCTGCCTTAGGGTGATGATTAGGGTCATCTAGAGAAGTAGACATCAAGATGATTGGAAGGGGTTGAGAGGAACAGTTTTAAGTAAAGAAATATGGGGTAACCTGAGAAATGTAGTAGAAACATTATGAACTCTAAGTATTTGAAAGAGAGTTTTGTATTTAATCATAGGAGGGAGTCACTGAAGATTTTAGAAGGTGGGGAGTAACATAACCAGAGCTGTGTTTTAGGAAAATCAATTTGGCATCTATGTGGAGGATAGACTGGAGAGGAGAGAGACCAGGAGCAGTGAAATCAATTAATAGTCCAGTCAAAAGATGAGCTAGGGTTGTGGTTGTGAATGGAAAGAAGAGAACAGATTCGAGATAGCATTGGCCGCTGTTGCCTGTGAGGGTTGAGGTGAGGAAGAGGAAACAGTCAAGGATGATTCCAAAGTTACAAACCTAGGTGCTGCTAGAGAAGAATATTATAAACATTTCCAGGCAAGTCATTGTATCAGATATGTTGTTTAATTGTTTTTCTTTGTAACAAGGGAATGTTGGGGAGGGGGGAGGCAGGGGGCAGGAAGAAGTGATATAAAAATGAAAGCGAGCCCCCAAAAAGTTATCAGTTGGTTTTGTTTTGTTTTTCAATAGGCTTAGAGGAGGAAAAATTCTACTTAGAGGACAGAGATGAGTAAGGTTTTCCTACTGCAACAGACTCCGGTTTAATTTTCCCAAGAGACAAAGGGATTGGAGCCTCTTTCCTCTTTTGCCCTACCTCTTTAAATACCCTTTGTCTCTAATCTAACCTCAGCAAGCTACTACCAACCCATGGTGATGTCAACGCTAGAGGCCCTGAAGGCTGCAGTTCTCAGTTGCTGAGTCAAAGTAGAAGGGAGGGATGTAAAGACTGGAGGTTAGAAGACAGCTCTGTGTAGTGGGAGGAGCACCAGATTCAGGGTAGAGGGTCTGCGTTCACATCTCTGCTGTTACTTATTAGCTGCGTGACCATAGGCGAGTGATGTAATCTCTGGACTTCAGTTACTTCATTTACAGTTGGTGAGGTTGGATTAGATGATTTCTGAAAGTCCCAAGGAGGTTGTTGCCATCCAGGTATGAGGTGATGGAGGATCCAGACCTAGAGAATAAAGGCTGTGGGAGAATGGGGACAAAAGATACAATTAGTAGGATGAGATTTGGGGTTAGAGGTGAAGCCACAGATTCCCCATTTAGGAGTTAACCTCAGAGGGAAAAAAAAAAAAGACTAGAATCTTGGGGCCAAGAGAACCTAAAGAAATTCATTTGGTTTCCCTTCTACTCCCTGGTGTCCTTTGATGGTATCTTGATCCCCTAGGAGATGGGCAGCTCCTCCATGGCCTCACCCCAGCTCGTCGATTTTTCATATTTAAATTTCTTCCTTGGTTTCTGGGGTATCTGAATAGGCTCAGGACATGACACTGGAAGAGAAGGGGCAGGGGGATGAGCCAAGAGCATGAACGTGCTTACATAGACATAGACTGCTTTATTTTCCCCTCTTAACGTTCTTCCTTACTTTTGTTAGGTGATAGGTCCCAGCAGTGGGTTAATGGGAAACATCAAGCATTGTTGGAAGAACCAGAGCAAGAAGGCAGTGAGGAAGAGTTGGTTGCCCCAACATCCACCTCATCCAAGGGTGGAGGGGGCTTGGGCATCAGAACAAGAGGTGCTGTCCGCCTGCCCCTACCTGGCCCATTATTCATGGAGGGATTGGCTGACTCTGCCCTGGAAGATGGTGTGTGAACAAGGGGCCCTGTTCCTACCCCCCCACTCCCTGCTTAATGCCCACTTAATTCCTTTCTAAGCTTTATTTCCTTTGATTCTAATTGCATGGCAGACCTAAAATAATGGGGTCTAGGACCCATCCTCACTCCCAGTCCCTCTTCATGTATTATGTCTTAAAGGCTAGATCTTCTATCAGGGAAATGTCTGGCTCACAGTATGTAAGTGATACTCAGGCGAAGTTAAATGGGGTTTAGAGGTTCCTGTAGAGCTATGGGATCCTTGTTCTTTCCCAACTACCCCTCCCTTAATTTCCAGAGTAACTTGGGAGACTCTGTGGGGAAATTACTACTGTTCAGGACTCTGCTGGATCAAGTTCCTCCATCTCCATCTGAAATCTGCTTGGAATGCTATTAATCTGAGAACAATTTCCCCCACCCCCTAGTTCTACCTTTTGGCCTGGTATCAAAGAATTTGCATATCTATTGTTCAGGAGGCATCTGGGTGGGAAAGAGGGAGGGAGTAAGGGGAGTTTCCCAGAAGCCACAGCACTGTTTTCCCCCTCCAGTGGAGAATCTTCGGCACCTGATCCTGTGGAGCCTTTTGCCTGGTCATACGATAGAGTCCAGAGCTTCTGTGGAGCCAGAGGACGACCTCACACCTACACCTTCTGTCATAGGAATCACCTCCCACCCCTGGGACCCAGGTTCCCCTGGGCAGCTGCCAGTTGGGATAGAAGGAAATGACCTTGTGCCCTCTGAACAGATGACTAGCAGGCTGGAGCTGGAGACAGGGGAGTTAGATGATGCAGCCCTGAGCTCCCTAGAGCACCTGCCCCCAAGAGCTAGAAACTCTGGAATCTGGGAGCATCCAGAACTGGACAGAGACTTGACTGAAGAGCCTCTTACCACAGAAGCTGTTGGAGGTTACAAAGTAGTAAGGAAAGGTAAACACAACAAAAAAGGTAACTCTAAATTAAGGAGTCAGAGAGACAGACAACCTAAGAGCACCCAGGACCACCCCTTCCACAAGAATGCACTCAGATATATGCTTCCATTAGCTGAATTTGAAGCAGATTTTCCAAAAAGCTGCTGTCATTTTCCTTTCCCTGCCCACTCTCATCCTGAGCACCCTTGTGCTGTACTAGATGATGAAGGGAAACTCAGAAGTTGGAAAAGATCTCTGTCCCTTGGAAGCTTCAAGTTTAATGGAGGAGGTGTGGCTTCAGCCCTCATCTGCCTCCAGCCTAATGGGAGAAATTGACTTTGCCCTCCCAGAATGTTGTTTCTGATAGAGACTGTTGACCCCTGGGGATCCCTGTTCTGAGTGGGGAGGTAGGCTACAGAGAGCGAGAGAACAAACCTTCCAGCTAGAGCTCAGTAGGGCAGGAGGTTGTGGCGTGTGGGTGGGGGACGTTGGCAGAGTTACAGGGCATTGGATGAGAAGGGGTTTAGAGGTCAGTCCAATGGAGGAATGTAGAACAAGGTTGGAAAGGAAATCTGGGAGGATGTAGGAGGAAAGTAGAGGGGAACTCTGTGAGTTTTCAAAGGCTTAGGAAAATAGGATTCAAGACAAGACTAGCTAAGGAAAGGTGACCACCTCTGAGATGGTCCCAGGGATGAGATGAATAACATAATGGAGAGAGATTGTTAATAGAGGAACCAGACTGCAGGGTTTGGGTCTGAAATGAGAGGCAGTGATAACATAGCCACTGTAGGATCCTGGGCAGGGAAGAAGTGGGATCCAAATAGTGTTGGGAGGGAGATGCCAGTTTTTTATTTTGTTTAAATCTTCCATCAGTTTGATTATCAAGACTAGCCTAGTTTCCAAACTCCCTCTCTTTTAGGATTTCACATTTATTCCCCTAGGATTCGTATTTTCTCTCTGTGGTCTCTGGGAACTGACAGTCTTCATACTTTCTCTTTTGGTGAATCAGTAGAAAGTTCTCTCCAGTTCCCTGGGGTGTAATCATGTATGATCTTATGTTTACTTTGTTCTTTCTTAACTTTTTTCCCCTTTTTTTTCTCCCACCTCCTTTTGTTCTGTCTTTCTGTATATCTTTGTCTCTCCCTCTCTCCTTCCCTTTGTCCTCTCTCCTTCCCTCCCCCTATCCTCCTGTCTTCCTCTCCTTCCTTCCTTCTCTCTTCCCTTCCCTTCCCCCTTTCTCTCTTTCTTTCCTTTCTTTTTCCTCCATGGTGGTGGTGCAGCTGAGGTGGCAGGCAGCAATGCTGTCCCTACATTGCCAGAGTGTGGCAAATCAGAAACTGAGCCAGCAGAAGCTGGAGGCGGACCTAATGCCGCGGGTAACATATGGGGTTCTCTTGGGAGCTGCAAAGGGGTAGGGAAACTGAGTAAGGGCAGAAGTTCAGAGCCTGCCAGGAAAGCCAGGTGGGAGCAAGGGACTGCTGTCTGAATTAATTCTTCAGGTCAGCCTTTTAGATCCAGTTAGCCCCCAGTCACCAGCTTTCTGGTGTATAATGGTGAGGTGAAGGTCTGTAGGGGTAAAGGGGGATGGACATTCTGACCTTTGGCCCATACCTCTACCCTCAAAAAGCCACATGCCTAAAGCCAGTAATCTCCCTTATAGACAAAAGAACTCTCAGCTAGATAGTGTTCAGGAAAGGGAGGAGAGGAGAGATTACTAGCATGCACTCTTATCCTTGTACCTTGACAGCCTTGCTGACTGGAGCCATGCATTCCCCATCCCTTCTTACCACCAATAAAACAGGCAGGCTAAAGGTTAGATAGTTGCTCCCCAGACCCTCTCCTCTGTCTGTCTCAGGTCCCTCTTGTGACAGTTTGGACCTACCTTGAGTCTCTCTACTAGGATGTAGAGGGAACAAGAAAAGGAGGACAAATGTTATTCTTCTGAAGCAAAGCCAGCTAGAAAGGGCTGCTGTCTTGTTTTTCATTCAGGTTTTAAACCAACTCGCTGCCTCCATGGCCTGGCCCAGCCCAGCCCAGGCCCTCCCCTCCCCCTGCAAAGCATTGAGTTAGACCACTTGCTTCCTCATCTCTCCAATTGAGATGATTTGCAACTTTTTTTTTCCCCTAGCATCTTCCTCTCACTTCAGGCATTCAAACAACCCTTCCAGAACACTATTCCTTCCCTAGGTTGGGTTTAGTACAGAATGAGTTGCATGAAAACAGAGAATTTGTTTTGAAAGCAGAGAATTATTAACTAACCCACAGGAGACCCATCATAATGTGCTGATAATGCACAAGGTATGAGATGCTTCGAGAAGGGCATTTGAAAGGTGTTGTGCAAGAAGAGGGCGAGGCGTCCTCTCTCTTCTATACTGTTCCTGCAAGAAGCCTGACTTTGAGGAGCTGCTTAGAACCCCAGTTATTGGCTATAGTAGAAGAAGTGTTAGTTAGGCATGTTTTTTTGCTTCTTTCAGCCTATGTTTGTGTAGAGGAAATGGGGAGGGGAAGCATGTCTTTGCACTCACTGTGTACTCCTGCCTGATAATGTCTATCCCTCTGTCTCTTGCCATGGGAAACAGGAAACTGTTTTTATGTCAGCATGCCAACCGGACCCCCAGAATCAAACACGGACACATCAGACGTAGCCAGGAGCTTCTCTCAGCACAATGCCCCCCATACCTCCCCAACAGAGCCTGAGCACCAGGGAGGCAGTGGAGATGAGAGAAGAGCTCAGCGTACAGCCTCCACTCTAGCCCTCAGGGATGTGGGCATGATCTTCCGGACCATTGAGCAGCTCACACTAAAACTCAACAGGCTTAAGGTGAGAGGGAATGCTTGGCTGCCACCATAAGGCTTTTCCTTCTGGACCCCAGCAGACTCACAACCACTCTCTTTCTGTAAGGGGTGAATGGGTGGAAGATGTCTGAGCAGTATCATTTACTCCACTCCACCCACAAACATTTCTTTTAGGACATGGAGACAGCCCACCGGGAGCTGCTGAAGTCCTTGGGGGCAGAGTCATCTGGTGGTACAACACCTGTAGGTGGCCTCAACGCAGAGGCAGTTAGGTGGATTGAGAGCTCCCCTTCACCCCCAGCCAAGGAGCCCTTCTCTTCATACTCCAAGGACAGTCATGAGCAAGGACTAGGCCCTGAGGCTGGTGAGTAAAGCTAGCTTCCCCATCTTTGCCAGGGTGTGGCCCTGGCTGAGAAATAGCACTAGATGGAAAGAAAACATCTGGGATATATGCAAAGAAGAACAGGGATATGAAGGGAAGAGGGTTCTAATTTCTCTTTTGGAGATTGATACCCAATCCATTCCCAGAGCTATAGACCATGATGTAGGAGATACCTTTAGTGAACCCACCCTTTGCTCCTTGCCATGGAGATAAGCCTGAAAAATGTTGGACTCACAGCCTTATCTCCCAAAGTGACAACAGGGATGTTCCCTCCTCATTTGATGTCCAAACAGAGAAGATGGGCACTTCATTTGGGCTGTCTGTCAAGGAGACAGAGTAGGTCAGCTTCTCATGAAGCATGGAGAAGCCTGACGAGGCTGCACCTTACTATTCCAGGGCTCTCTAGGCCAAATAAGTGAGAGTTGTCTACGGTGACAAACACATCTCTCTCAGAGCCTCCTGTACCCATCTCAACTCTTCTTTCTCTTCCTTCCCACTCTATTCTGCAGGCTCTGACAGCCTAGAAGACAGTCCAGCCGACACAGCCATTTCACTGGGACTTTAATCACAGAAACCCCCAAGACTTCCTGGCTCCCCGCCTCCTCAGGGACTGCCCCAGGGCAGGGGACACAGGAGGGAAGACCCCAAACCTCCTTCCTTTGGGGAGGACTGGAATCTAAGCCAGGTCTGAGGGGGAGCCAGATGTCTGGCTCCACGCATGTTGCTTCTTCCATTCAAATCTCAGTCAAGTTTGCTGTCCTTTTCCCCTCACTAGAGCCTCAAGTCTCCTCTGTGCATGCTGATTGCATCTGAGAGGCCCCCTTTCCTTCCTTGAACACGTGTATGTACACATATGTGTATATGTGTATACTCCTTGCAGACTTGACTATCACATCTGTACGTTTGAGCAAGAGATGGAGTCGTCTGTATAAATGCACTTTCTCCACCCCTATCCCTTTCCTCATAGGATCCCAAGGCAGGGAGTTTAAGCACCTCCACTCCCTCCCCTTTGCCATTTTGGTTTTCTATAAATATGTATGTATTGTATGTGCGTCTTTGCTCTTGTAAATAACTTTACTCTTAGGCCTCTGCACCTGAGATGGGGTGGGGAAAGACTGGAGGCAGCTCTGAACGGGAGTGCCAGGGGCAGAGGAGACATCATTCAGTATATACTATGAATAACCTCTTCCCCAATCCCTAACTTAGCTCTGAGATGAGGGAATGAGCCGGGGCTCCTGAGGAAGAGCCAGGATAGATTGTCCCACATTCCTCTAGGCATGTGAGGGGGAAGCAGAAGGTTTCCCTCTGTGAGAAACTGTGAGAAACAGGGCTCCCAGATTCAGACTCCTCCCAGCTCCAAAGACCCCTGGTACTTGTTGCTCTCTCTTCCCTCCCAAAGCCAGGGAGAGCTTCTTTGCGGATCTGTTGTTAAACCAGCCAGATGTGGAATCCCTCACCCCATCTCTGTTCACTCCCACACCTACAAAGGAAACCAACACATTATGAATAGAGCTGAAAACTGAGTCCCATGGGCAGGGGACACTGAGAACTGGAACCCCTGCCATGCCCAGAACCTGCCCCCGGAAGGCATCTTCTCATTAGTCCCCATAATAGCTGTCCTTCCCTTAAAGATTAATAGAATATACACACTGTGCTAGGTGTATATATATACATAATATATATATATATAATATAAATATATATAATATATAAAATATAGATATGGAAATGACTGCTGTTAAAAATGATGTATAATCTTTTATTTTCCTTTTATGGTTAAGATTTTTTTTTTAAGAAAACTTAAATATTCTTCAGCTGTGGTGGTGTGTGATTCTTGGAATAGGCTTTTCCTGGGAGAGCACTGGGGAGGGCCTCACCAACAGGACCTCCTGCCCAAATACCTGTTCTTAAATCACCATTTTCATCTAAGAACCTCCTATAAAGGTGCTAATAGATCTGGGTTGTACACAGACACAGCTCGTAAAGTTCACAGGCAAACCAAAAAATCAGGATATATTTCAATACTTAAAGGAGCTAAGGTTTAGGTTTGTCAGCTACCTCCAGAAATGCAGATTGAAGCTGCTCTCAATTTCGTGGATAGAATTCATTACCCTGAGACCAGCCTGGTGATGAGCTTCTAAGACCATAGACAGCGATCCACCCATGAGCATGTAATTAGCATCTGTTCCATCACCCACTGCCCTGGCTTTGTACTGGGTCGTGGCCCTTTCCCTGCTGGAACACAAAATAGAGCAAAGCTAAACTGGGTTATCTTGACCTTCACTGTGGCAGGAGTTCAGAGAGAGGGATGATGGAATGTCTGGAGGAAAACTTCATAAAAGAGAACTTGAGATGGGCTACAGTAACTGAAATTTACATTGTATTTTAAAGTTAGTAAAGCATTTTACAAACACTATCTCATTTGAGCCTTGGTTACTATAGAAATGAATCCCATTTTACAGAAGATGAAATTGAAACTCAGAGATTAATCCAAGGTCACACACAAATAGTGAATGACAGGTCCAGGACATCCTGACTCCTGGCCCAGTGCTCTTTCTACACCATGCTAAAGAGAAGGTTGAAGAGGTAAGTAGCCTTGAACACCAAACTTGAGAGTTTGACCTGTGCCCTGTAGGCAGTGGAAAACAGGGGAAATGATGTGTAAAGTGTTTTAAACAAATTCACATGCCTGCAGAGCCCTGAACTTGGGAGTCAGGTTTTAGTCTTAGCTCCACTAATTTACTACTTTTCTCTTTGGCCCATAGCAAGGGAATTGTTCTAAATGAGCTCTGAGCTACCTCCCATCTCTAAAGATCCATGATTCCATAAAATGGAGAGAATAGAACCTTGAATGATTGCTAAATTTAGATGGCCAAAGAAGACGAAAGGGAAGGTGGGGAGCATTACTCACAGAGGCTGTAACTTAAGCAAAATTATGGAACTGTGTTTAGACTGATCAGAGCAGAAGCATGTTAAGGAGCAGTGGAAAACAAAGTTGGCTAAGAGGGTAGGTCCAAGTATTAAAGGCTTTGGCACTGTCCATATACAACCAGGAGTAAATGTAGAATGGAATATGGGAGAGCTAGGTGGCACAGTAGATAGAGCACCAGCCCTGGAGTTAGAAGGACCTAAGTTCAAATCCAGTGTCAGACCAGATGCTTGACACTTAACTAGCTGTGTGACAATGGGCTCACTTAACCCCAGTTGCCTTGCCAAAAAAAAAAAAAGAAAACAAAACAAAACATGGGAACAAAGCTAGGGAACTGCCATCACAGACATGGTGGCAGGTCAAGTGAAGCCTAGGAAGGCTTCTTGTCTAAGGAAGAATTTTAAGAATTGTTGGCATGGAGAATTGGGAGATGGCTCAAAAGGCTAGAAGGAAGTTGAGTGGGAAGAATTTTCATCATTCCATTGAACTGCAGCTTATTCAGTCTAGTAAATACACCTATCCCCAGTGCTTCCTGTGCATTAATTAATCCCAGGCCTAGGTTTTAGGGTGGCACCCGATAAGATACACTATTGATCTCCATAGGGCTTTTCTCAGTTTTACTGGGAGAAGCAGCACACAGATTCTATGTAATCCCCTTAGACAGTTCTAGATGTTGGTGCTCAGAAAGATTAGAGGAACTGCAAGAAACACAGTCAAGAAAGTCAACTCTGGAACATGTAGAAGAGTTGAAAAGGAAGGGACTGGGAGGTGGGAGGCTGGGATGGACATTTCCAGGTTGATTCAGCCTGTAGAGGTGTAGAATCAAGATAACTAGATGGGGGTCCTTCATAATCTAGCTCTGACTTCTCTTTCCAGACAAACCCTGTTCTCTCCTTTACATATTGTGGCATTTGGACCCAACTTTCTGTTCCCTGAATGTGATATTCCCCCTGCCTCTCTACCTTTTGCACAGGCTCTGTCGCTGTTGCCTGACATGCTCTCCCTCCTCAGCCCGACTTTGTTGGGTCCTTGGCTTCCTTCAAAGCGTACCCCAGGTGCTACCTTTAGGACACCTTTCTTGATCCTACAGCTTGGTGCCACCTCCTACCCAGATGCCTTTCCTGACCTCTCCAGTTGTTAGTGGGCTTCACCTCCAGAATATATCTAATTCCTCTTCCATATGATAGCCCTTCAAAGTCTTGAAGACCATCATGTCTTCTTGTCCTTTATCACCTCCCCCTTAAATTTTCTCTTCAGAGCTACACATCCTCAGAGTCTTCAGCTAATCCTCATATGGCATGGCCTGTATCTTCTCACATTTTACAGATAATACTGAGACCCAGCGATGTCTGGATTTTACACCAATAGCCACGTTCCCCCCACCAAAAAAAACACATGTATAGTTTCATATATTCTTACCTGTGTACCTCTTGTTTTGATCTGGTAGAATGCCCTCCCTAAAGGCAGGGTCAGTTTTGTTTTCCTATCCCTGGAACAACACCTGACACAGAGTAGGTATTCGGTGGTAAATACTTGTTGAATTGTTGAATAGGGCAGAAGGTGGCTTTGAGATGGAGCCTTTTCTGCTTGTGAATCACTTTTCTCCTGAGAATTCATTCCCAAGTGTATTCAGACTCCTAGACTCCTTTTCTCTGAGCACTGTCAGCAACGTCTCCACAAACAAAGATGCCAGGGCTTCTGGCCCTCTAACCCAGGGGTCAGCAATGTTTGCATCATCACTGACCACGCCTTGGTTTATTCACCTTCTGGAGCAGGGGAGGGGGGCTTATGGAATGGAAGCTTATTCTGTGAGCAGAAGTAAACATTTCTATGTTCAGGGATAGGATAGGGCTGTGTCCAGAGTCAGAGTTGAGAGCTGAGAGGGTCTGTAGGGATCATCTGTCTCTAGAATCTTAAGAGGTCTGTTCCAGCCTAGACCTGGAAAGGAATCCCTGCAGCATCACCGCCAGCCTCAGCTTGAAGATCCTCACTACCTTATGAGGCAACCCATTCCACTTTTGGATGGCTCTCATTGTTTAGACATTTCTAATTGTTAGGAAGTTTTTCTTTCTGTTCTCTGGGGCCAAACAGAATATATTTATTTCCTCTACCATGTGACACCCCTTCAAGTTCGTAAAGACAGCTATCATATCCCCTTAAATGTTCTCTTCCAAGCTACCCCAGAGCCTTCCTCTTCCACTTGCCTCTTCTCACATATTTTACAGCTAAACTAAGCCCAGTAGATTTCTAGGTCCTACCCCAAGTCCTACTGTGCTATATATATATATCTCTGGCCCTGGAATAATAGGTAAGTCCATAATAAAGTGCTTAGAGATCCTCAGAATCAAAGGTACAAGAGGATTTTATTATTAACCCAGAGATAATTTGAGGTATGAATCCTTCACCCCCAAGGGGCTCAGGAGGCAGAGGCAGATGGGCCTTCTTCATCTCTCTTAGTCTTGAGTTCTCGAGGAAGCATCAAATCTTGGATCATATTGTAGGTCTCACATTGTGGGGGAAAGGAATTTTTCTGATAGAGAAAGGGGAGAAGAAAAGATGCTGATTAAACCTCAGTTCAATATATTTCCCAGGAGTGAAGCCCTGCAATAAGGGAATAGTAGGATTTGGTTATGAAAGACACCATTTCATTTTTAAAAGTGAATAGAAATGAGCTGACCCTGCAGCAGAAGCAATGGAAGCTAGGTTACGGAAGGACTTCCTGACATGAACTGGGAGTAGCATCTCGTTTCTTGAGGGTTGGGACAAAGAAGAGAGATGGGCCCCAGTAGACTAAGGGTAGGATTCCAGTACAGGGGAAGTGATTCATGCTCACCCCTAGCATCAGTTTTACCAGTCCTAATGGGCCTTTTGTTGGGGTCTTGGGTTTGGTGTACTTCACTTGATATTGGACAGCACTGAGGAAGCCTCTCAGACCTGTTTCTGTGATTCGATTCCCTAAAAGCATAAACAAGAAGAAAATGTTGCCTTTCAACACTGCCTCACTCGCTAACTGTTCCCAATCTAGGCCCTCACTTCCTCAGATAGGCCTCATTCATCCTCCTGGGTCATCCTTAATCCCAAATAATTTACAGCGCTGACTGCCCACCCACCCCATTCCTAAGCCCCTCTCCATGTCTATCTCCTTCCAGCCTCGAGTCTTGATCTGAAGACACACTGTATCTGTGGCACACTACCCTGGTTATTCATGGAGGCTGACTCCAGATGGGAATTGGGAATGGGGAAGAAAGGATTTTTGGTCCCTCTTGATGATGACAAGGCTTTGAGGTGCCAGAGAAAGACGCTGAACTTCTTACTTTGGGAGTCAGGAGAATTGGATATACTTACGAATAAGATTGAGATGCATAAGAACTTTGTTTCCTGGCAAGAAAACCTTCCCGTTTTTATGCTCTGCCTGCTCTAGGAGAGGATTGAGGATCTCGGTGGGCTCAGGCATTAGCTGTTCAGACAGGAGGCAAAAGACAGGATTATCAGGCAGTCCTTTTCACCCATTTTGACTGCCCTCTCCGGGCACAGTTTCATCCTTGGTACTGCTGGAAGGAACTAGAGGAAGGGAAAGTTATGGGGCCCTGTCCTTGGGAAGTTCAGATTCCACTGCAAGAGACAAGTTGCACACACCCAGGATCCAGAAGGAGGTTAAGGGCTGGATACCTAGCCTTTCAAAACATCTTTGCATATCAGGAATGGGAAGATCAGAGGGAGTCAGAGCTGATGAAGGAAGTCATTTCAGAAAAATTTCCTGAAATTGGCAGAAGTGATAAGGAGGGGAAATAGGAAAGGGGATAGATAGGAAAAAAGGGAGGCATTTAGGAGGGGGCATAAGTGCCTAGGGCTCTGGTTTTCCACAGTCCTATGGATAGCCAGAGACAAACAGTGGTGTCCCCTCTCCCCAGGGGTTGAGTTTGGATTGTATTAGTAGATGTGGGGAAAGGGATTGCATTCTGGTCTTGAAGTAGAGTTAGTGGGATGATGGAGATAGTAGGTTCCATCTTCATCCACAGAGCATCGCCAGAGTTACATAGCCAGCAATGAAGAATACTGGTGAAAGGGTAGGAAGATTGAAACTGAAATGGGGGGCAGGGGGCGGGGAAGGGTTGAAGGAAAAAATGGGAAAATGGTTAGTGGCTTGTTTTCTTCTATAGAAGGCGTGAGAAAAAATGGAAAGGGTTGTGGGGTGGAGACTAGTTAGTTGGAGAAGACCCTGATAGGTGCTGAGGGGAAGAAGAGAGGAGAGTTGTGACTGAGCCATGAGGTTCTGCTGGAAAGGCACCAAAGGCTCTCCGGTGCTGATTTCCATTCCTCCCTTTCCCCAATGAGAGTAAGCAGTTTCCAACCTTCTTCTGGATCACTTCGGACTCAGCAAAAAGACTTCGCTTCTCCTTGGGCCCTATCTTGGACCCCCTTCCCCGACCAGGCTTCTGTTCTGGGATGCTTAGTTCTGATGGGTGGGGAGAGAGGGTCAGAGGTGAAGTTCTAGATCCTCGAAAACCACCTCTGCCCCTTTGAGAAGACAAGGGGTCTTAGAAGTGTCAGACTAAGGTTCAGTGAAGACTGAGCTCGGGTGAGGGCAATAGGTATAGTTGAGAGAGCAGTGGCATCTAGGCCTGGCAGAGCTGCTAAATCATATGACATTTTTTTTTTTTTTTAAGGCAGTTAGGGTTAAGTGACTTGCCCAGAGTCACACAGCTAGTGAGTGTCAAGTGTTTGGTCTGAGGCTGGATGTGAACTCAGGTCCTCCTGACTTCAGGGCCACTGTGCCACCTAGCTGCCCCAATCATATGACTTCTTAACATGTCAATTTTCCTCTTTGTAGGGAATGATAACTAGATGTTCCAAGGTTTCTTCCACATCTAGCATGTGGAACTGATTGAGCCCTGACCACAGGGGAGGACAGCCCTCTATCCTTCCTTCAGGAGGTGAGGTCCTAGTGAAAGCACCAGATCCCAAGCATCCTGTATCGGAGGGAGAATGAACAGAATAACTCACTCCCTTTAGAACTCTTGGAAGAATCTTCTTTCTTTGGGACATTCTGTGTGGGGGATAGCCCAGACCCAGGCTTCTCCTCTTTCTTGGCTACTTCCTGCAACAGTAGGGGAAAGATAATAAAGCTCACATTTATATAGCACTTTAAAACTTACGAAGCACTTTACTCAGGATAGCCCTGGGAGGGAGGTAGTGTAAGTGCTATCATCCCCATTTTTAGAGGCGAAGAAACCAGGTCAGAAGTGAGAAGCCTTGCTCAGGATTACATTGCTGTAAAATGCTGGAGTCAGGCTTCAAACCCAGGTCCCTACTGACTCTAGTTCAACAGTCTGTCTACCACATCAGGGGATTCCAACCTTTTTTTAGGCCCTTTACTCAGCTTTTAGTAAACATTCTGATACTTATTATTCAATATAAGAGGAAATAAATTCTAGGACTTAAAATACACATAAGAAACAAAGTAGATTAATTTTCATAGGACAATAGTTAATTATAAAATAGTCCCTGTAGTCCCTTGACAAACTTTGCATCCCTTTTGGGTAGGGGTAAGAGTGCCCCAGCTTGGGAAAAACCCCTGACCAAAGCCCTGACATTGGGAGGCTTTTCAGTTTCTCGAAGTCTGGGATCCCCCTAACTGTGCTGTTGCCCCTGAAGACCTCTTGAGGTTCTGGGGTTTTTCCAGGGCCAGAGTAGGATACTAGGCCAAACTGCCACTTCTCAAATTCTCTCTCCTGGAACAGACAGACAGACACACAAACAGGCACAGTTAGGAAACACTCTTTCTGTGCTCCCTAATTCCGCCATCATGAGAGACCTTCTCCTTCTTCTTGCTCGATGCACCTTTGATGGTCTTGATTCCCTGAAGCTTGTCAATGGCCAAAGTACTAGTAGCTCCCAACAGAGGCCGGTCTCGTTCTCCATGGCGGGAGGAACTGGGCTGTGGGAAAGGGCAGAAAGGCAGTTGTTACCCCTTAATCCACTCAGGGAAGAGGTACCTACCTTCCTGAGTAGGGGGCCTAGCTGGCAATGGAGACCAACCAGGCTCCACAACTGTTAGATCTATAAAATGCTTTGAGATCCTTTTGCTGAAGACAGGAGGGTGGTGGGGGTACAGCTAAGATTTCTAGATTGCTAGAAGAGGAAGAAATCTTAAGAGATCAGCTAGTTCCTTATTGTACAGATGAAGAAATTGAGGCCTGGGGGTCGGGGGTGGGGAATGGAGGGAGACCGGCCTGCCTAAGGTCACAGGGTAGTAGGTAAAACCAAAGTCAATTCTTCAGGGTTAGGTGAGACAGGGACCAGAGCATTTTAATGGGGTCCAGTTAGGCTCTGAAATACTGAACGGGGATATGAAAGGAGATGACATAAAAAGAAGGGACCAAAACCACAAAGGGATGAGTGAAGGTTTAAGGGTGTAGAAGACTTCAAGATCCCATTAGAGTGTGAGGGACAAGATGGCCCTCTGTTTGAGGCCCCCCTGCCCTGAGCTTGTGGGAGGCACTGAATGGATTGACTTCAAGATTTCTCTGCCCATCTGGATCCCTCACCGATGGCCTTGATATTCTTGTTCGGTCCTGAGCCCCCTTTTCAAGCATAAGTCGCCGGCGTTCCACCACCTCCGTGTGTGTTAGTTCAAAAGGCTGCAGCACCTGAGGCAGGAGGCAGGTGGTGGAAGATCAGGGCTCCTTTGGTATCCAACATATTCCTTTCCAGATGGGACCCCTGCTTCTACCCACCTCGGCTATCTTCAGTGCACCCTGGTCCTGGATGCGATTGTGGGCCAGAGACAGCCAGAGCAGGGAGCGGTTTAGCCGCAGGCCCTGGGGTAGGGAGAAAGGAGGTGAAAGGGCCTCGAGTCCCCTCCCTGGCCAGGGCTTTACCTCTACTTTCCAGGCCCTAACAACCTCCCTTCCTCACCTCTTGTCTTGTTTCCCACCATGTCCTGGTCTTGCTCCCTCCAGTCTCCCAGAACTCTTAACTGTATTTCCTCATGGTCCCTTCTTCCTTCTCTCTGGTCCCCAGGACCATGGAGCTCTTCCCCACCCTACTGGGTCCCTATGGTTCTTTTCTCCCTCATGGTCCTACATGAGCCTAGTCTTCACCGAACCGTTTCCCAGTCTCCTCCAGTCCCCCAGTCTCTATTTCCCACACTCTGAAGCCCTTCCTTTGTAGTTCTATGTTCATTGCCTTCAGCCCTGCCCTCCCCAGCTCCTTACGATCCCTCCTCCTCCCCTGACCCCTTAGCTCCTGCCTACCCCTACAGCACAAGCCCCTTTTCTCCCTTCCCCATAGCTCTTCCCTCCAGTCTCCATTCCTTGTAGCCCACCAGTGACCCTGCCCCTCACGTCTGCTATGTAGCCAGCACCCTCATCTCCAATATGGTTGTAGCCCAGGTTGAGAGAGACCAGAGTTCGGTTGCTGGTACGCAGTGTGGACAATGCCTGACCCAGGAACTTTGCACCCTGATCATCGATGTTATTATTCCTCAGGGACAAGTGCGTGATACTGGCAGAAGGAGAACATAAGAAGGAGCGGGAGGCCTGGGACCACCAGGATCAGGGACAGAAAGGCCACAGAGGAATGGGCAAATGGGGTTGGAGGTAGGAAGGCCTCAGAGGTCAAGGGATTCGTGAGGGAACCTGACTTAGGGAAATTCAGGGTCCCAAGCAGTGGGGGGGGGGGGTAATTGTGTCACAGCAGGGAGAGTAGGGCAACAGGGAGAGAGGTCCCTAAGGGAGGGGACTAGGGCATTTCACTGGGGCTTGGAGGGGTGAGATAGAAAATAAGTGAATTAGGCTGAGGCCATCTGAGGTGATGGAGAACATTGAAAAAGGGAATGTCCCCTCTGGCTTAGAAAGCCTGGGATGGGGCAGGATCTAAGGAATGGGAGGAAAGGGAAAAGGCTCACGTGCTTTCCGGGACCATGAGCCTGTGGTAAGACTGTTCCACTATCGGGTTTCCTTCCAGAGACACCTTCCTGATAAGAGATTGGGGAGATCAGTAAAAGCCCAGTGATGGGCAGGAAAGTCTAGCAGTCACAGTGGGAGGAAGGGAAGGGTCTAGGGCAGAAGGAGCCCCTAAGCAGGGTGACTGTGTGCTATGATCCTTGCAAACAAGCCAGAAGCATGTTCGTGGGGCATCCTGATGGTAGGAGAGCAGATGTCCAGCATTTTGCTGACTGATGACAACCCTGTAGGGGTTCAGTAGTATTAGGCTAAGTGTGAGAGGTGCAGATTAGGCTGAGAATTGCCTAAGCCAATTATGAGAAATTTAAAGAACTGTTGACAGTCTAGTTATACTTAATAGGGTCACAAATCTAGATCTAAATGGGACCTCAGAAAGCCCTCTAATCCAAGCCTCTGGTTTTTTCAGATGAAATAACTGAGGTCTAGGGAGATGTCCAAGGTCACATAGGTCATTGGTGGTATAGGCAGAATTTGAACCCAGGTCGTCAGTCTCTGCTGTACCACAAGTCTGCTTACAGCCTGCAGGTGGGATGGGAGTGGAGCTGCAGGTGTCAAAATGGTGAGTTAAAGTGGGAGTTCTCTTTCAGCTGCTGGAGCAAATGAATTGTCTGTTGGGATTCCCTGGCCACCAGAGAATGGCAAGACCCAAACTCTGCCCTCACCTGGAAAGCCTTAAGATCATGATTCTAGAGCTGAAAGGAACCTTTGAGACTGTTGTCTCATCTAGCACTTTATTTTGTAGATGAAGAAACTTGAGGCCCAGAAAGGTTAAGTGAGTTGCCCCGAGATCATACAGGTAGTGACAAAGGTAGGATTTGGACCCAGTTTGCCTCACTCTGAAACATTACTGAGCCCATGTTGAAAGTGTGGCTGGCTGCTCTGCGAGCTGGGATCTGGCCCTTGTAGATAGTGATAGGGAAATGCTTCTTCAAGTCTAGGAGTTCCCTGTAGTGTCCCAGAGTGGAGCCAAGGTCAGTTGCAAATCAGTCCCTCAGCCCCTACTGCTGGAAGGCTGTGCTTTCCAGAGGATGCTCTTGCCTTTCTCTTCCCTGGGATATTTCTTATCCTTGAAACAGTTTGTCCTCCCAAGCTGTTTAAACTTTTCTATTTAGAGGTATGAAGGTAGGGGGAGCTCAGGGCCAGGGTACGGTTAAAATGACCAAGGTGCCCTCTCCTCCCCTCCATTACTGCGGCGTCCCCAGGGGAGGCCAAATGTCAGCAGCTGAGATGAAAAAGACTGGGTATCAGCAAAAATAGGTTCCACTTCCTCCTTTCACACCAACTCCGTTTCCTCCTTTCCAAAATAAGGGTGTTGGCCAATGCGATCCCCACTACCCCTTCCAGCTCTCACAGCCTGCACCATCTGGGAGATCTGGGTTCCATTTGACTGCCTCAGGTCAGCCTCAATCTCAGTGAGATTCAGGCAAACTTCCCTTGGTGACTGGGCCCATCTCTTCGCCTTTCTGTGCCCCTAGTTTTCTCGTCTGGATTCAGTGGTCTCTAAGGTTCCCCTGGAAGATCTAACATGATAAATTGAAGGTTGAGGACGGTTGGCTTCAAGAACTCTTTCACTTCCAACTATCTCTTTTATGTAAATTTTATGACTCCCTGTCATCATTCAATTTCTTGAATATCAAATGTGAAGAAACAACTGACCTTAGCATCTAGTTATCAAGAATAATTAATTTAGGGGCAGCTAAGTGGCAAAGTGAATCAGCCCGGGAGTCAGGAAGACCTGAGATCAAATTCGGCCTCAGATACTAGTTGTGTGACCCTGGGCAAGTCACTTAACTCCAATTGCCTCAAAAAAAAAGTTAAGAATAATTAATTTAATAAGAGACTACTAAATTACCTATTTCTGAGCTTTCCAGGGATGGGTAGACACCCTAGCAGCCTTGGGGTATCCTGGAGTCTCCATCGTCCTCTATGTAGGCTGCTGTCCAGCCCGCTTCTCCAGCTGAGGGGGCCTTTCATATTGAATATCACGACTGTTTTGTGGTGATTAGTCTCAGGTACAATAATTCCCAGGGACTACCAAGGAGTACAAGTCAGGAGACTTGTCTTTGTGTAAGTGATTTGGGGGAAAGGTCCTATCACAGGTAGCTAGCCACCTTATACCAAAGCCCCTAGGTAATCAGTGGTCATGATTTATCAGTTCAGGACCTATCCAGTTTCTCACAGGCAAATGAAGTTGAATCAACAGAAAATTAGAGTAATAGCGTTGCCAAAGTAATAAAATTAATATCTCCCTCACATTTTTTTTATTTTTGCTGTCTTAAAAAAGAAAATCTATTAAAAAAAGAAATTGTTGTATTTTACTCTCTGTCCTCACATTCATTCTCTCACTATACATGGTGGGGCAGTGTGTGTTGTTATTCCCATGTTACAGATGAGAAAACTAATGTCCAAAGAGGCATCACACAGCTAGCTTATGCCAGAGCTGGGAAGAGAACCAAAATCTGCCTCCTGCCTCCACAGTAACAGTGTTGTAGGCTCTCTTCTGTCTCTTAGATCTGTAGTTCTTAACCTGAGGTCCATGAACACTCAAGTGACCAAATCCTGGATAGATTTCTGGGGGTCTGTGACCTTGGATGGTTAAAAAAAAAAAAAAAATTACATCTTCGTTTTCACCAATCTCTAACTGAAAAAAAAAAACAAAACATTTCCTTCCATTATGATTAAAATAAAAAAAAAACATTATAAGAATGGGTCCAAAGACTTCACCAGAGTGCCAGAGAGGCTCATGACATTAAAAAAAAAAAAAGTTTAGACCCCTGCTCTAGACTTTTGTGGATTTTATCATCTCTCATGAATTTTTAAGATCATAGATTTAGAGCTGGCAGGGACCTCAAGCCATCTAATCCAAATCCTTCATTTTATAAATGAGGAAACTGAGGCCCATGGAGGTCCACTGTGCTTTTCATCACAATGAGTTGCTGGTTTTTTTTTTCTTTTTAGGTAATTGGGGTTTAGTGACTTGCCCATGGTCACAGAGCTAGTAAGTGTCACGTATTTGGTCTGAGGCTAGATTTGAACTCAGTTCCTTCTGACTTCAGGGCGAGTGCTCTATCCACTACACCACCTAGCTGTCCCCTGAGTTGCCATTCTTGTTTAAAAAGAACCAGCCTTGGGGCTTCCAACAGACTATGTAGAAAAGGGGAACTAGTTGGCAGTTGGGAAAGAAAAGATTCCCTGAGATTCCAATCTGGAAAATTCTCAAGCTGAGGGAAGGATAATTGGGCCTGGAGCCAAGGGGAGAGAACCCAGAGACCCACACCTCTCCATGGGATAGGAAAACCCAGGAAAAGGACCTTGGGGCTGGGATCTAGGAAGAAGTTGTATGACTGTCTTCTGCAAACTTCCTATCACAGTTGGTATTTTCTGTTTCATCTCATCTTTTTCGTAAAAATTCTTTAAAAAACCCAAAAACTTTCAACATTTAACCTCTCTATGGCCTCATTTTCCTTCTCTATAAAATGGGAGATTGGACTTGAGGTTTTGTGATTTTCAGTGTGAAGGCAAGGAATTTCCTGTCCAGAGGGCATGTATTGGGGTAAAAGGAAGGAAGGATCAAGAAAGAAGCTTGTTCCTTTCAGAGCTACCGAGCAGGGCATCGAAAATTACTTGGTCCAATTATGTTTTGCACATGAGGAAACGAGCTCGGAGAAGAGTCAGGATTTGAACCCAGATCTTCTTAGGGAAGAGGTGTAAAGGAGAATTGCTACCAGCCCCCTACCTGCCTACCAGTTCCCAGCCCTCCGCCTTGCCCCATTCCCATCTGCTGGAGGACAGGACTTCTCCCTGCCCTTTTCTGCTTACTTGAGAGTGGAGGCACAGGTAGGGATGAGGGCAATGAAGGTGGTCAAGGTCTCATCCGTCAGCCCCACTTTCCACATGCTGAGGTACAAGGGAAGGACGTAGGAAGACTATCAGTTCAGACATCCAGCAACCGAGGACCCAAGCATGGTAGTCCCTTCCCCATCCCCTACAGGCGCAGAACGTCCTTCCAAACTCTCCTCTAGACATTCCCATCCATAACACCCCGTTACTCTTGTCCTTGATTAGCCCTGGCCTCACCAGATCTCCCTGAGGATCCTATACTCCTCAAAGTGCTCCAGTTCTACCCCCCTCCCCTAGTCTCCCTGCTTGTTCCTTAGGAATCTCCCTTTCCTATCAATGACCCTGGGAGGTAGGTGCTATTATGATCCTCATTTTACAGTTAAGGAAACTGAGACAAACAGGTGAAATGATTTGTCTAGGGTCATGTGGCTAGTAAGAGGCAGGATTAGAACTTGGGTCTTCCTGACACTCCCTCCCCAAGAATCTGGCTCATTTTTTACTCCCGGGATCCACTCTCCTCTCACTCTTCAACACTTCTCCCTTCAGCCCTTTTTGGGAGTTCCTCCCCCCTCCTCAAAATCTCTCCCCTATCCCTGAGAGGGCCCTCCCTCACTTGATGGCCTGCAGCTGGGTGAGAGAGGGCAGACACTTGCTGAAAATACCCAGAATTGGTTCTGCCAGTCTCCAACCTGGAAGGAGATAGGAGGCTGAAGCCTGAGTAGAAAGGGTTAAATCCAGGGGCAGGGGACGGAGGAGGGAGGCTCACCTCGAATGAAGATTTCCAGAACTGTCTTGGGGTCATCTTGCTCCAGCTCCACCTGGATGGTGGGCCGGAAGAAGGCATACTTGGTTTCAATCTGGAGGAGACTGTTTTGGCTACAGGAGGCAGAGACCCGCTGTTCCTCCACTGTGGACATGTGGGTAGGGGATCTTAATCATCCCTTCCGCTCCCCACCTTGTCCTCCACCCCCATCTCACTCTAGCCTTTTCAGGAATGCCCAAAGGAGGTGAGTCTATTAAAGGACCCTAGATGGAGGGCTAAAAGGAACCCTACACATAACTGAGTCCAATCGGTTTACAGATGAGGAAAACCTCATCTATACATCTGTAAAAGATGATCAGAAAAGGTCAGGTGATCTTGCGTGTCTGTGCAAGGTTCATACAAGTAGCAAGTGTCCAATCTCCAAGCACTTTATTCCTTGGGGTTCTGAACCCCAGGATGCAGAACTTTTGAAGATGCAGAGAAAAAAAAATTTAGAACAGCTAGGCAAGAGAGCCTAGGTATACCTATCTCCCAGCCTGCATGGGGTTGTGAGCAGGAGAGATGGGGAAATAGCAGAGAAAGAGTCATCTAAGTCCCTTAGTCGTCATCATCATGATCACTAATATTTGCATAGTCTCTGGAACCCAGGACCAGCCTGATAGGGAGGCCAGGGGGCATTGTCAAAATGGCACAGGCCTGTCTGAGACTGGACCAGCCTGGAGAGACGGGGATGGTGAGAAAGGAGGAACTGAGTAAGTTCACTCACCCACCAGCTTTTCAGAGGTGAAGGTAGGGCGGCCATGATTGCGAGCAACAACTTTGGGGAAATCTGTGTATCCTGAACGAGTACAGAGTTCAACAAAGTCCTGTTCCAAGATTCCCACACATTGATATTCCTCTACAGGAGGGAGAGAAGGGAGAGAGATGAGCTTGGACCTCTGCGATGGTGCATGTTGTCCACCAGGAGGAAGCAAAGACCAGGTATCCCCACTACAGCTTTGTCTTACCATTTTTTCCCCCGGTCCCCTTGTTTCTTCATCTCCCTGCCCTATCCTATCCTATCCTCTGCAGCTTCTTCACCCCCTGCCCTTCTAGTCTGTCTCCTCATCCTCTGCCCCTCTCCCCTCTGTTTCCTCATCCATCACCCCTCTCCTAGTCTGTCTCCTCATCCTCTGCCCCTCTCCCCTCTGTTTCCTCATACACTGCCTCTCTCCCCAAAGATCTCCCCCTACCTCCTCATTTCCCCAAAGGTCATCCTGAGTCTTCTGCAACCTCAGAGCCCTGCTCTGGGCAGGGACAGTGAGCTCCTGGAATAGGAGTCAAATGACCAGGTTCTAGTCCTGGTTCTGCTAATAACTTTCTGTAGGAAAGTTATTTCATCAAGTATTTACTGTGCGCAGGCTATGTACCTGGCACCATAGTGGGTAGAGAAGGAAATGGCAAGGTAACTAAGATCTCAATCAGTCCAACAGCTTACAGTCTAGTCCGAGAGGTAAGACAAAATTCAAAGAAATATTCAAATAAAAAGACAGTACAAAGCAGGATGTGAGGTGCCCTAGGACTCCACCAAAATTTACTAGGCCCAAGTGTATTGTACACAGAGCACAGCGCTAGGTGTTAGGGGATATAAAAAAATTTAGATACAATGTGATCCCTGCTCTTAAGGAGTTTACAGGTCAATCTAACAGGCTTCTTCCCCTTACTACCTGTGTGATTTGAAGCAAATAAACAACTTTGCCTTTCTAGTCCTCAGTTTCCAATCTGTAAAATCAAAGACTAGGACCAGATAGCCTGTAAGGAAAGCCTTTTCCAGCTCTTATGAATTCCATATAGGAGTTCCAAGGATCAGCCTGTCTTGGATTGGGGGTAATCAAGAAAGGCTTCCTGGAAAAAATGGCATTTGAGTCGGGCCTTGAAAGATGGGTGAGATTTGGACCAATACTGGGAGGGTGAGGGTAGAAGACAGTGCAGATGTGAACAGATAACATGCCAGGGTGGGAATGTACCACAATGATTTGGGAGGCAGTGAAGCAGCCAGTTTGGCTGGAGGAGAGGATTCATATAAGGCAGTAATGGAAGATGAGGAAGTCACTTAACCTCTCCAGCCTTAGTTTCCTCCACAAGACATTGAGGCAATTAACAGATGACAGATAATGAACAGGAATGTCTTGAAAAGTTAAAAGCCTTGAACACGTGGGAGGTGCGACAGGTGAGCTTTTAGGCTCTAGAGCTGAGGGTGGTCTTAGACCTCACCTAGCCCAAATCCCTTTTACAAATGAGTGTGCAGTAGGTGATGAACCTCTCCCTAAGAAGGTGTCTTTGAGATTATAATATAGGAAATGTCTGTCAAATAATGATACTTTAGGAAAAAAAAAAAAAGGCAGACCAAATCTTTACAAATGAAGGCCTAGAGAAGTTAATTGAACTACACAGCTAGTTATTTAGCATAAGATTTAGAATTTGAACCCAGGGGCTTTGAATCCTAATCCACGGCTCTGCCCACTACACCACACTTCTGGTCAGGAGCCTCTGTGTGCCCCGGTACATTGTTTCCCTCTTTCTCTTATTTTCCTCCTCCCCTTTAAGTCATACCTGGATTTTTTGGCTCCTCCTCACCCACAGGCGGTAGGACAGGTGGCGGCTTCTCCTTTATCACCCTGTCTCCTTTCTTGACCATCTTGCCCCCGACATCGGAGGCTTTGGGTGCTGGGGAAATGTGGGAGAGGGGAGACCTGGTTGAACCCATCCCTCTTTATCCCTCATAGGAGTCGAATTCCACTTTGGTCCTAGAGACTTGAGGGTCTCTCTTTCCCAACCCTCCTTCCCTCCAAATACTCCTATTTCCCAGCCCCTCTCTCAGACCGTGTGTTGGGGGCTAAGGGAAGGAATGACAGACAGACAGACAGACAATCAGTCGTGTCCCCATCTGAGCCGGAGAGCTCAATGGAGAGTCACCCGAAATGGCTGCAACAGAACGAGATTGGAAGGAAAGGATGGAGGAGGGGACAGAATGGGGGAGGTCGATGGGGAAGGGGAGAGGCTGGAAGAGAAAGGAACTGAGGAAAAGCTGAAGGGGAAGGGTCTGGGCGAAACTGGAGGGGAGATGGGAGGATTCAGGACTGGGTGAGGCTGGAGTGGACCTGGCTGGGGGAGGTGGGGGAGAAGAGAAGCCGAATGAGGTTGGAGGGACTGGGGCTGGGGCTGGGGCTGGGGTAGAGTGGCGGTGGAGGGTCAGAGAGAGAAGCGGAAGATTCTCAACTCTCAGAGACCAGGGCAGAGTCAGAGAGACTGGGGGAGGTGGGACGGAGGAGTTCCTGGGAATTGGGGCTCGGAGGAGGTTCACTCTCTGACTCCCGACCTGCACCCCCAGCTCCTGTGCGTCCCTTTTTCTCCAGGACAACGGGACTTGAGCCAAGGAGGCTGTCGGGTGGGCGGACCAGGAGACAACTGCGAGTCGCTCGCGCGGTCTGCAGAGAGCGCTGCGGTGCCGGGAGCGCCTGTCGAGCAGCTGCCTCAGAGCGCATGCGTGTCTATCTGTCTCGGCTTCGGGACCGGGCGGAGCTGGCACGAGGCTCTCTTAGGTCCCCGAGGCAGCGGCGCTGGTGAGTGACAGGGACCTGGGCAGCCGTGAAGGGTCCAGCCCGTGGTGGAGCTCTGAGCATCGACTGATCTTAGATCGATTGATCCATGAAGGGGCTTGGAGACTCAGTTAATTAAACAGTTAATGAGTTAATGAGATCCCAGCCCCAGGGGGCTCCGCCCTCGGGCTTCAAGCCGTCACCCCCACCTCTTCAGAGGTCGCGCCCCGGGCCCGCAGCCCTCCCTCCCCCTAGAGCCCAGGCCCATCTCCTCCGAATCAAAGATGCTCAGGACCACGAGAAATCCAACAACTTTATTTACAGACACAGGACAGGATTCCCCATTGGGGAATCCCAGGCTTGGGCTGAGGGCTTGGGAAGCAGTAGCAGAGCAGGAGAAAAACCCTGGCATCCTGCTGTCCAGTCCCCCAAAGTCGATGGTGGTTGCCCTCACTCTCCTAGACCCAGGAATCCTGGCTCCTAGCTCCTTTTCTCTTCAGCCATCCGAGGGCTGCCTCCAAGGTGGGGGGATGGAAGAGGGGTTTCAGAACCCGGGCATCCCTGAACCTCTTTCCCTCCAGGAATGGTGTACCCCCTAATAACTCAAGAGGTAGGGAGGGGAAGGTGTGTGCTATGCGTTAGGTCCTTCCTCAGTTTCTGGGCCTGGCCATGTGTGTGTGGGGGGGCTATCTCCGAATGCTCCTCCATCCGTTCAACGATCCTGTCGCAGCCTCGGGGGTGAGGGGGGGTGTCGGACAGGGGGCAAGTCATAGTGTCCCGGGATGTGACTGTTCTTAGGGGAGTCATAATGGCCTGGGGGAAGACCTGGTGGGATGGAGGGCTGAGCGTCCCCGGCGACGAAATCTGGCGAAGGGAGAAGAAGCAAGGATTGTATATGAGAGATCTGTAGCCCAGCCCCCCTCCCCACTCTGGGTCTTCTTCCTAATCAATTTCCATCGTCCTCTCACTCTTTCCCCTTCCTTCTATTGCTTTCTATTCTCTCCCTTCTCTCCTCTCTCCTGGTCCCTGTCTTGGTCTTCTGGATAGCTAATAAGGTCCCAAGGACACACATTATTTGCACCCCCTACCCCGTCCTCACCCCATTAATTACTTTTGTTGGAACCACATAAAAATCTCAGAGTAAATTCTCACCGTCATTTCTACGGTCTCTTCCCACCCCCCGGCTTGATCCTAGGGTGGACCCTGCCTGTCTGGGGACTGTGATTGTTCTCACCAGGGGCTGGCGGGTTCGGCTGCTCGTAGGTGCCACTGTCCCTCTGGCTGTCAGGGCTTCGAAGTCTTTGACTCTTCCGTGGCTGGGGCACATGCCTGCGTGGTGGGCTGGGCTCTCGCAGGGCCTCAGTTGCAGCACTCGAGGGACCTTTCATTTCCATGTAGCTGCCCTCGCTGGCAGGGCCCAGCAGGCTGGGCAAGTCCCGGATGGTGGCGTAGGGGTTCTCGCTGCACAGGGAGCTTACACTGGCCCTTAATCCCTCTTCTGGGATGGGCCCTGGGGGAGGGGGAGTAAGATCAGGGCTCAACGGAGGTACCCCTCCCCCCCACTCCCAGTCATGCTGCATCCTCCCCCAAGCCTTTTCAGTTTTCAGATCAGCCCGGTGCCCTTTCCTCCATCTGCCAAGTGACTCCCTACCACCCACCCCCTTCCATCTTCCCACTGCGTGTACCTTTAGCATAGAGGTATCCTAGGCCATTGCCAGAACTGTAGCTGTAACGATCCAATAGGCCTCTCCCTGGGGAAAGGGACAGACCCACATCAAGGCCCTTCTTAGAATGTCATAGGAATATCATAGGATTGAGAACTGGAAAAGGCCTTAGAGATCATTGCTATCCAACTCTCTTCCTTTTATAGATGAGGAAACTGAGGCCCAAAGGAAGTTACTTTTTCCTAATATGGAACAAAGCTAGGATCTTCAATCTAACTCAGATCTTCACCCATCACACCACCATGGGGAAGTACATCTACATTCTTCTCCTTCAGAGGGTCCCAGACATACAGATACCCTTACCCTTCACTTATACTGACACAGAATCCCATGGTCTCAGAATAGGATGCTTTTCCCACAGCCACCCTTCCTTCTCCCCTACTTAATACCCAGGTATACAAAATCCCATACCCCTTTCCCGATGCCCAGGGGGGAACTCCTTGTGATGCTTCCAGTCAGCAGGCAGAGTGGCATGGCTGTCTTGCCCATAAGCACCAGGGCGTTCTGGGGTGTGGAGGCTAGCAAAGAGCTGAGAGCCTGGAACCTGGGAAGGTGGTGAATTCAGCATTATGAGAACAGAAGAAGCAGAGTTAGGAAGGGGCCTCAAAGGTCACCTTGTCCAACCTATACATTAACAGGGTTAATGTAACATCCGGGACAAGTGATCATCCAGTCTCTGCTCAAAGATACCCAGGGCCCATTCCCCTTTAGGGCTCCAGGTAAGGAAAAACATTGGGCAATCAGAGCTGTCCAAATACTTCTGTCCATTGCTCCTAGTTCTACCTTTGGGCCAAGCTGAACAAGAGTATAATCCCTCTTCTACATGACAGGTCTTCAGAAACTGGAAGGCTATAATCATTTTCCCTGGCTGACCACCCCTGGTTTCTTCAGCGGATTCAATCTTCCCACCAAGCTAGTCTCGCTCCTTTAAGCCTGCTCCTCTTCTCCAGCCTCCCCCAAATCCCAAACCTAATGAAGCCTTCCTCCCACTCCCAACTCCATTTTCCCAGGTACTGACCTTGTTAGGGGGTGGGGGAGTGGGAGAGCACTGGGACAGTGTGTGATAGCTGGGGTTGGAGTAATAGTGACTGTAGCTTGGCGGGACATCTGGACAAGACAGAAGAACCAGGGTAGGGACAGGGTCAGAACTCAGGTAGGGGGATGAGGTAGCCTGTGGTGTAGAGAGGGAGCCCCTTCCCTGGGGATGAGGCAGAGGGAAAAGAGAGATCCATGGGACGGAAGACAAGCAGCCAGATGGGACAAATTCCAAGATCCCATTGTCCAGCCTCTCTCTTACCCATCCTGCTCACTCTGCCTTTGCATCTCATATGTAAAGAACAGCTTAATCCAGAGAGGGGCATGAGAGTCACAGAATGTGAGAGTTGGAAGAGATCTTTAAGATCATTGCTCTAAACCCCATCCCCCATTTTGCACGTGAGGAAACAGGCTCAGAGAATAGAAGTAATCCATAGAAAGTAACCCAGTAAGATTGTGGCCAAGACAGGACTTGAACCCAGGTCTCCTGAGCCCAGAGGATGGCCTTTGTGCCTTCTTCTTCAGTTTCCTCCACATTCAGGACTTCCCATATCCTCCTGTCCCTCACCTGGGATGACATATTCGGAGCCGTCCAGACGCCCACTGCTGTAGGCTACAGCCAGGTGCTGGTGTGCTTTGCCTTTCTGCCAGTGTCGGTACCCAATGAACAGTGCTACCAGTGCCACAACCAGGGCCCCAAGCACTGCAATGCCAATCACCGCACCCAGTGAGTCATAGGTCACTGGCAGGGTGGGCACCATGGTGAAGGGTTGATCATGGTTCCCTGGGCAGGAAAGGAGAGATGAAGCAATAAGAGGGGGCATTCTGTGTACTGCTAAGAAGAAAGGAGACAGAAGAAAGAACTTTCCTTGAGGGCAGGGACTGTTGTCATCTTTATGTCTGTGCAACCCCAACACCTAATAGTGCTAGGCAAACAATTAGATATTGAATTGAATTGAAGAAACCACCACCCATTCCCAATTTTGCCATGGGTGAGAACTGGAAGGCTGCCCTGAGTGACTCACCAATTTTGCAGGGGGCACCACTGTGTCCTGGCGGACATATACAAGCCCCTGTTTCAGCCTGGCACTGTCCCTCAGGTCCACACTGGCACATCTGGGAGCAGTTAGCACCAAACATGCCTGGAGGGCAACCTAGAGGGATAAGCAAAGTGAGGGGTCAGAGGGATGCAAAGAAATGGGTCCAGGAACACATGTACTTCTCCAAGAAGAAAGACTATTTCTTTCATTTCTGGGAGCAGTTCCTTGAGCTCCTCAATCTCTTTCTGGATTAAACATGGATTGTGTACATAATAGCAAGGTCACGTGGACATTTCCCAAAGCATGTTCCCACTTTCTCATCTGATGAAACATAGTTTGGCACAGAAGGAACTGCTCTTGGAGTGGGAAGACCTGGAGGCAAACCTGCTTTGATATTTTTTAGTTTTATGACTTTGCCTCTCTAAGGTTCAGCCTCCTCCCCTGGAGGTTGGGAATGATGCTTTCACTATTTGTCTTATAGCTTGAGAAGAAAGTACTTTGAAAGCTGTAATGGGCTGTAGAAACAGGGACCATGAAAGCAACTTGGAATTATGCAAATAAGGTGACTAAAATGTCCATACCCTTAGACCCAGAGATTCAACTGCTAGGCTAATACCCCAAGTAGATTATTGATAAAAAAAAAAGAAAGTCTCCACATACCCCAAAATATTTATAGCAGAACTTTTTGTGATAGCAAAGAATTGGAAACAAAATACATGCCCATCATTGGGGAATGGCTAAGCAAATTGTGAAACGTGAATGTATGGAATATTACTGTATTAAGAAATGATGAGTATGATCAATACAGAGAAGTATGGAAAGATCTACATGAACTTATTCAAAGGGAAGCAGAAAGGAAAAACCCCAATAGTATGCCCCATGATTACACCAATATACACAGAAAGAACAACCACAAAACAATCAAAAGTAAATGTTGCAAAATTAGAAAAAACAAGCATGGTTCCAAAGAACAGATATGAGAA